GAACGGATATGGTCGAGCTGCCAAAAGAAACGATAGCGGCGTGGGGGGAAGTCTGTGATTGCCAGACCAGGATCTACATCCCACCCATGTGCCTACGGAGTATGGAAAGTTAATCCTATTGGCCAACCACGACCCCCCCTTGTCTGGATGCTTGCCCACCTGACCATGTTGTAGAAGGAGCGTGTGCCACTATGGTGCTCCCCGACGGACGGCCCGTCAATTGAGGAAGCCAGCTGGACAGCCGTTGTTATCGGCCGCCCTTCTTCTTTCCGCGGATATCGGCGTACGTCGTGAGTACTTGTTTTCTGCTCGTAAGATATCTATCTTGCTCTCGTACTCGCATACTATTTAGGAGGGACACACCGAAACTGCTCTAGATTACTGTGTGCCATAGGAAGGAAGGTTGCATACCTGCTCCTATCTTATTTCGCGATAACTCGCGAGATCCTACGGCTCTCACATGTAGTCGTAAGTGCATCTTGAGGCATCGCAGGCTGCTACCATTTGGGTCGTATCGAGTTGTTTCAGCATACGAGTACATATACTGTATGCATGTATGTACGGAGTACTCCATCTATCTTATCTTACAAGTAGGATGCAAGTACATACTCCGTACTCCGTACTCATTAATACACAAGCGACCTCCGCCCTGTTCCCCCCTAAAAACCCAAAGAACTGGGACCTGGAACCTGGGACCAATGATGGCGTGAGTGGTGAATTAACCTACGGGCAGCTTGCACAAATGCGACCGTAGCTGCACCATCAACCAACCTAGAACCGGAATTGCTGCGCAGTTTATACAGGGAGTCTCCTCATGCAGCCTGCTTGCGAGATGCATGCAGAGAGCCTTTGTTAGTTAAGGCTCGGCAAACCGATATCCACCAGCGACAATCTTGTCAATTTGCGTATTACACAGTAGAACATAGTTGAAAGGAAGAGAAAGGAGAAGTATTGAAGAAACAGCAAATGAAAAAGCAAAAGTGGTCCGGGGGTACGAAGCGGTCTATTTCTTTCGTCACAGCAGACCAACGGTCCTGAACGGAGTGTTCAGACCCAGCACCCAGCCATTGCATCTTAGGGCGCAATAATCCATGCGTCACGCCAAATGAAACGGGGCTCCACACCAGACCCAGCATCCATCTGCTTGGGATGCTCCAAAATTCGTCGACACAGTACTCGTAATTTAGGAAGAGGGGGTGACGGGGGGCTCTGGACAACGACCTTACCTTCCCATGATGCAAGAAGTGGAAACGGCGATTCGAGGCCATGAAGCAGAGGGGGTTGTTAGGAGGACAGCATTTACTTACGGGAGTAGCGAGCATACTGGCTGAAAAAAAGACCAGTCATATTCAATGTAATTAGCAGCGCCCCACACGATTGACCGTCACCGTGGTGCTGGGAAGACGGGCAGCTGATCAGGAAGATCCGTCTCATCAAAATAGCCTTTATCATGCCTCAATACTGAAGCGCGTCCGTACTAATAATATTTGTGCTTGGAATGGTCGTGATGCTTGTCATCAAATTCCGTAAAGAGTACCGACTGACCCACATTTTCATACACTCCCTTTCATGCGTGTGCCGTAGACACTTCCCCGCCTGAAGACGGCTGAGGGAGAAGTTGAGGCTCAACAAAGAGATTTCGGACAAAGCAGGGGTGGTTACAAGCGATCTGTGACCTCGGGGTAAAAGCTCCATACCGGTCGAAGAGGATACCAAAACCGTACGATCTTTGTTTTTACCTGGAGCTCAGAGTAAAACCCAAACAAGTGATCTACAAAAAGAATGAAAAAAAAAAGACGGGGAAAAGTAGAAGTGTACGAGGTACTCCGTACGTATGCGTCGAATGGAGTCCAGAGCGAGTCTGTATTACGTCGTACGGAGTACTACTTAGCAGGATCAAGGACACCCATTTGGCCGGCGCCTCCTTTGAATTTGCTTTCCCGGAATATAATCTACTCGTAGTAATTAGTGGGCAAGACAAAACGCCATACCTTTGCGAAAGCGAGCCAGTGCTACATATTATAACAATACTTGCAATACACTACCACGCTGGTGGTCGATTACTTCACATGCCTAGGGAGGCCAAGAGAGCCGAGGCATGACGGGTCAATCCACCAATCCCCGCGCAGCATTGTTGAGCTTTGGTGATAAGATACATCGTCTTGACTATGTACGTCGTATGTACCCTCTTTATGAAGCTGTCAAGCCAAGATGCGGACCGCCGCTTAACCAATTTGATGGATAATATACCATATCTTTGGGCTGCATGTCAACGGCAGTCGATCTATTCTTGTTAGTCTTTATAATCTTCGCTGTGCTCCTGACTACGTGATCAGTAGGCCGAATGCCTTGAACAATGGGAAAATGAAGACGAGCACGGATGGCCATTGTAGACTGGGCATCTTGTCCATTGAGTTCTCTCGGCTTCTTTTCTGCGGATCTGAAGCCTTCCCGGCGCAAAAATTCTTTGGGTTCTCAAAGAGAGCTAACCAGGTTATGTTCTCGTAATAGTTCTGCAAATTTTACAAGAGTAAGGCCGGTAGCCTCCGTTGAAAAATTCGCCATCACAGTTTGCCTGCCGCGTCTTCATCGAATTTCATAAGGCGCAGTGATTATGTAATGTATGAATGGAAACGTCGTATTAACGGGTACGAGTACTCTTAGACACGCCAATTCTCAGTGGTTGATGGGGAAAAGGACATCCACAATATGCTTTGTTAGGAATGCTTATTGTCCTCGTCGCGCTTTGAACACAGCCGACTCTTATTGGTGAGCGCGAGAGTGTCAAACATGGCCTTTGTGACTGCCGGTTTGCCATACCGAGTATGCTTATGTAGCTTTATTACTCATACTTTGGCCACTTGCAAACGGAACCGGAACAGCCGCCCGGAACGTCAATCCGCTAGGCACAAGTCAGCTGGCATGCCAGCTGGTGGTGGGGGGCTAGCCTCCCTTCCCCCCTTTCAATCAAAGAGTACGGAGTACGGAGTACTCTGTAAGGCACTCCTCCAAACCGAACCGAAAGCCGCGCGGGTCCCTCTTCCCCATGACAGAAAGGCACCGGTAACGAGCTAATGGGCCACAGTTGATCTGCTATGGTGATAAATTATACTACATAGTATGTATTTTCACTTGTAAACACAAGCAATCAATTTAGAGTAGGTCAGTACAAGCTCAGGCTACATGCAATAACATCCTTTCGAGCTCCCCCTTTTGTCACGCCCTACTCGTACTATCACCTTCTCCTTAATGTCAGGCACTCTGCCGGCTGGCTGCTTCGGAGCGCATTGTGGGATATACTAGAAATTACGAGAGGGAAACAGTTGCGCCGAACATTAGAGCGGGTGGATGCTGTGTGCGATGACTAGGTATGCTGTGCTCCCCCCGCCCAAGGAAAAATGGGAGAATACAGGACGGCCATACTATGTAGCCACAAGGCGAAAAGTAAGCATGTGCACATTTGGTGCGCCTTGTGACAGCAGCTGATACCGGCGCTTCTACTCACAATAGCTAAGCCGAAAGCTTAGGCATGTCCGTCCGTCACGAGGTTTGGCAGCAATGTCGGAGGTCATTCCCTTTACTTGTAAGGTCGGTGATGTTATTGGCTATAGTGCTCCGTACTTTGAACTCTGCGAGATACTACTCTGTACTCCGTAGTGGCATTTGATTGCCGTCTCGAGCCTTCTGGATTAAGAAATTGTCACCGTTAACTTTAGGTCTCGTGGTCGATGGAAATTGGACAGAACGGGGCTCAGACGTGGGTCTTGCCGTTCTAGGAAATACTTTGCACTTTGGGCAATATAGTTTATTTAGCTGTACGTTGCGACGGGGTAAATAAAACTGCTTGTGGCAAGCCTTTCGAGACGGAGTTCTTTGCGCGTGCTGCCCGAAGTATATTTTACTAGCCTCTTCCAGTAATATTCCTCCGTTTGCGGGCTCCGTCTATATATATATATTTTTTTTTTGCTTTATACGTACGCATGCTTAACATAAGGGTCACTTATACGGCAAAGCAGAAGCTAGGAAAAGGAAAGAAAACAATATAGGTAGAGCCTAAAACAGAAATATAATAGAAAAAACCCTAAGCACGATATGCTTGTCAATATAGATTTGATAGCAGCTTAGATTGTAAGAATCTTACCTTACGTTTCCGGCCTAACGGAGGACAAGGTAAAATGCGAAAATGCATAACGGAAGCGTATAATACTTGGCGACTAGCCTATTTTGGAAATAGGTCTAGAGTCTGGCTAGACGGTGGACCATATTTTTTCACGAGCCTGCTGACCTTTCCAGCCCCTGGAATACCCGAGGAAAGCCCGCCACCCCTCTCAATTTCTACGTACCGAACTTTTGGTATGTCAAGTACCTATCGGGGATGCCCTGTCTGCTTCTCCCTGTCGCCACGGTACATTGGTAGATACGTACCTCCCCTGCTAGCTGTAAAATACATGGTACCTAGCCGGGGCACCTCACCGCGACTTGGACCGAGAGACAGACTCGCATCCCACCCCCCCCCCCCTCGCTCCTTCCCACCTGGCAATCGATCCAACCGCCAGAACAATAATTTCTACATCTTGGTGCCCTCCCCCACACATTCGTTTTGTCTTTTCTTTTTCCTTCCTCTCCATATGTTCCGTCTCATTTCCAACTCTAGGATCAAATTCTACAGCAATTCACAATACCAACACAACAATCGAAACTTCAGCTGACCGCCACCTACCTTGGAACCAGCACCTGTTCACTTATTACGAGATCAACACACTCGCCACAACCTTCTCAGCGGTATATAATCTCAAAAGAGCCACAACTACTCCCACGCATTTGGTGCTCACTCTCCGGAAGAATAAACTGTCTTCGGGCGCCGGGAATTTCTTCCACGACACTGATTAGGAAACAAACTCACGAACGATCAAATCTGGGACACAAAATCAACAATCGAGAGTCAGATTTCGCGTCAACTCCTTTCGCAATAGCGAGTTTCGCACACACATCTAGGTACAATGCCTTCAGCATTAGACACACCGGTGCTACAGGTGGATGCCAATGTCATCCACAAGGTAGACACATCCAACCCGCAAAACCTCTTCAGCATGTGGACTGGTAAGTAGACATACGCTTGTCCCTTCTCAGTTCTTCACTAATGAGATCTATAGTTTTTGCACGATGCGCAGACTCGGTGGCTCAAGGCCGCCGACTTGAGAACCTCAGCTGGCGACTGTGGACGAGAGAAACATTCTGTGTCGAAGACACCACACACTCGCCCATCAGCATTCCGTCTGATTCTTTCATGACATCCGCAGATATGTCACCTAAGCCGACTGCTATTCCTCAGCGCGACCATTCCACAGCAGAAGATGTACCGCAACTTTCTGGCAGCGTGGAGTCTGTCGCCGATGATGAGACTGAGGAGCTGTCCGGCGAGCCTGGTGCCGTCGAGATCATGCGTCCCAGGATACGGCGACAGGATTCTTGTGGAAGCAGCCGCAGCCGTGGTCGCGAGAGGCATATCACATCTGACGACTTGGAGAAGATGGTCGTCTCAATTGTTCAAGGGAAGGAACCGCTCACGGCTCCCCGCCCGGAAATTTCACGACTTCTTTTCTTTTTACTCCTGTTGTGCCTTCGTCGGAATCGTCCGGGCTCTCTGCAAGCAGCATTGCAGAACCGCTTTTGTCGGTGAACTCCTCGATGCACACCCTAGTTGAACCTGAAGAACCAGTATCGAACGAAGCAGATGCAGCGGCCGACACAGTCACTCCTTCCACACCGACGAGGACAACAACTGTCATTCGCGGTTTCTCTCCTTCTCATGTTCCTATTCGGATTTCGGATGCTGAGATATCACAACACGATGAAGCCGTTGAAGAGGATGCAATCCCAGAGCCTACATCTTCGCCGGCTGCGAAGCTGGTCCCGTCGAAGAAGGCTACATTTGCCCTCGGTGGCTCGTCTTCTTGTGAGGACTCAATGAGTGATCCATCCCGGAGCTTGGAAATGCATCAATCTGCTATGTCCCATATGATCAAGAGGAAATCAGCCGCCTCTGTTCATAGCATTGCTGGCCCTTCTTCCGCTGCGAAGATTGCACATCCGGAGGAGGAAGGGTCTCTGAAGAGTGCGATGCTCTCAGCTCGCAACCTCAACGCACAGAAGAAGCAGACATCGTTTAGCAACCAAGTGATGACGCGAACAATCCCACCTGCCCCCGTCTTCGAGGATGATTCGGAGTCGGATGACATTGACGAAAGCGCTATCGATGACGACGATGACGATTCGTCGGACTGGGAGGACTCGAACGAGGAAAGCGGCCGGTCCAGCATTGACGAGAAGAACATGTTCCAGCGTGTCGACTCGAAGGTTCACCTACCGTCTCGCAGGTCGCTCATAACTCTCATGATCCAGAAGAGCGAGCGTGAGCTGAAGAATGGGCTGATGACGTCGCAATCTACGATGGCTCTCTCCCGCCCACGTGTTGCCCGCCAGCCGCCTTCTCTGGTCGCTTCCCCGAACGATTCCGACGACGCTGCCCTAATGATGCGCCCTCGGGGACGTCCTCAGTCGAATCTTCGGCCCATCAACGAGATTCCGCGCAGCGCAGCACAGCCCATCATGACGTCGGCAGCAGCAGGTGGTCAGTACCAGGCTGCCTATTCGCCACGCACGAACCGGCGCAACATGCTTTCCACAGAGCTCACGGAGTCGCTTCGTAGACATCTCCTCTGGGAACGGTCACAAAAGACATCTACTGCCAATGCGGTGCTCAAAAGACGCCATACCTCGCAGGATGTGGCCAACCTGAAGCAGTACCCGGAGACACCCCACATGGTCAAAGAGAACGACGCTGGTGCTTCGAGCTGGGATCAGTACCTTAACCGGGACGCTTTCAACGGATACCATGCAAAGGGCTGGTAATCGAACAGAGCAACAACAGAAATCCACCTCTTTTCGTATTTTTCTCGAATACATTGTACCACCATCTACACATATCAGCATCATCGAGCGAGGAGGTCTTCCATCTACTGTTTCTATTCGGCTTTCGCCTTCGCGCATTACAACATGTCTGGATGGCGATTTTCTTTTGTTTCGCCGAATGTCTCTTCTGAACGGTTTCTTACACGCCTTTACTCCCGGCCAAAATTAATTCACTTTTCACCGAAGCTTGGGTAGCTTCGCACTCCTACAGTCTTGACACTGACCAAGATAGCAATGTTTTATGTGAGGGACGGGGTTTTGCAATTTTGTTATTTAGCACACTTCGGCGTTTTTCGTGTTTTCTATCACTTATACGATACCAATGTGTGCCACTGTGCTTTTCTTTTTTTTCTGCTTTTTCATGTACGGGTGGCGAATTGTTTCTCGAAGGATTGGGATTTGTACTCTTTACATTGCGGGAGACATGAGGGCAACCTACTATAGTCTTCATGTCATTTGGTAATGATGGAGGACAAAATGGCAAAAGGGGGAACGCAGTTATTGCCTTTGCGGAATACCAAAACAAAGGTGGGAAAGGGCGTGGGTTTGTAAAATAAGCAAAGGAACCTACCACTCCACGAAGATTCGCAACATCAGATAGCTAGTGGTTCTTTAAACCCCCCGAGAAAAAGTTTGACGATTTCAAAAAAAAAAAACAAAAAAAAAACCCCTTCCCGTAGAACTTAGGTGAATAAGTGATGTCCTAGGACCTCGACCGTGAATTCATCTGCAAGCATAATCGCGGAGAGAGGAACAAGATGTGGCTTTTAGTTGGCATGTGAATGACGGGATATCGGCATTTACCAGTGTCTACAAAGTCATACATTCTGGGCCAGAGTGCTTTGTTCTGCGTACAAACGGTGCCTGGTTTAGTACAGCACCCTATTAGTGCCGAGCACAACACGGCGACTACGAGGCAAGGGGTTTGGGTGGAAATCACAGCACCTTGTTCGGCGCTCTTCTGCTCCGTACATTGCAATATACCATGTTGTTGTCTCTGTGTTTGCTCCACTAGTCGACGCACGGTGATTGGCAATACCAAAGAAGCTCTCCCAGTTACTCCATACTATTACGCTGTTGGTCAAAATTTTTAATGATCCTTTCTGATTATAGGATGGTTTGTTAGTGCTGCCAACGCGAAAAAAAACCCGCGACGAGAAGAAGTGAATCTAGCCAGAGTGGTATTCGTATATTACGTGTGCAATCAACATGTGGAGGAAAACTGCATTGCATTGCGTTCCTTTGTTTCTCGAAGCAGGCCAACCCCGGAACAATGGACCGCCACGAGATGTTGGGCCTGCGAAATCCTTGTTTTCTACTCCGTATGTGCCGCCCATCTAGGAAACGCGTAGTTGGTGCTATAAGAAGGTGTGAACCGGGGACCAAACCGATGACTCTTACGTATACCGTACAATCCTCGGCACATCCGAGGCATCTGCATTCGATGACATACGAACCTGTAAGCGCAGTACTCCGTAGCTTTTGGAGAAATACCCTCCCTTTTTTGTCTGTTTAGGATAGGACTGGGCGTACTTTCAGAACCGTTTTCCCCCCGTCTTTTATATCGTCCAAAAGAAGGTAGACCGCTAATAGCTGTTAAGGGTATGGGAAACTCATGTACACCCCGTAGTATCTGTGCGCACAGAAGAGCAATCAGCTGCTATTATGTAGAACCCCTGGATGGAAACTCGGTCTTCACCTGCAGGTTATTATCGGAGCCTGTCCAGCTTGCTCATCGACGAATTGGGGGCGGCAAGTATCCTCCGGTCTGTCGTCACCGCTGTTCGCAAATAAGCCTTACGTGCGGAAGGGTAAGGTGTCGAGCGTCTCGCGGAGGCTTTCCTCCCTACCGTTGCTATATGGCGAAGCACACGCCTTCGCTCGCCTTCACCGACTTTTAGCCCTGGCATTAGGAGCATTGTACTATGTAACGTCCTTTCCGATCCGTTCCATATTGACCCAGCCCCCCTTTTCTAGACTTCCCGTTATATCGCGAGAATTGAGCTGCAGATGATCGTGTCAGAGCTCTTGGAGCAGTATTAAACCCTTTCGCATGGCAAAACGGTGACGGATTTGCTACCTCTATGTGGCCATTCTGAAAGCAGCACTATCCTAGATAGCATGTAGTTTAAAAAAAACAAAAAGCGACAAACAGCCTAACATAAACGGCGCATCTTAATGCTGGAGCCTGCGAGTAATTTGAGGCTTGATTGCCATTGTTACACGTTGGGCCTGCGCGAGCATTGCCTTCGATATCATTGTTTTGTTTACGATCGCAGTGCACCATCCTGGTCAGCTATCGATTGATTTTGATTGAGAGTCGTTTGTGAAAGGAGAAAAGTAAACGAGAATGAAAGCTAATGACGCTGCTGGTCGACAATTATATTGACACTTCACCTAAACACTGCTCACTTCTAAGTACGATGGGTTTTGAGACAGCTTTAGGGCGACGATGAAAGCAGTAATATCGCCAGCCGTAGCAACATATCTGAAAATGCATCTGGTAGCGTTTATACGGCCTGCAACGCGGGCTGTAGACGATCTGCGGCTGCAACGTAGGTGATGCTTAACGGTAACACCACAATAGCAAGCCCGCTTTATCAATGTGCAAGACAAGGTAGTAGCTGGCTTGTGACTTGATAGACAAAACGATGAATCAAGCTGTCAACATGTTGCCTATAATAAGAAACAGAGCGTTCGGGACCTTCCCTCAAGAATCCCATCACAGTACTAGCCACAGCCAAAGAAAAAATGTCACGTGCGGTGTCCTTTTATAAAAGATCACAAGGACCATGGGTGCGAAAGATCATTGTACAACAACTACCAATTGTCGACATACTTATAGGATTTGCGGTGTTCAGGGACTGTGTACGAAGCTGTAAATATCTTATCTTAGACGAGCGGGGTAACTAGACTGGGTTAGCTCCATAGTGAGGACGACCATGCGGGGTGGTGCCTGACCTCTATCAATGGTTCCTTCCTATTCTGCATCTTTACAGCACTTGCCCTTTACCCTGCACTGCATATCAGGCCGTCGGACAAAAGTAAAGGCGGAGAGACAAGTCGAATTAAGATACCTGTGACGTGTGGATGCATCTCATGAGAACGGGGGTACCTTGTCTGCAGAGCCGCACATCATCCTTCTCGAGCTATCGTCCATCGGTGAGACAAGTTCAGCCTCGCTTCACATTACTGCCTCGCTTATAGGCCTTTCTGTCTCGCTGCTCTCGAAAACAGGGCTCACTCATACGCAGCTGTACCTTTTCCCGAGCTACAGCCTTCTACCATGTTTTCTCAGGTAAGTCGAGCGACGCAATGCACGAAGAGATATGAACCCAGATGCTACAACGTCCTATATTTCGTAACCTTTTATGCTCTCACATGCAAACCTCTTGAGGCTATGCTTTACTTAGCTCTCAGTGCTTTTGCTGTAGGCTGCTAACTATTTGGTGCAGAAAAAACCGTATACTGCAGTCACTGCCACCATCGAGCGCCTCACGAGCGAGTCATATGAGGAAGATGACCTAAGTGGAATCCCCGACCTTGTTGAAGTGATTAAATTACAGTCGACTGGACCGGCCGAGGCTGCTCGTGCCATTCGAAAGAAGCTCAAGTATGGAAGTGTGCATCGGCAGCTGAGAGCTCTGGCACTGCTGGATGGCCTGATTCAAAATGCAGGCGCTCGCTTCCAGCACGCCTTTGCAGACGAGCCACTTCTGGAACGTCTCCGCGTCTGCGGTACCTCGGACTTGTCGGACCCTGATGTCAAGAAGAAGTGTCTGGAATTGTTCCGCAACTGGACTCAATACAAAAACACACCAGGCCTCGAACGTGTTGCCCGCTTGTACAAGGTAATATACCACTGCTATAAACCTCTAGACATGCAAGAAATTGGAGACTGACATCGGAAACTCTGTAGGAACTTCCGCAGCGCAAGCAAGTAGTGACCCAGGCACGATCCAAGGTGGTGCAGGAGACGGAAAACCCCTTTGACGATGACGAAGATGATGAAAAGCCGGTTTCAGAACCGGCGCCTGCGGCGGGTCCTTCTTTGGCCACCAGCTCTACTCAAGCTTCATCTTCGTCAGGCTTCCGTCCGAATACAGAGACACAGCCGACTGGCCTTATAGAGTCATTCAGCTTCCTATCCTCGACACAGGACAAGGACAAGAGCAAGAAGAAGAAGGACAAAGCCAGCAAGAAGGGTCGCAAGCCGTTTAATCTGGAAGCCGAAAAAGGCTTGATGAAGTCTACCATTGCTGATGCATCTATTGCGGCGATCGACCTCATGAACACACTACAGAGTATCAACCGCGAGCAGGAGCGGATATCTGAGAACTCGACTGCTCTTCAGCGATTTGAAGCCGCCAAACTTCTCCGGAGAAAAGTTCTTAGATATGTGAGTGCCCCGTAATGCCTACGGTCTCCGTATTGACAACGGGCTACAAGAGTCAGAGACTGACAGAATGCTTCAGATCTATCTTGTAGACTCGGAGGAATACCTCGGCAGTCTGCTGCACGCCAACGACGAACTTGTTACTGCACTTATGACGTTCGAGCAGCTGGACCGCTCTATCGACGCAGACAGTGACTCGGATGATGACCTGGCTGAGCAAGCCCATCGATACCGGAGTACGTAAACCTCAACCGTGCTTCAATTCCATTACTTTACCGTCTGTATTGGTCGAGCTGACAACCGCATCTGTACAGTGATTGTCGAAAAAGGCAAAGAACCGGCATCCCCAACCTCTGCATCTGCCGTGCCTGAACTGGGAGGCTTGAGTATTGATATTGAAAAGCCAAGCACGGCCCCATCCGTACCAAAGCCACCCTCCCGTCCTCTAGCTCCCCCTAGGCCCTCGGCCAAGTCGAAACCACAGATGCCGCTGTTCATTGGCCAGCTTCCACCACCAAGAAGAGCACCAAGGGATGACTCTGACGGTGGTGAGAGCTACGAGGATGCAGATGATGACGAGAATGACCCCTTTGCAGACCGGCATGAGGTAGGGACCCCTGCGGTGGAAACGGAAGAACCAAGGTGGTGATGCGTACAACGACGAGAAGTGCGTCTCTATTTTGTTTTATCGTGTAAGCTTCATTGCTTTATCTGCTTTACTTTGTTGTTTCTGTGCCCTTGGGCATGACTAGCGCGCAAAGTTCTCGACTATACCAGGCTGTTTTCTGCATCTGTTCAAGCATGGCCCGGAGACAGAAAGTATGAGACTAGCCAGACAATATTGATACTCGGTATGTAAGTGGTCTCACTGCTGTGTTCTATCACGTACGGCCATAGATACTGGAAAGCACGGGATCCCGTCCGCTCTCCCCTAGTTAAACCAGTAATCGGCGGATTAGTAGTTGGGTCGGTGACGACCAGCGAATACCCGCTGCTGTACGTTTTTTTGATGCTTCCCATTTTGGATTCGTACCTCCATTAGGTAGACTAGTTATTTTGCTTTACTAATTGGCTGATCATTCAACAGCATTGCCATCATGGGTTTTTATCCTAAGCATGATTACACGACTCCTGAATTGACGTGCCTAATCTCTATGTCTTTTAATGTGAAAAGCACGGAAATTGTGGTTAACGAATGGTAGGCTGTAGGATTTCCTTAACATCCTTCAGCAGCTGTAAGCTAATAGACCCAAGGAAAGACAGTTGAATTTTATCTTGCCGTTATTACTGAGACGAGTAGAGAGACGGAATAAAGAGATGAACTGCGTAGTTGCCCTGTAAATCCTATCATTTTTTGTACAGCCCATTTCATGTTCGAGCGTGAAAGGAAGGTGTATTTACGAGTAGTCACAAAAGAGAATAATAGCACATGGCAGTCTAAGACTGCCTTTAGGGACCGTAGAAATGGAAGAAAACATAGGATAGTATGAATAGAAACAACAGAATCTCAGCTGGATGTGGCCGGACCAGCAAAAAAACAAATAGATACCAACAGGCTTCGCTCATGTGCGTCCCAAGAAGCGGAAGCTCTGTCCGATGGACTTTGCGCTGTGCCGAATCCTGGCTTTGTCCGTCGCGATGGTCTTTGACAAAACTGCTTTGCGTTCGACCTTGACAAGGGCGGCCTTTGACTTGTCTGACACGCCGGCTAGGCCGAGAGTGTTGCGTGGTGGAGGACGTGTTGACACTGCTCGGTTTGTGCGCGTGAGAGCCGATGATGGCTCTCCGCTGGTAGCGGCGTCTTCGTCCAGCTCCATGACATCTGCACCAGCGTCGGTGGCTTCGTCTCCGGCCTCGAGGGCGAAGTGGCCCAGCTTTTCGCGCTCGGCCAGCGAAGGATAGTTGCGGAGATTCTGTCGGAAGTAGCGGTTGAGTGACCGATGGCCGACAGAGCGGCCCGATGGCAGATGCAGCTCGTACTCGTCGTAGAAGACGGCGTGGTTGTGTTTGTGTGCGTGCGAGTGCCAGCCGTCGGTCTGGTGGTGAGCCCTAGGGTCGGTCTGGCTGTGGTGTGGGTGCCTCTCCAGGCGGTCGAATTGGTGGTAGTGGTTGTCGGCAGGGACGGCGGTCAGATCATCCGAGTCGAGTGACGACGCAGAGCTGTCCGTCTCCCATCCGTTGCCTTCTCTGTCGTCCTCATCGTCGTCGGACATAGATCCATCACCACCAGCGACAGTCGTTTTTGTGGCACGCCTTGCGCCGAGCTTGGTGCCGAGCTTAGCACCGCCGTTCGTCTTCAATTCCTTTTCGTCCTCGCTCGACTCCTCGTCGGGCTCGCTGTCGGAGTATGTTGCACGGAAGCCGTAAAAGTCGCCAATCTCCACCTGCTCTTCGACGGTCGAGTAGGGAATCTTGCAGTGGGCCTTGTCCCGCATATGGGTCTGCACGGCGAACACGTCTGCTCGGATCTTGCCGCAGTAGATGCATTCATGGTCGTCACGGATGCGGGTCTGCAGCAGGTCCAGCAGGCCGTCGGTGTCGACGAGGTACTGCTTTTCCGGAATGAACATGCCGTGGAAGCGCTCCATATGAGCCGTGTTGAGAGCGACGGAAGGCGAGGCATAGTTGCAGAAGAGACAGAGGTTCAGTGAGTGGGCCGGCGCGCCCGACTTGGACAGCGCTGGAGTTGCCGTGTCCTCGGACGCTGAAGTGGCAGTCGCTTGCGTCAGGGGATGTTCGTCTTTGTGCTGGGCTGCAGCGGAGAGATGCGGATGCTCCGGGCGCTTCAGCAAAGACGGCTCCCCTTCAATGGTAGCCTTCTTCAGGTTCTTCACGACCTGAGTGAACTCTTCTTCGGCGTCGGAGTCGACAGTCTCGCTGGTGATATCGACTGCCTTCTGGTGAGGCTCACCTAGGGAGAAGGTGGAACTCAAGACAGAGCTTCCCTCATCACCATCCCTTACACCCCGACCACGGATGGCTGCGACGACCTCCTTGGCCTTGTGCTTCTGGCTCGAGATGTGGTTCCGGAACGAGTTTTCGCTGTAGTACGTCTTCTGGCAGACTTCGCAAACACGCTCAAAGCTGGCCCTGTCCGCCTCGGCAGCTGTGGATGCTCGGGACTGGATGACACGCTCGGCGAACAGTTCGGACGAGATGGGAGGAAGGGAAGTAACGCGACGCTTGAGGTTATACCGATGCCAGTCGCCCTTCATGTGGTTCTTCTGCAGGTCGCTATTCCGGAAAGCGACCTGGCATGTGTTGCAGCTGTAGGGATGCGAAGCCGGTGCATCCAGCTTCATAGCCGGGCGGCCCGATGCTATAGTTGCCATGACCTTTGCTTGTTCTGCTAGAGCAAAGACGAGGTACGGGATCGACCTGCTTCGAAAGTCTAATATGCACAGGCGAATCCGCTTGCAGTGGGGATTGCGATATCTCGATAGAGGGGCTGAATAGAGGGGCCAAATGAGGGGCAAGAAGATGCAGACACTGACGATGGGCCAGTTGGTGATGGTGATGTATCGGGGGGAGACAATCGGCACCTCAGAGAAGTTCACCAACGGGCGTTTCTTAGGTTTAGCTCGTGGGCAAGTTTGGCGGGGGCAATTTTTTTTGAGTCGCAATGCACCGGATATCCGAAGTATTATGACGTTGCAGTCGTGCACCCTGTGCCCTGCTAATCCCAGACGATTGCTAGATAAATCCGACTTGGTAATGACAAACCTGCTGGCCAATCCCCTTGATTTTAGAAGTCAGATGGGGAAAAATGTTAAATAAGAGAAAGCAGATAAGAAATTGGTTTCCGCGGGGTATAGTAGTAGAGATCGCTAGCAAGAGGAACGGAGTTCCGACCGTATGCTTTATACGATGCAAACAAGATGCCGTAACGTCTCACAGAGCGTGAACGAGAGGGTGAAGGTGATGGAAATGTAAGACGACGGAATAGACGGGAGGAATTTTGGTGTTTTATGTGTGGATCTTGGCAAAGCCCTCTCTCGTTATTCTTCTAACTGGATAAGAAGGCTGCCAGAAGGTGGGGGGACTTTAGGGCCGTCGATTCGGTAGTGGCTGTATTAATAAAGCAGAACCGAGGGATTCGCCTAGAATTCTGTGAGATGTCCCTGCCTGATGCACCCCACAATTCCCTCAGCTCGATCTCGGTCTGCGGTGATTAGATAGGCCGGCGCGTGACTGGGTTTTAGGTTTCAGGTCTTTGATGGCAAATTGACGACGACAGAGATTTCTGGATGCTATTGAGGCAGCCAATTATAGCGCAGAGGATTTTTCATCGTTTTTCTGCCTAGCATTTTCGCCTTCGGGACGCTTGGACCACAAAAGGACCGTGCACGCAGCGGCCTCTGCCTTTGCAGTACTAGTTTCTAACGCCTGAGGCTGACGGGGAACTTTGCCAAATCAACCCGCTCGGCTTGCTTCTCGTCTACTCCTGCTCTCGATTTGAGTTGAAGCTGCCGACAAAATACCTCTGCAAGCTGGCAAACCCCTCCCCTGTCCCCGCTGCGGACAACGAATCCACCAGCAGCACCCTATACACAACTAACGGGTGTCACCACAGCCTGTTGACAGATAGCGGATATTTGTCAGCCTGTGCGTCAGCCTATCTCCCAACGTCCTGCTGCCAGCCTGCCTGCATCGAGTGGGCCGTGCAACGACGGAATCAAGCTGGCTGCGAGTTTCCGCTTGCGAGTACGGCGGGTATACATCCACCGCCGACATCGCGGACCACCAAGGCAGCCGACAAGAGGTAGAAACACGGGCGGCTCGCGCCTCTCCCTTTTGTGATAGCGGTCTTTTCAGACTGTTGCCCGTCGTCCTGGGCATCCGGTCATGGATCTAACCGCCCGACCGCCTGCGGGCCATGGTGCTGATGCCGAGATGCTGGCGGGACTCTGGCAACATGCGCCATTTCCGCGGCTGCCGCTGGACGCTCCGGCCGAGCTCCGGGAGCTCGTGGCAGACGTCGAGAATCCTCGCCGTGTCTATGCTATTCATCGGGCCAGTCGTCGTCACAACTTCCAGCTGACGGTGCAGAAGTGCGTCGCTCTTTTCCCGTCTTACGTTCTGTTCGCTTGGTAGGCCTACTGACTTGCCGTGTTTCAGATACATCGTTCAGCTATGCGAAGGCTGTGGTGCCAGCGAGTGCCACAATCCCACCTGCTTCACCTGCCGGAAGCGCATCGCCGGCCAGGCCCCCCTCCGTCGATACAACGCCACGAGCGCCCGCACGCTTGCCGTTCATCTTGCGAGTCAGGAAAATCCCGAAGTCGGCCTATGCGCCTCGCTCAGGCTTCCGAAAACCGCCCCGGCAGCAGTCCGGTCTCTGCGTTTTACGCCCAAATATCCCCCAATGACCCGTGGAGACGGCGTATCGAGCAGTTCCAAAACGACATTGGCTCGTGCCGGGTCACCGAAAGACCGGAAGAGTGCAACAAAGCACGGGCACGCTGTGTATGCAGGATCTAAGGACGGTGGGACACAGTCGGAAAAGTCGACTCGCTCAAAAGCAGACACTGCCTCTGAGGGCCTGCAGGAGGCCCCGAAGTTCATAATTGTGGACAAGCCTGCCAGCAAAGACTACCGGTCTTTTGCCGCGAATATGTTCGGCACCGTAGCGTTCAAGATGCTCGAGTGGCTGACGCCTGCAGCTATCGAAAACATGACCGAGAAAGCAGAGAAGCTGCAGGCTGGCTTTCCGGCATCTGACGAGGGGAAGATCAGGGCCCAGGAGGAAAGGCCCAGACATGATGCGACAGCGAAAGAAGCAAAGGATATGACGGGCTCCGAGTCAGTCGATGCGACAGGTAGACATGACTCTGGGGCTGCAGAATTGGCTGGTTTAGACAGTCGTGCTACCTCAAACGGAAAGTCGCGACAGACGACATCGCCGACAAATACTCGGCGAAACTCCAACGCGCGACTTCGCACGCAGTCGACGAAGCCGCAACGCAAATTGTCTGTCGACGCCTTCCCCCCGGAGTCCTCTAACGACGAGCTGCTACCCAACTTGCGCTCCCCTCTAATACCCAGCATACAGACGGACGGTATGAATCACAGGACGCCGCCGACCAAGTCGCTTAAGACGCCGACGCCGGCGATTCCCCGCCCAATCTCCCAGCTATCTGGGGCTGCATACTTTGAGGGTGTCCCTTTGGAGAAGATGCCACCGATTATGACCGCTGAGATCAGGCCGCAAGTTGGACGCAACCAGGCTGATGGGTCCCAAGGCAGCGGGAGCGAGAGCAGTTTGGAGCAGCTTGGATCACGGTCCTCTCGGTCGCCATCTTCGGATCGGTCTGATGCAAATCAGTCTTCTGTACTGTTGGACGCCGACCTTCTGGACACCACATTCGATACGTTTCTTCCACAAACACTTACGCGATTGGATACCGAGACGATCGACTTTGTGTGCGACGTGCTTCAAGACGACCACACAGCCGAACAGCACCTGCTCGAGCCCGCGACAGTTGCAAAGTTCCACACAAGGGTCAGCGGCCAACCCCGACCTCTGCGGCGGAAGGAAAAGTCGCTGGTCCATGGCCAGTCGGTGCGGCTTCGAGAAGGAGAGGAATGGCGCCTGTTTGCCGAGCAGAGCTTCTTCTACGTCCTGAGTGATCCCCATACGCTTCTGAGCTCGTTTACGAAACATGGCCAGCTCTACGACACACAGACGCTCTGGTACTGCATGCTGCGCATGACTCGTGTTGCCCCAAGTCTAGTTTTTCACAGCCTGTGGGTGGCTGCCGAGATGCTGTTTGCGCCCCCTCAAGCGTTGCAGGCACTCTGCTCGCCGACAGTCCGCCTCTTCCCCCAGGCGCGCAAGTTTCTGACAAATGCGGAGGCCGGCATGCTTGTCTCTATCTGCCTGCACGCTCTTGTGGCAGCTGCTCCGCCGGTCGACAGCGCCAGAAAGCTCTACGACATGTCCCGCATCCGGTCCCAGGGTTTGAGCCTCGCTGTCAGCAACTCCATTGCGCGACAACCTGCCGAACTATGCCTCCAGTATGACGATGCCTTTTCGAACCCGCTGGCGCTGCGGCTGGCCAGACGGCTGCTGACGGCCATCACAACCCGGCGGATTTTCGACGAGCTGATGGAGTACGACGTGGGCCGTAATAGCAGTAGCGAGCTCGACGTCCTGGACCATCTCTTTGCACAGCTCGACTTCTTGAACATGGACGCTGCATACATTCTCGACTTCACCGTTGCTGACCGGACCCTCCATGAGACGAGAATGCCGACGTTGCTTCTCGACTGGGCAAGAGCAGTCATGCTGCATGATTGGGACGGACGGCCGGATGTTTCGGGAGACAGTCCGTTCGGTGGTGCACTCGCACTCATCAAGGCCATCTGTAAGTGGCCTTCTCTGTTCGCTATCTCTGTAAAATGCTGACTAATACGCAACAGTTGAGCGACGACAAGCCCTCCTGGTTGGGGATGCACAGTTCCGGTCCGAGTTCTTTGCCGAGCGCCTAGACGAGGTAGAGACGCCGCTGTCCTGGCTCACTTTCAACTCGACCAAACAGAGGCTGCATATCCTTGACTTCCCCTATATCTTTAGCCCGGACACGCTCGTGTCGTACTTTCGGGCGATCAACTTCTCTCGGATGAGCCGGTCGTTTGAGGAGTCCAGCTCGCTGCAGAACCGTATGGATGCGATAGTGTCGCCCAGCAGCCTAGTCATCAACCCTCACCACAAATCGATCCTGCAGGGACTCTTGCAGACGGCGTCGGCCAAGTATCTTATCCTCGACATCGGGCGCACGTCGGTGCTGCAGGACGCATTCGACCAGCTGTGGCGGCGGGAGGAACGGGAGCTGCTGCGGCCACTCAAGATTCATCTCGGCGAAGAAGGCGGCGAGGAGGGACTGGATTCGGGCGGTGTGCAGCAAGAGTTCTTCCGGATGGCCATTGCCGAAGCTCTCGACCCGGCGTACGGCGCCTTTACGGTAGACAGCCGCACGCGCATGGCCTGGTTCAGTCCGACGACCCTGGAGGAGGAGTGGAAGTTTGAGCTGGTCGGGATTCTGGTGTCGCTCGCGCTCTACAACGGCGTGTCGCTCCCGGTGACCTTTCCGAAGGCGCTATACCGCAAGCTATTGGGCGAGCCGGTGACGGAGCTGCACCACATCTCAGACGGCTGGCCGGACCTGGCCAACGGATTGACGGCGCTGCTGGAGTGGAACGAGCAGGACGGGGCGGTGGAGGACATCTTTGTGCGGACGTACGAGTTCTCTGTCGACATGTTTGGCCAGCCAATCTCCCGGGTGATGGACGCGTCGGGATCGTGGCCCAAGATCCGCGAGAATGTCACAGGCACGCGAGCCAGGAGCAAGAAGAACAAGGAGGCAAGCGACAGTGGTTATGGGCCGACAGCCTCGACTCTGCTGGAGGCGAACCCGGGGGACGAGGCGCCGATGGTGACAAACGCGAACCGCAACGCATACGTGACGGACTACATCCACTACCTGACGGATGTGTCGGTGCGGCGGCAGTTTGAGGGGTTCTCGCGGGGCTTCCGGGCGTGTCTGCACGCCAAGTCGCTGCGGCTGCTTACGCCAGCGCTGCTGCAGTCGATGGTGGAGGGCGAGCAAGAGATTGACGTGTCGGAGCTGCGGCGCCAGGCGCGCTACGTCGGCTGGGATGCGAGCCATCGGACGGTGCGGGATTTTTGGAGCGTGGTATCGCGGTACGACGACGTGATGAAGCGCAAGCTGCTCGAGTTTGTCACGGCGAGCGACCGGGTGCCGGTGGGCGGCATAAAAAACCTGCACTTTGTCATCCAGCGCAACGGCGAGGAGTCAGGAACCGGCGGACATCTGCCGACGGCCTACACCTGCTACGGCATCCTGCTGCTGCCCGTATACCGGGATCGTGCCGTGTTGCAGGAGCGGCTGGCGATGGCGCTGGAGAACGCGCAGGGCTTTGGATTTGCCTGAGGAAACCGACGGTCCGATTGGCTCCAGTGGCAGCACAGCTGCACAGCTGCACATCTTTGTAATACACATATAGAGCGGGAGCTGGCGGTGGTGTCTGTGTTTGGTTTCTCTTTTTTGGCTTGCAATGTGTCTCATATGCCATCGTAAGATACTCTTCTGTCCACATATATGTTCCGGAGGGGAGGGATGAGGGAAAAACCAAAAACAAGGGAAAGGCTTGCGAGCTTGGTCTCTTCCCATTCGATAGTCTTTTCTTTCCCCTTCAAGTCTACCACACGCACACACGCACACACGCAGAAAGCCAGCAGAGATGTCCAGACGCCGCCTTGAGTGAATAAGCAGACTATATGTAGGCACCACGACCACCAACGGTGTGCGTGTCCAGCCGGCCTAGCAACCAGGGAAGGAGGGTATATCGGATCATTGGCCGCTAGAGGCCAAAGGCCTGTTGTCGCCCTGTTGTCGCCCTTCTCGTCGGGCTCCCTCCGCTCAGTAGGCATCCTCGCCGGTCCCGCTGATGATGACATTGTTCACCTTGAGCACCATGCGGCACAGCTGGGTGGCCAGCATCAGCTGCTGCCGTTTGCCGATGAGCGGGTCGATGACAAAGGCCTCCTTCATGTCGTTGGATCCCCGGCCCATGCAGTCGACACCCAGCCGGCCGCGGCCGCCGGGCTGCTTGACCTGCTGGCTCTTGACCTCGGCTAGCGTTGCGATCGGGTTGAGGCCTGAGTTCTCTGCTAGCGTCATCGGAATCGTGTCCAGCGCCTCGGCAAACGCTCGCATGGCGTACTGCTCCAGCCCTGGCGTCTGCACGGCCGCGTCCTCCACCGCCAGCGAGCACGCAATCTCGGCCGAGCCGCCGCCGTACACCACCCGGTTGTCGCGCACCAGGTTGCGCACCACGCACAGGGCGTCGTGCAGCGACCGCTTTGCCTCGTCGATGATCTGCTTTGTCAGCACATATGATTACATAAGAACATCAACCACAACCAAACCAAGCCATACAAACTCACCATCTTGTTGCTGCCGCGCACAAAAACCGTGACGGCACGGGTGTTGGCGCACTCCTCGATGACGAGCATCTTCTCGCGCGTGGTGCCAAAGGTCATCTCGCGGACGATGCCAGCACTGCCCAGCTTCGCGGCCGTCAGGTCCTCGAAGCGCGGCACGATGCGGCCATTGGTGGCAATGGCAATCAGCTCGATCTCCGGCCCGCCGACCCAGCGCACGGCTGGCAGCTTGTTCTGCAGCAGCAGGTGGTTGGCCTCGTCGTCGAAGCCCCACTGGCAGATGGCCAGGTTGGCGCCCGTGTCCTTGATCTGCTGGATCATCTCGACAAACTTCTCGTGCTCGTAGTTCTGCAGCTTGCGGAACTCCTCGACAGTGGTGATGTCGAGCTTGTGCTTAGTCTTGGGCTTGGGCGGCTCGAACGCGCACGTCAGGATGGCAATTTTGGCGTCGCGCACCTCGGACGGCATCTGCGGGTGCGAAAAGTCCTTGTCGATGATGACGCCCTTGACCAGGAGCGAGTCCTCGAGCGCGCCGCCGACCTTGCCGTCGACCTTGATCAGCTCAAAGTCTACATCGCGTCGCTCCAGGTCGGCTACCGACATGACTGCGTCCACGGCGATCTTGGCAAATTGGTCGTGTGCCTTGGACACGATCTTGCTGCCCAGACTCGTGCGTGCTACCTTGGTCAGGTTGGCCACGTCGTCCGGCCCAAACGGCAGCACGTCGGCAATCTTGTCCAGCTCCGCCACCGCAATGTCGCATGCCTGGTCGTAGCCGTCCGCGATGCGGATCGGGTGGATGCCCTTGTCGATCAGCTCTGCCGCCTGCTCCAGAAGCGCTCCCGCCAGCACCACCACGCCCGTCGTGCCGTCGCCGATCTCGTCGTCCTGCGACTTGGACAGCTCCACCAGCAGCTTGGCCACGTGGTTCGAGATTTCCATCTGCTGCAGGATCGTCGCGCCGTCGTTGGTTACCGTGATGTCACCGTCCGGCGAGATGAGAATCTTGTCGAGGCCGCGCGGTCCGAGAGACGTCTTGACAATGTTGGCCACTGTCCGCGCCGCCAGGATGTGTGATTTGACCGCCTCGTTGCCATATTGCCGCTGCTTCTTTCCCTGACTGCAGCGAAAGAAGAAGAGACTGGTTAGCAAAGGTGGTCCCCCCGGATTGCTTCTATCACACAGGACAGAAAGAGATGTGCAAGATCCGGACGTACTCTCTGACAATGATGAACGGCCTTCCCTGCTCATCCTTCATCACCGCCGCTGATGACGCACACTGTTAGCATGTCGGTCGTCGGGGAGGACTGGATGCCGTCAGCTGGGCGGAGAGCCATAGCTCTGCATACCGTTTGACAAATCGAGATCTGTCAGGAACCTCTGTTAGTTTTCCATTGCGTCGGCACGGAAATGACAAGGGCATCAACGTACTCATAGCCATCTTGAAAAGAGGCTGTCGTGCGTGGGTCGTGCGTGTCCAACAAGCTCTCAGTTGTTGTCGTAACGCTGGAAGCAAGCAGTCCAGAGCAGAAGCACCAAAAATTCGGTTTTGTTTTCTGCCTATCGAGGCTTTGCCCCTCTCTCGCTGCCCAGGGGCAAGGTGCACCCGGAAAATGCACTTATCAAGCATAGCGGGCCATTCACGTGCTGCCGGCACGGGCGCAGCTTGATTACGTAACCGTCTTCCACGCAAGGCAAGTGGCCATGTATGGCGGCCCACTAAAAAGATGGCTCGGGGAGGACCTGCTCAGCTGTTCCGCTTTGGCGCCTGGCGGCCGCATAGGCGCTGATTCGCTTCCTGCACAACCAGACCCGGACGTGCCTTCCTGCTTGTGGAGTGTGCAACAGCATCTTATCTCTCCAGCCGCTGCATCTCATCTTGCCTCTTTCATTCTGCCGCCTCTGTGTCTCGTCCTCGCGCGTCTTTCTCCGGCTCGACGACGACAAGAGCCCGTCACGGCACAGCACGAAAGCCAGCCCCAGCGAGAGCACGCGCCACGGACCCGGCGAGGTCGAAACAACTGGAAAAGCACGGAGAGGCTGAGCTCTGTCGTCGTTTCTTGTCCGGCAAGAAAACTGCTTTCGCTGCACCGCCCGTTGCTTGTCCGGCCATCAGCGATGGAGACCAGCTCTTCTGGGACCCGGTTCATTTGTTAGATTCGCTCATCTTCCGCGGGCCGTCTGCATCTGCATTTGCTCTGTCGCTTGTCCGTCGGCGCAGAACAACCATCCGCGCCGACCGTGTCAACGCCGCGAAACCTGCCTGCAAGCCAATCGAAATCGGGCTTGCCGCGATTCATGGTCTCCTAGCAGGCCAAAATATCAATCACGCGCGGCGTGCCCTCTCGGCCTCACACGGCTGAGGTGGCCGGCGCATTCGAGGCCATGGATGTGGGCGAATATGAGACCAACACCTTTGTGGTCGTAAGCCTCTCCTTTCTTCTCAGCCCTTTTATCGGCAGACATTTCGTCCGGCCGTTTCAACCGTTGGTTGCTGACTCTTTTGGTTCTGCCCCCTTCTTCAGAGCAATATTGCGTCCATCGCATTTCGCGTCTATCGACCGGTCGTCTCGTCGTCACCGTCCGTCTATACCTCTTCCGCACCCGACGTTGAGAAGGCCCTCCGCAACGATGGCCATCTCGTATTTGCCGACACGCGCCGACAGTGCATCTGGTGCTTCCGACTCATGCGCAGGGACGGTTCTGCCATGGGATCGCCTGCAAAGTCCGAGCTCGCCACCACCATGGACGTTGGGCCATACAAGCTCATAGCTGTGGACGATGGTGCGTTTGAGCCCATCAGCCTCCTGAAAGGTTCAGGAGGCCGACCTCACAACACGGTTGCGGTAAATACGCCCAACAGCTCCTCGTCAGCCGTCTCTGCGTTTGATTCCACCGCCAGAAGTACCACGGGTCCGGCATCACAGTCAGCCGGCCTACTGCCACTGTCCCAAACGTCGAACATCAGTGCAGCTGCCTCGGACCTCGACACCCACAGCGTGCATTCGCAAGCAGCCACCCAGCCCGACCAGAAGGGACTTCTGCCGGTTTCCGCCAAGGTAGTATACAACTTTTTTATCTCGGCCGTGCTTGCGGGCCTATCGTCTGCCTATTGTGCAAAAGCACGGGCAATTGCTCTCAACAGCAGAACATTGTTGCTTCCTCCACTAGACCCTCTGTGGGATGGTGATGAGAGGAGCAGATCGGATGGCAGGGCATTGATCGCGACCCTTCGCGTTACCCTCACCACCGCCGGCTCTCTCCTCTTGTACATCTCCCACACCGTTCTTCACGGCATGGGCTGTTCGGAGTGGGCCTGTTACGCTGGGATTCCGCCCGAGGGATGTGCTGTCCTCACTGCGCCCTGGGGAAAATTTGCAACGGTCCGAGGCGTCTACCAACCCCCTATGCCGGCTGGAATGGGGCTGAAACGGAAGCAAGTTTCTGCTACTAGTGCTCCTCTTATGTGGAAGAACTTTGCTTCCAAGATGCTCGAAACCAGGGGAATCTCGCCTGTAATTTTGCAGAACTCGTCTTGGTTGCGCATCGAATTTTCCCTGAGCGAAGAGGCACCGAATGATGTCCCCGTTGTGATGCTATGGCCGTCCGTGCTCTGTTTCTGGAGTCTTGAGAGTCCCACCATAACGACTGCGCCATCCCAGAGACTAGATCCGCTGTCGGATATCAGGGAGGCCTACCTGGAGGAGACGAAGGAAGACGACCCTGCCGCCAAACTGGAAGATATGGATGTACCTATGGAAGACATTCAAATGGTTGCGGACGACAAGGGCAAGCGGTCGGTTGATCGACAACCCCTCTCTGGAGCATTAAACACCTACAATAATGTCTCTATAAACAGTGCTGCCGCTGCCGCTGCCGCTGCTTCTGCGAACTCTGCTGCTCTGGGGGCTATGTACCCAACGCCACCCGACGGTGTCTTAAATGCTGTGGGAGTGACGCCAACTTTTGACGGATCTACGTCAAGTCCTGGGAATATGGCAAGTACCACTGCCCTAGCCTACCTAGACGGCAGCGTACCACAACTTGGTGCTCATGACGCGTCCTTGGGCGACTTTTGGGATAGTGGAGAGCCAAAACGCGAAGAACAGGAAGAGCCATTTACCGCTGAACCCGATGCCCTTTTTGGCGACATTGGCGCCGACATATTTGGAGACGACATCACTGATGCAGACTTCAACTTTTTCGACGAAAAGCCAGACAGAGCCGATGCTGGCGCGTCCTCGGCGGTCTCTGACAAGATGGACATGGTCGAAAGCCCACAGCAAGCGTCGCCGCAGGCAGATCAACAAGAGCCACCGCCCACTGAAGTACCTCAGATGGAAGAAGCGGTACCAGAAGAGAAGACACCCTCAAGGCCGGAGTCTCCCGTCTTTGCGAAGCCCGAGCTGAAGAATGCGCGCAGCAACCTCCCGGGCGAGAGCCAGGCGGTCAAGCCGGCCTCGAATGCGCTCGATACAAAGCCGGTCGCGGCCGGAATCAAGCGTCCACCGAGTCCATTCGACGCCTTGACAGTATTTAAGCGCATCAGGGCAACGACGGAAGACAGCAAAAGCCAGAAAGTGGCGCCGAAGCAACCTTTCGCACGCCGAGGAAACTTGTTTCAAGGGCTCAAGTTTAGCGACTTCATGATCGAGAACAACAAGAAGTACGAACAGAACGGAAAGTTCGGCTTTCGCTGGCCCCATCCCGAGACAGACATGTTATCCGACCTGTCGATGGTGACGTCGCCAACCGCTTTCCGACGACCGACTGGAAAGCAGGCCAACCCTTCGGATTCGTCTCCGGAATGGGCTGCCCTGATCACCAGCATCACTCGCGGACTGAAATCTAGCTCGTTACAGGCGCAGAGCTTCTTGGACGATAGTGAGGACTCGTCGTCGGGCTCATCCGAGGATGCATTGTCTTCCGAGGACACGGACGACGATGACGAGGCGATGACTGTATCTTCGGCGCCGAGAAAGCCCGATATGAGTGAGAGCATGCCGACTCCCGAGGCAGCTGCTGAATTGTCTAGAGCGTACAGCGAGGGTGTGTGGGACGTTCCTATTGCGCGGTATTTTGTCGATCCAATGCCGCCGCCAACAGAGCTGGCCTACACGGACAATGATGTTATCGACGTGGCGCAAATCCTGACACAGCAGGTCACCCGGATGACGATCCGATCTGGATTCGACGAGGACGAGGCACGGGACCTGCAGAAGACGAAGCTGCGCAATACGCTATTGCAGCGCATCCGCTATTCGGTAGCGACGCTTCACGATGTCCTTCCTGCAGCGCTAGACGAGGCAACACGATGTTCACTCAAGCCATACCTGGACGTCCAAGATATCCCGCTTCTTGTCCAGCCAGCTCGACCGCGACAGCCCCTTGGTCAGGAGCAACTGAGGCCGAACGTCTTCCACATTCCGACTCCGCATGTGGAGATTCAGCGGCACGAGTGGACGCTTTCGCTGGCCCCTACGGCCATTGATTTCTGGGACACGTTGGCCCTTGAGCCGCTGCATGGCAGCAAAGAGATCCGGGCAGTCTGCGTGTACCCCGACTTCGATGGGCTGGACGACGAGGTGAACGGATTTCTGAACCGGATGCGGATCGTGTACGAGTCGCTGCGGCTTGGCTCACACGACCGGCTTTCGGAAAAGTCGGGCCATGTCACAGAGGGCATGGTTTCATTCGATGCCAGGGTGTCGTCGGGCACACCGTCTGGAATAGCAACACCGCGCCCCGAGTTTGCGGGAGCGGACCAAGTGCACAGGCTCGCGCAGGCGCTGGCGGCAGAAGATGCGCAAGGCAAGAGCCTGGTGGTGTACTTTGTGTACTGCGAGGAGGTGACGGGAGCGGTGGTGGATGCGTGTCTGGCATTCCAGCGGCTCTCACAGCTGTACGAGATGGCCGTGACAGGCTGCAGCAGCGAGCCGGGCGATCTTGTGCTGCAGCTGATCCCGACGAGTTTCCTTGCATCGCCGACGGCACTGGTAGTTCCGACACCGGCAGATCTGCTACGGCTCTCGCTGGAGGTGTACGACCGCTGTGCGTCAGCGCGTGGCCCGCGGCCAGCACCAGCTTTCCTGCTGGAGCAGCCGCCGCCGCGGATGCTGGATCTGCGACTGTCGGCCACACCATCGGTGGATGTGCAGCGTGAGAACTCGTGCATCCATGTGGCCTATGCACGGAGCACGGACGAGCGATGGATGACGGCAGCGTGGACGGACAGCAGCGGGTGGCGACAGTTCAGCTCGGCGTACTGGGTGGGACGGAAGGGAAGGCTGCCGGCGACGTCGTTTGCAGCGGTGGCTCAAGAGATCTGGGACAATACATGCGCGATTGTGGGGAATCTGAAGGTGAACTGGCGGGCGATCATCACCAAGTGCGGTCCGATGGAGCCGGAGGAGATGGAGGCCTGGACAGAGCTGGCAAAGGCCGAGACGCGGGCCAGCATCAGCGTGACGCTCGTTACAGTGGATACACAGCCGTGTCTGGAGCTGATTCCTCCTGTGGTGATGGTGCCACCGACGGTGCTTCCTCTGCTCTCAGCGGCGACGCCGGCACCAACGCCGCAGGCCTCGGCCGTGTTCTCGCCCGAGCAGAGCGGCAACCCAGTGACACCAGCAAATCCGGCAACACCAGCAGCTGCAACACCTGCGACACCAGGAGGAGGAGGAGCAGGAGGGGGTGGAGGGCCGAACAGCCCGGCAAAAGCAGGGGCTTCGAACGGCAGCGCTGTGAACAAGAGCGCGGACGCAAACCTGGCAGCAGCCGGGGCAGATCCCAACGCAGTGGCAGAGATCGACGGCAACGTGGCTCTGGTGGACGTGACGGACAACGCGTGGGGAGCGATAGCATCGCATCGGCTGAACATAGCAGCGACGTGGATCGACCAGCGGCCGGCGCTCGTGAGCGGCTATCTTGTCAAACGGGGTGGACTCGGACGCGACGACGCGCCGGTGGTTTTGGAGGTGAACGTGATCCGCACCGAAGGCAGTCCGCGGACGTATGAGCAGCTCGTGCGAGAGCTCCTGTCGTCGTTCCGGGGTCTGGGCACACTGGCGCGAGCCAGGGGCATTCTCGACGGCGAGCGGGATGTTCGGCCGTGGCACATTGCCGCAGCCGAGCGAGCGGCAAAGGCGCTTTGCCGGTGGATGTGAGAAGAGCAGGCGTCTGGCCATCAGGCTTGTATTGTTTCTTGTATGGTTGGGGGGGTGGAGGGCCGAAAAAGAAGGGCACGACCAGAGGCAAAGGTTATGGAGTTTGGGAGGGGCGTTTATTCTTGGGGATGTGTGCTTTTCGAATTCCCTTGTTTCTTTTCACGTTTATTTTAATGTCTTATATCATCTTATTGACGGGCAGCAGACAGATCAGCACACAGCGTCTTGGGCTTGAGCAACGTCCAGCGATGCATATAAAGAGGCAGATATGAAACCAAATCTGCATATCTACATATCTGCATATCTATAAATTCTTATACTCCAGCATCAACATATCATAGTTGAGTCCGCTCAGGTCGACTCAAAAAAGCCCGGAAAGAGATACTCGACGCGCTTGACAGCCTCGGGATTGCGGCCTTCGGGCTTGGTCATGAACTGGACAGCCTGGACGGCCGAGCCTTTGAGATGGGTGGCGAGAACGAGGTCGCCGTGTTCTTGGAGGGCGAGACGGTCGAGGACGGCACCGACGAGGTGCTTGGCGTTGGCGCTGTTGGCCTGCATGTACTGTAGGACCATGCTGACGCCGACGTCGTCGGCATCGGCGCCGACGCGCCAGCAGTCATAGTCAGTTGCCATGCAGATCATCTGATAGGCGAGCTCGGCCTCGCGTGCGAGCTTGGCCTCGGGCAGGACGGACATGTTGATGACAGAGCCGCCCCAAGCGCGATACATGTTGGACTCGGCGCGGGTGGAAAACTGCGGGCCCTCCATGCAGATGATGGTGCCGCCCTGGTGGAGGGTGACGCCGTCGCCGTGCAGGGCGGCGGCGCAGTCGCGCACGACGGCGGCGAGGCCGGCGTCAAACGGGTCGGCGAAGCCGACATGGCCGACGAGGCCGCCATCGAAAAAGGTAAAAGGGCGCACGCCCTTGGTGCGGTCGATGATCTGGTCGGGCACGACAAAGTCCATCGGGCGGACGTGCTCCTGCAGGCTGCCGACGGCGCTGAAGGCGATGACACAGCGCACGCCGATATGGCGCAGGGCCGCCATGTTGGCGCGGGCCGGCACCTCGTGCGGTGCCAGCTGGTGGTGGAGGCCGTGGCGCGCCAGAAAGGCGATGGGCACGCCGCGGTGCTCGACGATCTGCAGCGGCGCCGAAGGCTTGCCCCAGGGCGTGTCGACGTCCAGCACGGCCACCGGCTCGTAGCCGTCGATCTTGCTGAGACCGGTGCCGCCGATGACGGCAATGCGGACGGGGCCTGCGAGAGAGGGTCAGAGCAGAAGAAAGGATGCAGAGAGGCGTGAAAAGAGATGAGCGGATTCAGAGAGAAGAGTGTCCAACTTACGGTCAAAGTGGGTGGGAAGTGAAGAGGCCATGGCTGGATTGATCCTTCAGACACGATGCGACAGCGGCCGGACACAAGAGACACTCACGGAGGACGGATGGGAAACAGAACTGACATCGCGAGGAAGCAGATCAAATAGAAATAGAAAAATAGAAAAAAACTGCAAACTACTACGGAGTACTCCGTGCTACCACTACCACTACTACATACTGCATCAATACCCCGCGATTGCGAATTTGCAAGCGCTGCAACAGGAAGGAGTGGGGCGTTCGCCACAATAGAAGCTTCGCCTGCTTAGCTCAGCCAATCACCGACAGGGAAGTCTCGACCTGACAAACCCGCTGCTAGAATTTCAACGTTCTGCCTCTTTTTTTCGCCCGCATCTCAATCACCTCGCAAACTGCTACGGCTCAACACGACGGCAGCCACTGTCCCATTCCTTTTTCTTTTTCATACTCGATCTCACTCTCTGCCCTGCCTGCTCGCTCTGCGTCTTTTTCTCTCTTTCTGACAGGGGTACAGTGCCAGTAGAAGCTCGGACCTGCAGGAAGCCCTCTTTTTTATTGAGATTTCTATTTATTTTTATCTCACACTCGCTGCCTCGCCGACGGAGCACATCAGCTAGCCAGCCAGTCAGTCAGCTGTATGGCACCGATAACCGTAGGTGGTGTGGCGCCGGTGGACCGGATCAGCGCGCCGTCGTCGAAGCAGTCGATTGAAGAGGTGTGCTTCTCGGCAGCGCTGATCTGCCTGGACGGGCACTTTAGCGACCAGCCGTCGATCCCGGGGCGGCTGACGCAGGCCAGGGTGGCCGGCATGGTCGCCCGCACGCTGGAAAAGACGCACGCACGCAAGGACGTGCGCGAGTCGCTGGCTCGCAACGTGGAGATCTGGGTGTATCTGACACGCATCTTCAACAACGCGCTCGACAGCCTGACAGCCCGGTCGATCGGTGCTTTCGGCCACGTGGACAAGCCGGCAGGCGGCCCCGATGGCAGCGGTGGCAGTCTTGTCAATGGCAGCGTCAACGGCAGCGTCAACGGTTTCGCAGCCAACGGACACGGTCACACAGCAGCCCACCACATGCACGCACAGGGCGGGCCCGGGTCGGTGGCCCACGACAGCACGGAGCTGATCGTCAAGAACCACGCCGGCCTCAAGGAAGACCTGCAGATCCTTAACAAGCTGATGCACATTGCGCGGAACCTGCTCGTGTGTGCGCGACCGGAGGTGCCCCAGGACATCTGCGCGGCCGTCAGCTTCGACGCGGTCGTCTTCCAGGTAGTCGTGCTGTGCGTCAACCTGGCCAGCAAGGGCTACAACAGCGAGCTGCTGGACGACCTGAGCCGTGGAAAGTTGAACGAGGTCCACGATCTGTGTACGTATCTGTCCCCCGTCGGACTGTTGCCTGTCCAGCAAGTGATCCACGACTGACGGTGTATTTCTAGACAAAAAACTGCTGGTCACTTCGCTGCAGCAGGTGCATAACTGGACGGCCAAGAACGACCGGAATAAGATGACGTTCTGGAACTACGTGCTCTTCGAGGACGAGACACTACAGGACGACCTAGACAGCCTGGGAGGCGACGGCAGCGGGTTTCGGATCGACGTGGCCAAGACGGAGGTGAGGAACTGGCTGGTGCGCAACGGGACGGTGTGCGACGAGGCCAAGCGGGGGCTGGTGGAGTACGCGGACTCGCACCAGAGCAAGGCGCCGGGAATCCCGCTGCTGGCCACGCCGCTGGCGCGGATCTGGATTCCGGCCGAGCTGCTAGGGCCGCTTGAGGGGCCAGAGGCGGGCAAGTACGCACAGGACGAAGCGCTGGGACGGGTGTCACACGAGGTGGACATGTGGTGGGAGCGGGTGTGCGATCCTAACCACGAGGCGTGGAAGGCTCCCATGTCGGATAAGGAGTACGGACGGCGCCGGCAGGTGTACTTTGCCGAGATCGTGGAGGAGCGGTTTGGGCCACGGTGGCGGGTGCGCGACGAGAACGAGGCGCAGGGGTACACGTTCTCGGTCGGTGACGAGGAAGAGGAGGACGAGGAAGGCGAAGAGGACGAAGAAGACGAGGATGAGGACGACGACGAGGACGAAGACGGGGAGACTGGCAGCGGCAACAACCCGAGGCAGCAAGTCGGGGCGCACGAGGGAGAGAGAAGACCGTTGGAGGAAGTGGAAGACGACGAGGAAGACGAAGAGGACGACGAGGGACGGGACGAGCGAGACGATCGGGAGGTGGACGACCAGCGGTACATTGACGAGGAGGACGAGGAAGAGGACGACCTGGATGACAACGACTCGTATGGCGACGACCCGACGCTGGGGCTGTTGACGGAGATCCCGAACATCCTGGACCCGAAGCAGATCGAAGCGCTGCACATGATTGTCAAGTCATGCATCCTGGACACGATGGGTAGTGGGCGGACAGCAACGGGCGAGAGCCTACAGCAGGCGCGATGCAAGATGCTTCTGGCGTGTGAGAGTGGGCGCAGCCTGCTGCGGGAGATGCTAGTGTTCATCGCGGTGTGGGACCAAGAAGAGAGCTCGCTGATCTGGGACATCACGGCGCAGATCCTAGAAGCGCTACACGACGTGGCGCTTCTGCCGTACGCGTGGCAGGAGCTGCGGATTCCCAAGGATGTGGTGTCGCCAGCGCAGGCGGTGATGCTGCGACTGGTGACATACATGTTGCGGAAGCGATATCTGGCGGGTGGGGGGCGACAGGGAGCAGCTGTGGTGACGACGGGAGGCGCAGCTTCGACGGTGGCGACGACGACGACGACTACGACAACAACGACTGTGGCTGCGGCTGCGACAGCAGCAGCAAGCTCACCATCGCTGGAGAGCAACGATCTCAAGCTGGTGCACTACCTGTTCAGCACGGTGCGATGCCGGATTGTGCCAGAGTGTTTGGCGTTTATGACGCTGCAGGGAGAGATTCGACGAGGAATCACAGACGCGGCAGACTTCCCGGTAGAGAACTGGGACATGGAGCGAGCACGCGACGGGCTCAGCCAGGTGCTGGAGTTCCTGGCGACGGTGTCGGAGATTGACGCTCTGCGCGAGAAGATGGTGGAGTGGGAAGCGTCATTTGAGATCATCTCACTGCTGAAGGGACTGGAAGACGCAGTGCCCAAGAAGCCGCTGGTCGAGGCACCGACACGGGCTGGAGCTCGGGGAACAGCTGCACCGAGACAGCAGAACCAGGGGCAGAATCAAAACCAACAGCAACAGCAGCAGCAGCAGCAGCAGCAGCATCCACCACCACCGCCACCACCACCACCACCACCGCCGCCTCCACCCATTCCGCAGGACCCGGCTCACAAGTTTCCGTGGGCCGGCATCAAGACGCAGACGTTGACGATCCTGGCCAACCTGCTGCAGCCGGCGCCAGGAAGGACGACGCCTGGCAACGCACGGGTGCAGAGCCAGGTGATGGGCGAGAAGGGCATGGTTCCGCTTCTGAACGCGTGTGTGTACGATGACCACAACCGGTTTGCGCGCGAGCGCGTGCAGATGTGTCTCAAGTTCCTCATGGATGGGTGCGAGGAAGCCAACATGTTTGTGCGCGAGCTGGTCAAGACGGCGCCGCCTCAGACGGCCGGAGGAACCGGAGCAGGAGGAGTCGGAGGAGTCGGAGGAGCCGAAGGAGCAGGGAGTGGAGGGGCGGCCGGTGGAGCATTGCCGCCGGCCAGTGCAGCCTCGAGTGTGTCTGATGACAATATGAGCACATTTACGACTTTGCGAGTGGACGGCATCGAGGGTGAGGTCAAGGTGCAGGTGCGGTCGCCGTCGGGGCCTTCCGAGCCGCCAGCATCAATGACGAGTGCAACCGCGACGACTCTCCCGTCCGTGTCGTCTTCTTCGGCTGTGCCTCGAGCAGCCAAGCCGACAGTTCTGGCACCACCAACGCCGACACCCGCGATGTCTCCAACAAGCACAGCCACAGCCACAAGCACAGCCATAGCCACAGCCACAGCTACAGCTACAGCTACAACAACGCTGGCCACGGCGCCAAATCCGCCTCTGGGCACGGCTCGACAGCGGAAGCAGCGCCAGAAACGCCAGCAACGCCAGCAGCGCCAGAAGCTTCAAGAAGCTCTGGAGGCTCAGGAGCAGGTGCAGCCGCAGGAGTCTACAAGTGGTGGTAGTAGTGGTTCTGCTGCTGTTAGTGCCAGCACCAGTGCAACAGGACAAACTCAGGCACCACCTCACACGCCGCCATCTCAGCCACACGCACAGCCACAGGTACAGACGACAACGACGCCACCTGTGGCGCCCCGCGTTTTTGGCCCCCCGCCGCCGCCGCCGCCGGCACCCTCGCTGGCATCGCTGGTCGCCCACCTGCCGCAGCTGCCGCCTCTGTCGGGCCACCATCTGGGGACGACGGGGATCAGCGGACTGGGCGGACTGGGTGGGCTCGGCGCCCTTGGCGGGTTCGGTGGCCTCGGCAGCCACGGCAGCGTCAACGTTGGTTCTGCTGGCAACGGCACGTTCAACCTGCAGCAGCAGCTTCATCATCATCTGCAGCAGGCAGCCGCAGCCGCGGCCGGACTCGAGGCCTCTCCTGGACATGCACAGCCGCAGCAGCCAGGAGGTCAACAGCAACAAGGTCAACAGCAACAGCAACAGCCCATGTCGGCCAAGACAGCCGAAGCTCTGGCCGCTCGACGGACGCGCTGCGAGGCTCTGCTGGGCGAGATCATTTCGCTGTCAGACCACACGGCCCGCATGGCCCTGTCGATTGAGCGCGGCGAGATGCCACCACTGCCAGATGATGCTCTGATGTAAGTGTCTTTTTTTTTTATTTTTTTTTATTTTTTATCATTTTCGCTGACAAATCAGGAACTTTCTCAAGAGCCAGAAATTCCTCGAACGCTGCCGGGACCGGCTGACCCCCCTCAACGGAAGCGCCGGTCCAGCAAATGGTCCGGCCGGTGCTGCAGCTGCTTCGACCGGTTCGTCGGCATCATCAGCCGCTGCTGCTGCCGCTGCCGCCGATGCTGCCGCCAGCCTGGACGCCTTCGGCTTCGACCCGGCCGCGATACTCAACGACCCGCTGGCAAGCCTGTTTGGCGGTCTCGGCCCGCTGCCCAATATGGTTGCCGGTGCTGCCGCTCCGCCCGGTGCCAACGGTCCCGGTGGGCCCTCGTCGTCATCGTCGTCGTCTGTGGCCGCCATGGCCACCTCGCTCGAGGACCAGTACCGGCTGGTCGAGCAGGCGCTGCTGTATCTGACGGAAGACCTGGCCAAGAACTCGGAGCTGGCCAGTCTGGTGCGGTAGAGCGGGGCTGTACTTTGAAATGACTGTAGACTTTTCTAGCCTGTTATAGCACTACTCTAGACACTCTTTCAAGTGCCGCTACGAGTATGATACAATCATACAGCAATCATCGCAGATAGTCGTCGCATTCTGTCTGCCTTTTCATATGTTCCCCGCATCAGCACCCTTTTATCTGTATCCTTTATAGAGTCCATTTTCGTGTCCAAAAACGTAAGAAGATACTTTCACCCTCATCGTCGCCTCATCCCCTCACCCCTTCACTCTGGCTTCTTTGCGCCCTCCGTCACCGCCGCCAAGATCAGGTCCTTGGCCACCTCCACGCCCTCCTTGCTGCCCACAACCTCAATCGGCTCGTTGCCAGCCCGGCCCTGCGGCACGTGAATCCGACATCCGCTCTGCTTGCGGATCGACTCGATCTTCTTGCCGCCGTGTCCGACAATATGCCGAAACACCGACGGGTCCGGCAGCAGCAGATAGCCTGTCGCTCCGCCGCCTTGGCCCTGCTGCTCGATCGCCTTGGCCAGTGCCCGCTGAGCCTCTTCCACGTTCTCGGGCGAGCCGTGCAGGACCCATGGAATATCGCCCTCCTCCGACGACGTCGCCTCCACCACGCGCCACGAATGCGCACCAGCTGCTGCCTCCTCGTCATCGGTGATCAGCGGCACCGTCCCGCTGCCGTTGACTGGCATCGCTGCCGTCGGCCCCGTCGGCCGTGGCGGAATCGCTTGGCCCGCATGGTCGACCGTCACCTGATTCTCGTTGCGCATCCGCCGGAAGAACTGCCCGTTGTTCGAGACGGCATGGTGCACCCGCCTTGGCACCTGTACCGTCACGCTGTGCTGTTCGCGCACCAGTGACTGAATGTGCTCCTTGGCCTTCTCCACGTTCGCCGGCAGCCCCGTCACCTTGATCTCCGTCCGGTCTTCACCCTGGCGCGGAATGTCCACCGTCACCGAAAACTTGGCCTCCATCTGTCGTCGGGTCTCGCCGCCTCGTCCGATCAACGCCCGATGCTTGTCCCGTGGCACGTCCAACACGCTCGAGATCTGGCTCGCTCGCTCGTTGACAAATGCCTCGATCTGCGCCACGATCGCGTCCACCACCGCCTTGCGGCCCTCCACCTTGATCGTGCTGCCGCTGCTGTCCTGACTCGGGAATTGGATCGTGCGCGACAGCTCCCGTCGATCGTCCGATCCGCCGGCCTTTACCACCAGTTCTCGGAGGTTGGATCCTGAAGGTGTTAGCAGATCCGGTCGTAGACAAAGAAACTAAGTAAACAAAATAAACAAATTACCCCCCTGTGCCGATCAGCGCCTTGTGGTACTTCTTCTCCACCTCGATCGTCTTCGTCACCGTGTCGTCCAGCACCGCCTTCTTCTCCTCCAGAAATTTCTTGGCTGCTGCTACCTGCGTCTTGGTTCCCTTGATCTGGATCTCCACAATGGACTCCGGGTCGCCGCGGCTGTTCGGTATGTCGATCTTCGCCCCCGTCTGCTGCCGGAGCGCGTCCATCGCCGATCCGCCCTGTCCGATCAGGTACGGCACCTGCTTCTGCTGCACACTCAGCGTCGCCGTGTACGCGTTGTCCTTCAGGTACAGGAACAGCGTCATCAGCTCCTCGCGCGCCTCGTCCGCTCCTCGCTTCGGGCCACGCACAATCACCTCGTCCGGTCCCTGCTGTCGCCGGCCCTTGCCCGCTTCGCTCGCCACGTCCGTTGCCGAGTCATCGTCGCGCGTGCTCTTGGCCACCCGCGGGAAGAAGATCAGAACCTTGTACCGCGTCTGCAGCCGGTTGATCGTGCTGCCCTGCGCCCCGATCAGCTCCCGGTGAAACTTGGGCTCGATCTTGAGCACATGCGTCACCTCGTCCGCCAGCTGCCGCGCAACCGCGTTGATGTGCGCCTTGGCTGCTTCCGCCTTGGCCTTGGGCCCCTTCAGCTCCACCTTGCCGTCCTGCACCTGGATTTCCACGTCGTACTTGTCGCGGAGGTCGCGAATGTTGCTGCCGCCCTTGCCGATCAGGTGGTTGGCGTATGCCTTGGGGAAGTCGAACGACAGCGTGAATCCGCGCTCCTTCTCGTCCTCCTTCTCCTGCTCCACAAACGCGTTCACCTTCGCCGCGAGGCCCTCGACAGCCGTCTTGGGACCGCGCAGCGTCACCACCGAGCCGAGGTTGGACACCCGCACAGGCGGCTGGTTGGCCTGCCGCTTCTCCTGCTGCTGCTTGATGAACCGCCGGAGCCGGTCGTGATACTTCAGCGGCACGTCGATTGACACCGCCTGGATGTCCTCCTGTGCCCCGATAAGGTCCAGGATGTGCTTCTGCGCATCGCGTACGCCCTGCTGGAAGAGTGCCAGCTGCTCGGCACTCGGCGCCGTTTGCGGAACTGCGTACGGCTCGGCAGAACCACCCGACGGTCCCTCGTACACCAGCAGCAACGGTGCAGCCGGCTCAGACGCGTCCGGCACAACCAAAAACACGCCGTGTTCCTGCTGCAGCCGCGGCCGCACGTCGTTGCGGAGGAACTGGTGGAAAAACGGGTCGACCGGCACTGTTGCCATGCGCGAAGGCGGGTGGCCAGTCACGATGTTCTTGATCTCCGACTGCGCCCGGAACGCGTTCTTTCCGTCACGCGAGTACAGCTCCCACGGCAGTGCACCCTCGCTCGTAAACGGCGTGTTGATGTGCGCCTGGTACTCCTTCTCGAGCCGCTCAATCTCGAGCCGCTCCCGCAGATACCGCGTCACGTTCCGGGCGTGGGCAGTAGCACTGCCCGGGACCTGCCGGTGAAACCGCGAGATGTCGTAGTTCGAGCACTGCATGCCCATGGCCAGGTCAATGGCCCGGTCGAGCCCGGCATTGACCTGGTCTGCAGGGCCGATGATCGTCACTGTGTCGTCCTCTTCGTCCGTAGGTAGCACGATAGCGCAGCCCGTCTCGTTGAAGAACTCATCCATAGGCGTGCCGTGGTTGCCGATAATAAACTGCTGGCGACCCTTCGGGATGGCCGTCTGCTGCAGTTCGAGCTGCTGGCGAAGCTGTTCCGCCAGTTTTTCGATGTCGGCCCGCGCGTTCTGCACCGCCAGCCGGTCACCTGCCAGCTGGATGTGATTGTCGTTGGCGGCGGGCACGAACACCGGCCGTGACCCAGCCACTGGAGCAGCCGGCGGCTGCGCCGACCAGGGCTGCAGAGGCGGCACGCGAACCTGTACCCCGTTGTTTTCCAGCTGCGCGAGCAGTCCGTTTCTCGGGTCGGCGATGAAGGGGTAGAATTCGGCTGGGATACCGCGGAGACGGGTGCTCACATTGGCCGTGCGTTCGCCCACAATCTTGAGAATAGCGTCGTGAGCAGCACGGGCAGACAGGGTGTTACCCTCCACCGTCACGTCGATCAACGCGTCATCGTCGTCGTCCAGCGCAGACGCCGCAACGTCCTCCGCCTTGGGCAGCTGGATCCGCGCCCCGGTCTTCTCCTGGAGAGCCTTGATAGTGGCGCCCTGTTTGCCGATGATGAACGGCCTCACGGACTGCGGGATAGGCACATTGACCGTGACCTTTGCGCCGATCTGCTGGATGAGGTCCTTCAATGCCTGCTGGGCCACATCTGGAGGACCGGTAGCGTCGAAGCGTCTCCTGCCTCCACTGGGAGGAGCCATGGTGACGTTGGCGCGCGACTTGCGGTTAATATCCTTGATGATGTCGGGAATCGGCCGCTTCAGGGCCCCGCGAGGGAGAATCTGCGAGTCGTCCAGGAAGACGGTCGTCACGTTTCGCCCGGGAATCGACAACGACGGCGGCCCGTTAGGAGAGCCTGCTCCGTTCGCATTAGCAGGCGTGCCTGCCCGCGTCGAAGGCATCGACGACCGAGCGGAGCCGTTAGACGCACCGGTTGCAGTGCCGTTTCCATTGGCCACAGCTCCGTTCTTGGCGCTCCATATAGGAGCCACATTGACGGCCGCCTTCTTGGGGGCGCCGAGCTCGGGGAAGAGCTCATGTGACTGGGTGTCCAGCTTCGGCATGGCAACCGGCTCTGCTTCCTTCTGCTTGCCGGCAGCCTTGGTAGACGGTGTGGGCGCCCAGGATGGAACAGGGCCATCGGCAGCAGCTGGCTTGGCCGCAGAGCCGTCGGCTTCCGTGGCCGCCAAAGTGGAGACGGCAGCATCGTGCTTCAGGTCATCCTCGTCGGGTACCTCTTCGACCGTAACCTGGTGCTTCTGCAGCAGCCTCTGGGCCGCAGATGCCTCACTTCCGAGATCTGAAGCAGCTGGAGCGCTAGAAGCCATGGTCGATCGTTCAGAGGGGGCTATTATGTTGGGTGGTGGCGTTGAGATCGCTGAGGATGTGGAGACGGCAATTGACAATCACAGCGGTCTGTAGTAGCAGTTCGTTAAACAGGAGATTTGCCAGAGAAAGGCACATGCATCACCCTTGACGGATCCGTGAGACGAGCCACAAGCAAAGCTACCGAAAACAAGGGAAAAAGAAAAGACTCGGAAAGGAGGAACGGGAGCGGGGAATCGTTGTAAGAGCAAATATAACAGGGCAGACAATCCCAGCGTGCTGTGCACAATGGACAATGGCCAAGCAGCACAGGGGAAGCTCGAAGTGCGTTGAGGCGGAGAGAATAGAGATAGTGCTGGGGAAAACGAAAAGGAGAGGAATTGGAAGATGGAATCAACTCCCGAACCTAAGTTGAGGCGCCAGACGTGGCCCCACAATAAAAAAGAGGAAATAGGAGCGCAAGCTGGCCAAACCAGGCAGGTCTATTAGCGGAACGTCCCAACAGCTTCCTATGCGGGGAGTTTGTGAGGTGTCCCGGTGCTGAAGCGAGGATGGAAGGAAGCAGACGGAAGACAGATATCTGAAGCCAGAAAGCGTAATGGGGGGCTGTTATGGAAACTGCGGGGCGCCGAGAGCGAAACGGAAGGAACAGAAAAGAGCGCTCGAGTGCATGCGAGAAGATCAATGGCGAATTGGGCCTGATACCATCTGATTGGTGAATGGCTTCAAATGGGGTGTTCGTCGAGCTGGCCTCAGAGCTATGGCTACGGGTTGCGTGTCCATGGCAAAATAAAAAAAGGAAATGGTCAAAAACATATATATCAGGAGTATAGTAATTACATAAGAGCTCTCTTACAGAATATGAGAAAGAACGCTGCTGAGTGTTGACTCGTGCCGGTCCCAACACAGAGGCACACAATATTATTACAGCCCGAATACGCTGTCTGCAGTAGTCATCTGTCAGCATATCGCAGACAGCTCTGCTCGGAGAGTCGTTGGCAGGCCGGTAACTTACGATACTAGTCTCCCGACCATTCCTATTCTAATGCGAATTACATGGGTCCTAAAGCTCGCACTTATATTATGTCCGGAGGACACGACTCCGTTCATGATTTGTCCTTCGCAGTCTGCTTACCTAATTTCGAACCGCACCAACAAAATTGCTAGGCGGTGGACTGAATTGGTCTAGAACAAAACAACACGACGTACGGAGTATTCGGAATACAACACAGCTCCTGCACTACGTAGGAAAGCTGAAAATATACTCGTATACGGAGTATTCGTCAAGACATGTCGTTTTGGCGGTCGATAGGTCAAAGCAGCATTGGTATATATGTCACGTATGTACGGAGTACGGACATCTTACTTTTTGATCTCCTACCATGGTACTGCTAACGTCATAGGCAAGCGCACACATGCACGATCACGTGGCCTCTCACACCTTCGGAATAACTGGCGGTGTTCGTATATGTACTTGCTCACTATGTGAGCCAAAATAAAAACTAAGGTAAATTTTTTTTTTTTCATTATAAGATGCATATTCTGCTAGGGCGGATTGTTGATATGACTATTACAAAATTATCGAGACCATTTCAAACAATTCTTTGCTAGTCGTCGTATCCACTTAATATTAAGCACTGTATTGGTTCTCTAGGGGCAATGCATTGATCTCAGCATCATATTGATGCCGAATATAGAATAGGTAAAGGGGTGTTCTGAGAGGCAGTGGTTGGTTGGAAAACATATGCTGAACAAGCTCAGCACAGCCTTGTGCCTCGTGCTAAATTTGTAAGATGCACACATTGTATTTAAATGCATTACGTTGCACAGGTTCCAACAAGCTCCAAAGAATTTCGAGAAGCTCCTGCCCGATCATGTTCCGTTCACAAAGTGGTCAAAACATGTTCATGCGGCTGTCTTTAGCCGGCGCGCAGCATTGATACCACAATGAATGTAGCACATTACGAGACACGGCAAGCTGCATTGTGCTGGAAGGTGTGGCTTTAACCTCGTTCACTACTCTACCAGTGGTTGGTGTCTATACGGAGAAGGGTAATTTTTGATCAAGTCCCATAGCTCTGTTTGTGTACTCTGTACGGAGTAAGTCCTTTGCACACATGTCACCCTAATTCAGTCTAAGATACGAAGAGGCGTCCTTGCAGAAAGAATGTTGCAAAGAAAGTTGTGCGACCTAGAACTAGCACTTGGAGATACGGTAGACAGCTACTAATACAGATTGACGCAACATATGTTCATAACAATGCACTCGAATTCACCTTCCGAATCATTAAGAAACATGAAGAAACGCACAATTGAGCGCTTAACTGCCGATAAGTTAGAGCGGGTTTCGTTTCCACAGGCAAGATGCCGAATTCGCGGGTTATGCCCGTCCAGAAGTATTCTTGTATCTCTTGTGAAGTATAAGAGGCTGCTAGAAAGTTGCAAAATACGCCGAGAAGTAGGCCTGAGTTCTTTCTACTTACACGGTGTGAAAGATAGCAATATGCTAGACGAGTAATCTACTGAGGATTCCCTCGACCCTCTACCGTGCGCCCGACGGACGAATACAGCATGTGGAGTTTTCTATGTGTACATATTATCCACCTTGTGATGCTAGGAGCGAAAAGAAACATACGCCATTCAGGCAGTCTACAAAGATCGAAACAACAGTATCTCTGGGGGGTTTCGCTTTAGTCTGCCACTACATAGGAGATCGACGGGGGGTTTTCCCGCCAAGAATCTTTTGGGTAGCCTGGACTGCATCTCTTCTGGTAGCTGATATTCATAGGACAAAGAGCCAGATTGGCTCTGCGTACATCAGTTGCCTGAATACACAAAGAGCTCGGCGAGATTGCCGGTGTTGAAGAAAAATGTCTTTCCAAAAGAAAGAACAATACGAAGGAAACGCGCTATGGCTGAAAACGGACATGCGCCGTTCTGTTTCTCCATTCTATTAGATGGACCGTCAGAGCCTAGTTTCAGCATTGAGACACTGATGTATCCTATGCGCCTTGTTTCTACGAGCGAGAGACTGCTGCCTTGCCGCGAAGGTTTCATGCTTCTTGCTCGCAGTCTAATGAGAAAGAGGACAAAATCTCCGAAGGTACCGTTTTCTCGTCCTAGGAAACTTAGCCCTGCCCCGAACGGCCCCAAGCCATACATAGTAAACGCTATCTATTTCTGACGGCACTTCAACGAAATTCCAGGACTGCTGGACTGCGGGGCTGCAAGTCCAATTGTAGTAGTAAGTATAAATTCCGCGCGGTGTGTTAGTCGTAGCTGAAGTGACCGCTGTATCCCGAGAAAACGAGCACCACGTCAACTGATTGGGCCCAGTTGACCAAAGCAGAAAATGGCTGTCTTGCAATTCGTATATCAGCAAAGCTATCCTGGCAGTGATTGTTCCCCAGGGGCGCAGATAAGACAAACGCCCGAAGAGGTGTTTGTGTCCCCTCTGCCCGGGAAGCTCTCATTAGAGGATCGAGTGACTGGGGAGCCAAGTGGGCAGACGGAAGGCAGATAGCAGGCGACGGGGAACAAGCAGACAGACGCGCCAATACGACGCTGCTTCCCAGTCGCAGCTAGCCGCTCCCACTGTTATTGGGAAGCAGGGTTCTGTCTTACATGTATGCAAGATACAGAGCGACAAGCAGGGCCTCGTAAGCGTCTCTGAGCCAGACGTCGACTGGTTGTGGCTTGTAGCAGATCAGACCGGGTTAATCGAGCATTTCCATCGTCGCAGCAGACGCCCATGGACGCGTGCGAGAGAAGACGAAAGTAAGCTGGCTCGTGTCGCAAGCTCTGAAGCAGCACATCCCGAACCACTCTCTCATCTCCCCCCTCTCCCCCCTTTCGCCTCCACCAAACAGAGGATTTCGCGCACCCCCGCGACCCCCCCATCGCTTGTCTACAAGTACGTGTGCTCTGTGTATGTTACGGCTGAGGCTGGGTGCGACAGGTCGACTCTCTGGTGGTGCCACATCGGGCACCGGACGAACAGGCGTCGAGTCGTGCTGAGAGGTACTCGTAGACGGAAAATCTCCAGATCTAATCTTCCGAGTACCGGGGGGGGGGGGGGGGGGCGGTACGACGGCACAACCAGGCCGGACAGGCGCAATAAATTGAGCACGGAGGGAGCAAGGATCAGGGAAGAGAGAAGAAGAGCGAGAGAAAGAAAAGAGACGAGGTCTTTCCGTGCGGTGGACAGCGCACGATTGCATCTCGCGATTGAGCTGCAGCCTCGGAACGCAACTCGTTCCGTCCCCTTGCGCGCCTTCCTGTTTTTATGCCAAATCGCCAACGGTCAGAGCTGCTTGCTATCTTACTACCTGACTCTCGGGTCTTGTTTTCCCGCGTCTTTCTGCCGCATGCTGCACACCTCACACCTGTGCAGGTACTTACTTACTTTGTCGATGGTCTCCACTCCTCCGTTACGCAACGGGCACTTTTCTCTCGCAGCAGCCGTTACGGTTGGTCAAACGGTCTCCACCCCTCGTCGCTTCCTCGACGACTCTGCTCCTGGGCCGGTTTCTGCTCATTTCCGGGGCTTTCTTCTGTTGCGTACTCGTACTGGCAAGATTTAGAGCAGACGCCACAGTCCATCCACCATCCAGTTTTCCGACCAGAGATTCTTCAACAGACGACCAGCCTAACGGTTCTGGACACGGATTGAGGAATCTGCCATCCAAAACCAGCCCACATCCCCCCTCCTTCTCCCGACGCACCGTCTGCTGCCATCCAGACCATTTCTGGCGCTACATTGTCTCCGTCGCTTTCTGGCCAGGCAAGCCTGCTCCTTCCTGACTAGTCTACACGTCTCCGTTCCCGACCGGCCCACAGTTACCCTTCCATTTCAGGGCCTTCACACGCCCAAAAGCGAAGGCGTACCGCCCAGAGCGAGCAGGAAAGAGGGAAAAAAAGCCAGGGACGACCGAGGCGCCCCCAAAAGGCCGTCTGCGCACCCACCAAGCCCACCAAGCCCACCAAAAGCACCAGAAGCACCCGAAGCACCAGAAGTCACCAATCCATACAAGTATAGACACTATTACCCGCACTCTTTGTTTCTTCCCCTTCCCTCCACTTCTCTGCTCCTAGCCTGCTCCGCCTACAGGTGTACCATGGACGGAGGCGGCAGCCAGAGTCTGAACACTTTCTCCAGCGGCAATTCCCAGCAACGTCGACGCCTCACCAAGCGACCGCCTCAAGCCCGCTCGCAGTCGTCTTCCCTCAGCTTCGATGGTCGCACCCTCGACATCCAATCGCTCCAGAGCAAACACAGCTCCACGAGTCTGAGGCGTGCTCCCAGTGCCCCGCAAACTCGCTCGTCCGTCTCGGCCAACGCGTCGTCGTCCAACAACTCCTCGCCTCGTCGTCTGCCCTCTGCCGCTCCGAGCGGCCTGCCGAAACCTGAACCCATTCTCGCCAGCGGCGACTTTCTCGCGGCCGACCCCCAAGTCCAGTCGCCGCATTACCGATTTCCGTCTCTGCAGGGCGAGCAGGCCTACCAGGGCTATCAGAGCTACCAGAACCCGAGCCAGGGACAGGCCCAGAGCCAGAGCCAGAGCCTCCTGAATCACCAGAACCACCAGAGCCTCCAAAATCACTACATCCACATCCACAACCTCCACAACTACCAGAGCCCCCAGACCAACCTTCCCTCCACTGCCGCCGCGGCAACGGCCTCCGTTCCCTTCGTCGCTGCCAACAGCCACGGCGGTGCGCTCACCTCGTCGTCAGAAGACTTTATCGGCGCTCCGTTTGACGGTGCTGCCATCCTCAACCGGATTGACGAGACTGCTGCTGCCCCTCTTCAGACTCAACTGTTGTCCTATCCAGCACCGCCCGCCCGCAGTGCGCCCTCCCCTCCTCGAGCCGCCCAATACCCCTTCCATCCAGCCATGGCCTCTCCGTCGGCCCAGCAGCTCGGCAGCTTCACCTCCGCCTTTGCTGCTTCCAACCCCACCATCACCGCTACAACCACCACAACCGTCGTGTCTGCTCCCGCCTCCGCCGCTGTTTCACCTGTCCCTTCCGCCGAGATGGCCGAGAAGATCCCGTCTGCACCCCAGATCAGCGCCGCCAAGGTTCTCGAGTCTCAATCCCTGGCCTCCAAGCGCTACTCTGACGAGCCCAAAGATCTCAAGGCGCCCTCCATGCTGCGGAAGAAATCCGGCTTCTCTGGCTTCATGACCAGTCTGGTCGGCTCGCCAAAGAAACCGCTCATCTCGGCTCCCGAGAACCCTGTTCACGTCACCCATGTTGGCTATGACAGCAACACAGGACAATTTACCGTGCGTATACATCCCCCCCTCCTTTTTCACTGCTGCTGCTGCTCTTCTAACCTCTCGCATAGGGTCTGCCGAAGGAATGGCAGCGGCTGATCAGCGAGAGCGGCATTACCGAGAAAGAGCGCACACAGAATCCAGAGGCACTAATGCAGGTCATCACCTTCTACAAAGAGACGACGGAGAAGCCGCAAGAGGACCAGGTCCTCGAGAAGTTCCACGATGCCCGGCCGGGTCTGCAACCCGTATTGCTGCCAACATCGCCGGCGTCACAGCAGCCTGGCGCGTCCCCGGGCTACATGGCTGCGCCGTCGCTCATCAGTCCGCCCGCCAGCCCCCGTTTCCCAATTGTCAACCACCATGGCAGCTTCGAGAATCCACGCTCTCCACCACCCGTGCCCAAGACGCCTCTCGGAACCCCGATGAAAGACCTCAACCTGGTGCCCAGCCGGCGAGCCCCGAAGCCGCCCGTGAGCTTACCCTCCCGATCTGCCCCGCATCCTCCGTTCTTGCCCACCAAGGACTCCGGCATAGGGATGGTGCAGCCGCTGGACGAGTCCGGCGTGCCAAAGGAGAATGTTCCCATGCTTCCCGAGGAGCACCGATCACGGTCTAGCTCTCGTGCCACTGCGTCTTTCGGCACGGCCAACAGTTCAGCCCAGGCCAGCGTCCAGGCCAGCGTCCAGGCCAATGTCATTGCACAGGCAAACGCCTATCAACAACAGCTGATACAGCACCAGCAGGAGCAGGCCATGGCACAGGCACAGGCTGCTATGACCGGCCAATTGGGGCGCTCTGCAAGCAAGCGCCAGCCGCAGTCACCCGCAGGCCTCGTACAACAACCAACGCCTCCCCATTCTCAGCACCACCAGCTCAATCGGTCACCGGATGCGAACGGCGTAGCGCGCTCACCGCAGGCGCTATACCCAGCTCCGACATTCCAGCAGCAGCAGCAGCAGCTACAGCAGCATCAACAACAACAGCAGCAGCAGCAGCTGGCAGAACAGCAGCAGCAGGCTCAACTGAAACTGCAGCAGGCTCAGCAACAGCAGTTGGCGAATGCACCAAAACCGCGCCAACGGCCACGCGCAAACACAGGCGGCGATATCGTCTCCAGGTTGCGGCTGATCTGCTCAGAAGGAGACCCTCGCGACATCTACCGTGGCCTGTCAAAGGTTGGCCAGGGCGCATCGGGTGGCGTCTACACCGGCTTTGAGAGAGGCAGCAATCGCCTTGTGGCCATCAAGCAGATGAACCTGGAGCAGCAGCCGAAGAAGGACCTAATCATCAATGAGATCCTCGTCATGAAGGACAGCTCCCACCCCAACATTGTAAACTTCATCGACAGCTACCTGAGCAGCGGCGAGCTGTGGGTGGTGATGGAGTATATGGAGGGTGGCAGCTTGACCGACGTTGTCACCTTCAACATCATGACAGAGGGCCAGATTGCCTCTGTTTGCCGCGAGACCCTGAGGGGCTTGCAGCACTTGCACTCTAAGGGTGTCATTCACCGTGACATCAAATCCGACAACATCCTTCTGTCCATGGAAGGCAACATCAAGCTGAGTGCGTTTCCCCGACTGCCATCTTTCCTTGCTTCCATGTGCTGACCCCTCTTTGCAGCCGACTTCGGCTTCTGTGCTACCATCAACGAAGCCCAGAACAAGCGGACAACCATGGTGGGCACGCCATACTGGATGGCACCCGAGGTGGTCACGCGGAAGGAGTACGGCCGCAAAGTGGACATCTGGTCGCTAGGAATCATGGCCATCGAAATGATCGAAGGCGAGCCGCCGTACCTGACAGAGTCACCTCTCCGAGCATTGTGGTTGATCGCTACCAACGGGACACCGGTGATCAAAGACGAACAGAACCTGTCGGAAGTTTTCCGCGATTTCCTCTACTTTGCCCTCAAGGTAGAACCAGACAAGCGGGCCAGCGCCCATGATTTATTACGGGTACGCACTTCATACTCCCTCTGTTTCTTTCCGCTTGTTCGTCTACTTTGCACCCGGATTGCTGACATTCGTCTTCTCACAGCACGATTTCATGAAGCTTTGCGTAGATTTGAACCAGTTGTCTCCTCTCGTTCGGGCTGCTCGCGAGGCAAAGGCCCTTGAGAAAGCCCGGAAAGGGCAATAGAAAGGGGGCAAAAGACTGTGAGATATCCTTAGCGACCGGACGAGCTGCCGAAGCATTCTATACACCATCTCTTCCGTTACTTGTCCTCATACTCCGGACATGTACGTCTCGTTAGCGCCACTTTCCCTTCTGCACCGGGAACATGCAGGCCCAATGCACTACTTTTTCTCTTATTTTACAGCCACGACTACACTTGGGAGAGGGTGACGAAAGAGGCAGAAAATAGCCTCTGGGTCTTCAGTTATTGTTCTTTGGGGAGAAACGACGAACCTACAGGGTAGGAGGGACTTGACTATTTGTTTTGGTCTTCCCATGATCTCATGTTCTTTTTTTGACCTGATTTACCATGAAGGCGCGTACTTGTGTGTGCAATCTCTGCATCCAATATAGATGAGACACTTGCCTACCCCCATTATGAATACATCTATTCTACAGCAGTCCACGAGAGAATGGATATGTTGGAAATGATACAACTGGACCAATCCATCAATTCTGCCATCGCAGTGAATACAACGTAGTACAGCGCGTGCTGTTTATGTCGCATGTACGCAACAACAATTGTAATTGTGGAAGATGAGGGGTCTGCAGCATGTGGCGTAACACGGGTGGCACATATATCGCAAGGATTTGGTGAAATCTAACCAGATGTTGTCACCTGTCTATTTTTCTTAGGAACTGGAGCCCTATCTTGATCAACTCAATGACTCTCGTTTATGTCCATCCAGTTTACTGGGCCACCTTTTCCCTAAGAAAGATGCGATCCTATTCTCATCCCAGTGGCACAATCAAAGCAGTGCAAAATAAAAGGAGAAAATAGAGAGCGAGATGGAAGACAGAAAATGCAGTTTCCCGGGTGGTACTCTTGTAATCTCCCAAGTTAGACGCTCAAAAAGGCATGTTGCGCAAGAAAAACCTATGCTCATGCAGTGTTTAAATGATAGCGTTCCCTTCGCTTGCTAAGCTTCCCGTTGCTTCATGGAGGGTCCGAAACTGGATGCAACTCCTGGCCGATCAATGTTGACATCCTCGATAGCCGGCCTAGTAGAGAGAGTAGCCACCATCAATGAGGACGTTGGCCCCAGTCATGAAGGAGCTGGAGTCGGATGCAAGGAAGAGGCACAGCCCGTTGAGCTCGTCAACATTGCCCAGACGGGCTTGTGGCGTCAGATTGCGCCAGATCTTCTTCTGGGCATCAAGAGCAGGAACCTTGTTGAGGGCAGTGTCCATGTAGCCAGGGGAAATGCAGTTGACACGGATGTCATACTTGGCCCACTCGGCAGCCAGAGACTTGCCGAGCTGGGCAACACCGGCCTTCGAGGCATTGTAACAAGACTGCTCCTGCGGATAGTTGACAATGGTTCCAGACATCGAGGCAACGAGGACTATAGAGCCAGGCTTGTTGGCAGTCATCATGGCCCGACCCACGGCCTGAGCCATCAAAAAGGAGCCTGTCAGGTTGATGTCGATCAAACGGCGGAACATGGCCGGATCATAGTCCTCGGCCTTGATGTTGGAATCGGCAATACCGGCCGAGTTAATAAGCACATCGGGAGCGCCGTACAGGTTCACGACCTGTTGCACAGCAGCATTGATGGCGTTCCCGTCACGGACATCTACCTTGAAGAAAGACACGTCGATGCCAGATTTGTGGTGCAGCTCCTCGGCAGCCTCGTCGCCAAGGTTCTGGTTGGCATCGAAGATGACGATGGCCTTGGCACCTGCCTCAGCGCAACCCCGTGCCATATAGTTGCCCAGACCCCGAGCACCCCTTGTAGCAGGTTAGCTTTTGTATTCTATTGTTCATTTCACCCGTCTTGGCAGTTCTTTCGATCACATACCCAGTGACAACGATCACCTTGCCCATGACAGTCATCTTCTGCAAAGTGGGCGGCATTGACTTGAAGACTTTGGGATCCAGAGGAGTGACATCTTCGCTCTCTGGATCGGTCACAGTGGCGGCTTGCTGCGCCTTCCCATGCACGGGGATGCTGAAGTGATCAGGACTCGCAGAGACGCCTTTCCCATCAGGGCTGTAAATCGAAACAGGGACCTCAGTCTCTTTAATGACCTCAGTCTTCTTGGATGTGAGCGAAGCCGTCACGGACAGTGCCCGAGCCTGGGTGGGCAAGCGGTAGACGGTAGGCTTCGCAAGAACTGAGCGAGCCGAGGTGGCCTTGACTGCGAAGCGCGCAGGACCGGCGAAGGAACGAAGGAGAGAAGACATTGTTAGATGTCTGGATGTGAGATGGCGGGTTTGTGTTGTAGGTTGTAGAAAACTGCCTTTAAATTCTTGTCGAATTTGAGGAACTTGATAGATGCAAGAAGAGTTGGTAGAAAAATCCAGTCTCGCAATATGAACTGATTTCAAAAAGATCTGAGGGTGTGCAGAGCAAAAGCTTTTAGAGCTTGGGCAAGAATGGGCCAAACAAAGTCTCGGAAGAGAATGATTTAATCAAGCTGGGGGTCAGCAGTTTGGTACAATGGAAGTACCAGTGCTCCTCAATAGCGACGACAAAACGGCGTTGAGGGTAAAGTCATGGCAGACAATCGTTGGAGCTGAATAGGCTGTCTTATATAGAAAGCAGGGGTAGTAGCTGGATCGGTAGATGCAAAAGCTGGCAAGGGCGGAATAAACGAAAGTGGCAAGACAAAAGTGTCAGTGTTGCGTCGTAATTCTAGAGCAAGTTCTAGAGTGGGCGAGGTATCCACGCAAGCTCTACGTCGTACAGCAAGTTCTGAGAGGGATCTCCGGTGCCGGTTTGTGGTGGTTAGGGGGGTCGAGAGCAGAAAGGATGGGAGGTGTGTGTAGTAGATAGTAGAAGGAGCAGTTGAATGAAAGGTGATTGTGACTAGTTACGGGCCAGGCGGTGGCCGTGTGAAGAGGAGGTGAGCTTAATCTGTCAGTGGATGCCTCTGGATTGGTAACGGGAAATAAGCTTTCAGTTCGGACGCTTTGGCACGGGATCATGGCGCATTCTGATGCACTAGAGTAGGTCGGAACAAAGGGGGATTGAGCTCTGAAAGTTCCAAGGACAAGGGGCAGTGATAGTCTCCCGTTCCGTGGAGGGCAAGACTAGGCGAGTGTAGCCTGACTCAGGGTCTAGTGAGATGAAACTCACCCTGCAACTGGCTCTTTTCCGAGGAAGGTTGAGAGGAAGTCGAAAAAGTACCTGATGTGGAGAGTGAGGTGTTGAAACGAAGAGAGACAGTATTTGGAAGTTCGGGTAAACGTTGCAGATTGGCATTAATAGGCAGATATCGAACTCTGCCGGTACGTAGATAGTAGTATTATTGCAAAGAAGATTGGGATTTAAGAGTACGGAAGACGTTACAAAAGCGTGAACAGCAACAGAAGAGGAACAGAGACGAGAAGGGCTAGCAGTTTTATTTGTGTCCTGTCTTTTGCAGGGACGAGACGCTGATCACAGCCAGCTGGAGGCTTGACAGTCTTTGGCGGTGTCGGCACGAAGAGGAAGGTGCGCTACTCTACCTCTTAATCGAAGCAGGGAAGGCACGTTGCCAGGGGAAGCGGGGAGGGGTGTCTACAGCAAAGCGAGGTCGACGAGGTCCTAGGTGTACAGCATACTCGTACATGGTGTCAGGAAGACTGAAGAACGCTCTCCGGGGTCTGGGGAAAGCCCAGAGCCTGAATGCCGATCCCAGACGGGAGGCAAATCGACAAGACTGATAAGCCGGCGGATATTAACCGGTAGGAGCAGGCTTCGACTGCTCACTGGCCAGACTGCTTTCAAAACTGACAGACAGACCAAGACAAGGTCATCGGGCCACCCTGTGGCGGCTTGTGGTCGGGCTGGCTTATTTCCCTCTGTGGACGGCTGGTATCTTCCTGACTTTGCTGTGTGGGGGGCAACCCATTCGCTACTTGGCTGGTTGCAAGGGCTTCGTCTCTGGCTTTGCCCGACCAGGAAAACGACAGAAACAAAAAAGGCAGGTCATGCGCCGGGTCGTGCTATGAGAACCGTATACACGCACGATGGCGTGCTGCCGTGTTTGGGAGGTCTTGTGAGCAGGACGGTTCGGTTGGCATGGCTTGGCCCTGATGTCTTCACCGCTCCGATCAGGACGACCGGCATTATCTCTGGTCTCTGGGCCGGCCGTTGAGCTCGATGTCGTGCATACGCAGCAGGCGTGCTGCAGTATCGGTGCAAAGGTCCCGAGGCATCTTTATCGCAGACGGGAGGCAGCAGCCCAGGTCTCGCGAACGAGAGAGGCCCAAGTCAGCACAAACACGGGCCTCAGCCTCCCGTATCCAATGTGTCGGGATGGATTCCAGAGCGCCCAAGCGTCAGCCCTACTTGACACAGAAGGGGGGCGATCGGAAAATTACGAGGATACTGTTTCGTATTGTTTTGCCGACGGTACGGAGTATAAACCAGAGGAATAGCCGCCCATATCGCGCTTTTTTTCTTTTTTTCTTCTTTTCTTTTTTTCTTCCTTTTTTCCCATTTTGTTTTCTTACACAGGGGAGAACTCCCTGATCCGACGGCTGCATTCCAGCACGCCTGGATTGGCGGTGTGGAAGCCGTCGAGATCGGCATTCGCAGGGCATTGTTTATGACGGGCAGCCTACAGCGATGGACGCGAGGGTCGCGAGAACAGCAGACTGGCCGACTAGTTCGTCGAGGCCGTTTCCGAGGAGCCGCCGGAAGGGACTAACCAAGCTCCAACGGCGCACTAGGAAGCTCTAGCTCTACAAATGCGCATGCCGATCGGATCAGACGTGTGCCATCTGCTCGATAGAAGGCAAGACAGAACGAGACAGAAAGACTGAAGACGAAAGCGGAGCGGTAAAGGAGGAGGTGGTGCACACATCATGCGTTCAAGCAGGCACGTAAGATATCTTAAGATGGGAACGGTGGTTGCCGCAGCCTCGCCTGCGAGTACGAGCTGCTTCCACGGCTTCACGGCTGATCCGTGCATGTCAGAGCGCAGTGGAGGCGGGTCCTGCAGCCGGTGAGCCATCTTTCCGTACGAATACGGAGGAGTGGGCTGTGGCTCCGATTGGCAAGCAGTCGGATGAGCTGGTGGTGTGTGCATGAGAGAGGGCGTCTGCAGAGGGGAAAAGAGAGCACAGCGATCAGCAAGAAGACCGTCAGCAGCCAAGCACAAGAGCCTAGACCGGCGATCAGCATGGCCTAGCGCGACAAGCAAGAGCTACACAATGGTTGCATCACGGCAGCGCATTGGCACATTATCCCTCAGCTCGTACATAGTAGAGCACTGACGGGCGGCCGTGGTGGGACTGATAGGGGTTACCGTCTTTTCTCGCCCGGCTGCTCGCATGTATGGCCGTGCAGATGAAGCAACAGTAGCCGGGCCGTCATAGAGGTGAGATATAAAAATGGTGAGAATTGGGTTCCTTGGGCTCTTGGACTTTCCCAATGCAAATCAACCCGCACATAGATAGGTTGCCGTGTGAGAAAAGGCGCATGTTCAATCTCACGCGACCGGCCAACAAGAGAGCACCGTGCTGTAGAGAGAAAGTGAAAGCGAGACAGCCCACTGCACAGCAGCTAGACGGACACTGTTGTGCCCTTAGCAGGGACGAGACGGAGCGCGCGGTGGGCACGTGGTCGAACAAGAGGCAAAACACGAGAAAACAAGGAGCAGAGCAGGTTCTCTACTGTGTGACTCTCTTGACTCCCTCCTTTTTCCTCCACTCGTTTTCTCCATCCTTTCTGTTGCCCCTCCTTCCTGGTGCTATCTTCTCTCTCTCACTCTCATCTTATAGCACCAAAAAACTGGGGAAACAACTGGGGGACCCTGACTATTACCCGCGAAGATCCTGTGGCGAATGTTTCTCCACTGCACAAGTTGGCCTGCTCTGGCCCAACAAAGACTGCCCGGGAGACGCGTCGCCAACAGAACGATACGAGCAGGGGTTAAAAATAGAACCCACTCTCTGCAGCGTAGATGAATAAGACGTTCAGGATGACCTCACAGCTTGCCGGAACAGGATATTAATGTTAGGAATAGAACAGAACGACCAAGCAGCAATCAGACAGGACATGACAGAATCAGGCCATCGCTAGCGAAAACAAAAGGAAGCCCAAGAAGAAGAAGAAAAGTACCCTTGATTGTGACCTGTCCCCGGCTCTCGTCCCCGTCCCGTTCTGGCTACGTAAACCCATATTGCTCCCATCTCCCATCTCCCATCTCCCGTCTCCCGTACTCGTACACGTTTTCGCCTCACCACTCCTCGCCAATCAGCTGGAACAGCGAGGTGATGTACGCTGCTAGTGCCCGGTTCTCCGCCATGATCTCATAAAGCCTCGGCACCATGGGTCGGAACAGCCGTTCGTTCCACCCACCCACTTCGACGTGGCTGAGCTCCTCGACCCCATGGCCGTGGCCGTGAAGCGCCTCGTTATCCTGCCGTCCCTTGTATGGCGATGATGGCGATGTTGCTGAGGCCGCCGACGATGTCGATGCTGCCGATGCGCCCTTCTCGTCCACCACCTCTGCCTTGGACGCGTTGCGGGCAATATTTCGCAGCACCAGCACTGCGCTCAGCGGAATGCCGGCCGCCTGTGCTGGCAGGTTCGGATTGCGTTCGTCGCGCATCGTCGCCGTCTCTTCGTACGTCACGCTGACCGTCTTGGCCGGTACCACGTACGACCGCTTCTGCCGCTTGCTGCTGCTGCTGCTGTTGCTACTACTGCTGCCGCTGCCAGTCACACTGCCACTGCCACTGCCGCCGCCACCGCCATTGCCACCGACCCCGACATTGGCCCCGGCACCACTGCTCCCGCTCCCGGTGCCGCCCGGCGTCTGTCCCGGTGTTAGGTCGCCGTTCGTCACGCTGCTGCGGTGACGCTGGTGCGGCTGCGACGGCGTCTGTTGGCCCGACGGCTGGCCTGACTGCGACGATGTCACCTGCTGTCCTTGTTGACCCGACTGCTGGCCTTGCTGCTGCGCCTGCTGCTGCCTTGACTCTTGCTCAGCGGCCACGGCGTGCGTCTTGATGTGCTTCATGAAGTCGGCCAGGTGGAGTGTCGTGGCCGCGGCGTACTTTCGGCAGCCCAGCCATAAACAGCGGCACTCGCACTCTTTGTTGGCCACCTTGCCGTCTTCCCCCGGCGTCTCCTTGATGTGTGTCGTCAGCACGTGGCCGTACAGACTCTCGGCCGTGTCGAAGAAGACGCCACAGCGCTGCGCCGGTCGTGATGCCGTCGGCGTCTTCCATTGGCACTGAAAGAAATCCCGGCCCTCCGGGCTGGTCGGCCGTGTTCGAGGTCGGATGCCCTTAATAATAAACTTCTGCACCTCGCCTTGTGGCGTCTGCTCCTTCTGGATCTGCGCTCCGGCCGAGTGATACACGTGCGTGACGTTTCGAATAAACTCGGCTGCGCCCAGCATCGTCCGGCCAGACTGTTGTACGGGTAGCAGAAATGACGACTGGTATGCCTGCCAGATGGCAATCTGTGTGATCGATGAGTCGGGATCTTCTTCAAAGAAGCATCGCAGCCACGTGTAGCAACGTTCGGGCTCGTCGGTCTCCACCAACCGCTTCAGCAGGTCTGGTGGCAGCGGCAGCACCTCCTCCGAAGCTGGCAGCTTTCGCTCCGGCTGCAGAACGAGTTCTCGGTGGCCCCTCTTGGCCCCGTGTGACAGCAGTCGGACCAGATGGCTGACCAGGTTCTCCGTCTTCACCGACCGCAGCAGCCTCTCCACGTTCGATGCCACCGCCGTGTACTGGTAGAGAAAATCCAGACAGGCGTCCATCAGCTCGTCGTCGTTGAGCAGCAGCCAATTCATGATGTTCTGCAGCACGCTCGAAGGCACGTTGCCCAGACGGTTCATGTGCGCCATGTTCATCGATATCCGACCAATGGCGCGCAGAGCTGCCAGCACCATGCCCCGGTCCGAAGACTCGAACTGCCCGAGCAGTGTGCGGTACAGAGGATCCTCGTCGTCTAGCGTCAAGTACGGCGTCAGCTGCTCGGCCACGTCGAGTGCGCAATGCTTCAGTTCCACCACCGAGTCCTTGTTCGGCAGGTTCAGCACGATGCACAGAAAGTCGCGTGACGGCGGGAATTCCGACAGGAAATACGCATTCTCCTGCAGCGTGACCATGTTCCGCAACGTGAGAGCGGCCTCGGTGACCAGAACAAGCTGGTCGGCAAAGTCTTCCGTCTGTATGCAGTCGATGGTGTTCTTGGACCGCAGCTTCGCAATCCGCTCCAGGATGTCTGGCGTTCCGTTGATACCGTCCAGCTCGCCCAGGTCCGACTCGTCTGTCTCCAGATCGTACGATATCTTCCAGTCAATGTCGTGGTAGAACAGCCCGCCCACCTGCAGGGCCTTTTCAATCAGACCCTCTGCGAGACCCGGAAACGACTCGAACTTGTACTTGTCGCCACGCTCAAACGAGATCTTCACCAAGTGGCTAAGGGCAAAGGCCTCTTCTGCCTTCAGCCCAGACCGCAAAGCGCCGAGACACCGCACATAGATGTTCGGGCCCTCGTTGCCTGGCGGCACCGGCGGTCGTCCTGCGAACCGGCTCAGCGACACGCCGCTGGCCTGCAGCCTCTGCAGCCGCTGCTGCTGCAAAAATTTGCCGGGCATAGTGGCGGGGGCCTCGACCTGTTGGAGGATGATGGGGACAGGGCCTCGCGGCTCGTACGCCTGCACAGTCGGCGAGAACATGTCCGACCCCGGCGGGTTGTACACAAGCGAGGCATTCCGGGGGTAGTGCTGGTGTGGTACATGGTGGGCCTGCGGGTACTGGTGCTGAAGGTGGAACTGCTGCTGGTGTGGGAGGAGGCCCTGGGCTGAGCCCATCATGTGTTGGCCATGGGGCTGACCCTGCATTCCGAGGTGGTTTGGCGTGCCTGGGCTGGGCCCGTGGTGACCAGAGCCGTGTCGTGATGGGCGGGACGAACCTGTGTCTGGCTGGAAGATGACCCGTTGGGGGGGAGCTTCACGCAAACCGCGCGACGCCCGGCCACTAAGCGGGGTGCCGTCGTTCGGGTGGCGGGAAGGCGTCATTGCATCGTCGCCAGAGCCGTTGTCAAAGGCGCTCGACGGTCGCATCGGCCGGTGGCCACCAAAGTTCTCGAGCGTGCGCGTCAAAAGTCCTCCACCTTTGGCTGAGATGTGCTCTAGAATTTCCGGCGGCGGTGGCTCCTTGTTGTGTATTGTCGAGATCTCGTATGCTGCGAGGTTCTTGTAGTATGCCAGCTTCAGGCTGTATGCGGCCGATGCCTCGTTGCTCGAGTACAGCTCCAGGATGTTAACCATGTTGCGCCACGCGAGCTTCTCCTCGCTGACTTTGTCGTAGCCTCCATGTTCGACAATCAGTCGGAACAGCTTGAGCAGGTCCACCGGCGTCTGGCCAACCTTGGGCTCCGGGTCGAAATTGGTGCCGCGCTTCGCGTGGTATTCACGCAGGGCTGCGATGAACTCGAGGTAATCTGCTGTCTGGTCGATCGTGTGTCCTGCTTGAGGAGCCATGGTTGGCCGACTGTGCCGCGCCGGGCGGATGGGCGGACGCGGGTTCTGAGCCACAGCCGTGTGTTATTCAGTGCCTATAAATTGGCCTGTTGCGACGTGTTGCGAATGTGATGTGCAGGGACCTGTTTGCGCGTCGAGACGAGACCTCTTCCTATGCTCCTGGAAGGGATGCAGGAAGCGCGCAACAACGCTAGGGATCGCGAAGTGAGAATTGGCTAATATTTTCTTGAGTCTGGGTTTCTGTGCACGGACCTTACATCCTGGCCAATCAGAGTTTCCTGCTTGGGTGCCACACTCGAATACTGTGGCTGGGGCAATCCAGGAGATCAGGATGCTATGTGCCCTCACATGCTGGAGCCATGACCAGATGACTTTATGGCTTGATACTGTTCCGCAGACTTCGTACCAAGATAGATACTACTCTCTCTGACTCCATTGTGTCTCGAGTTTTTATCCTTTTGCTGGAACAATCCAAGCTCTGCCAGACTGCCATATGTAGCTCCCCAAAACGTACAGTCGTTCTTTCCAACACATTTGTAGTTATTTGACATCGCACCTTCCGTTGTCTTCCTTCTTTTCTTTTCTGGGCTTTATCTCAAACATTTAGAGGGCAATCTTTGAATTTATCTCCTCACTATTGTAAGCTTTCCGTCAAATGCCATCTAAATACGGCCATTTCGCCGTTTGCTCTGGATAAGCAACCATGTCTCTGACGGGAGGTCCTTGGAACCTTCAAGAGGCAATCACAGAGCAGCAGACAGTCACCCATAGAGCAGGACAACAATTGACTTTTGATGTCCAGAGACTACAGGATTTAAGCGGCGTCTCTACCCGATCGCGTGAAGCAACGGGCGATGACGCTGCCACCTGCTGGCTACGGGTTATGGCGGGGACGACGGTAATTGTAAGATATGGATCTTCCTGTGCACAGAACAGCCTAGCTAACATCTGAAAGAGACGGATCGAAGTAAAGAAGATGGCCCTTTCTAAACACGAGATACGCCTCGTCCCTCCAACACGAGCAACGATTCTGTATTCCGACATGGACAACCAGCAAAACCAAAGCACTAGAACTAGCCGTACCGGGTCTCTGGGGCGCGAGCCCTTGAATGTAGGAGCCTCTACGTTTTAATTCCTGCCCCTAGTATCATACGAAGACTCTAATAATCTTAGGGGACATCACGATTTCTCAAGCTCTGCTTTCATGGGCTGGGCGACTTGAAAGCCGCATCACAGACGTTTTTGAAGCTTGGCCTACGATGTACAACACAGGTCAAGCCGATAGGCCGGACGTCATCACACCCAGCTCTCGCAACATCATCGCATCAGCATCAGCAATGGGCGAATACGGGACCCGCTAACGTTGTCGCACGGGCACAATCTTACCAGGTGGGATATCAGCCGGAGTTTCTGAACATGGCGGGATATGCAGCCCCACAAGCATGGGACCCAGGCTCTTTGGAGAGCCGGTTTCAGTCTTCACCCGTGAATGCGTTGAAACGGCGCGCCAGCCTAAGCCTATCATCTCAGGCTGGGCTGCGGAGCAGGCTACGAAGAGAGTCCTCTTCCTTTGAGTCAACTGATGCCACAATTCGTCGATCTGAAGCTGTGTCTCAAAGCCAGTCGCCCTTTTCCACCCAGCCTGAGGCCATGCACCATTCGCAACCAGCGGCATATATGACCTCGGCGGCTGCTGTGTCAAAGCCCCCGCCGAGAAGAGAGCTGCCACAGTCCATCACTAGGCATATTTCGCTAACCCCAAGCCAAACTGAAAGTTAGTGAACTGAGACAATCCACTCATATTCCATACAGCTACTGATCAGAGGGACAGATGGTCCCGACGCTTTCAGTCAACCTGGCCGCTTAAGATTAGCAGACACAAAGGTGATATCTAACGTTGAGGCCGAAGTGCAGACAGAGACACCAACTGCCGAGCCGGAAAAGGCCCTCCACGCTGGCCTGGATTTTCTCCAGGCTCTGGAAACCCTGCAAGATCAGATGGTGCAAGAATGTTTGGAGGCCACCCGTGCACTCGATCTGGAAGAAGAATGTGAAGCTAACTTGGTGGCCCATTATGCCAGAGAATTTGGAGATCGATTTACCGATATGTGTATGAAGCAAGCCAGAGCCTTTCATGAGTACTAAGAGCAGATAGACTTCTACTTGCGAATGCTGCCATGTATTTATTCCCAGCTAAAAGCTTTGACCGGAAAAGGGAGTGTACCAAAAGCAATGAGCTCTTGTTGCAAGCAACAAAGTCCAAGTAAGACACACCATCGACTGTCTATATTCGATTTCTTTCGCGGTCGACCTGGGAAGCTTCTCGTTATGTTGCCAGATAGTAAAGCCCAGCATAATGACTGAGCTGTATTATCTTCTGATTGTCTGAGGGCCGAATTTCATAAAGGGATATGATCTCTCTGGGGAGTAGTATTTATACCTTCTAGTTCGCCATCTTCAAGCGTTCATCTAGACAAAGAAACTTTGTCGAAAGGCTTCTCTCACATACAGACTGCCAGCAAACCTGATACTTTCGACTTGATAAGCACCTCAATTTGCTCCCGTTCGGGAGATTGGCTTTACTGTTCTACCGCCTTGGTCCTACGTCGCCTCTTCCAGCAGATGAGCAGGTTCATAGACGAGTTCCCTTCCGATACTAAAGCTTCTAATACCAAGCAGCCAACTTTGGTCCCATCTCACAATTGAAATCTAGCTATACGTTCCGAAAGATCCATTTTGCAGCACCGCCCGTCAACGATCTACGCTGGGCTAAGCCAGTTACCACTAGCAAACGACACGCTGCAAACTAAAACTGCGAGTATCGTACATCAGCCTTGTGGGCGGCTACCCTACGCAGGTGACAGCCATGGGAAAATTGGCGGGTGACGGGTCTCTGATGCACCACCCGGTCGCGAGCGGCAGCACGCTGGCGCCACTGGCCAAGCGCGTCATTCTGCAGTCATCGACGTATCAGTGGATGTGGGACCGGATCGGACGAGTGGAGCAGACGGTTTAGAGGTTTGCCGGGCTGACAGGGTGCAACAGCAACGCTGGTCGGGCTCAGCACAGCCCTGCAAAGCTATATATCCGACGCCGATTTCAAGTTCGGGCGACCCCAACACGACTCGCTTCTGCCATCATAAGTCTCGGCGGATATGCGCCGTCGGGCAGCGAACCCAAACAGACGGTGGACGTGGCCGGTGATCCGAGTGCCAACCTTGTGGGAGGGAACAACAAGACATAGACAAAGGTTACAAGACAGTAGGCTATTTCCGTTGCGTGCTGCAAGAGTGGGAACTAACCAAAGTGAATGATGAGAAAAATGAACATTTAGAGGTGACTAAAAAAGAAGAAACCGTCACCTGCTAATACAAACCAAGACCGCCTCCTTCCCTGCCCAGAATAGAATAGAAAACAGCAGGGTTTAAAGTCCACAGCTCGCCAAGGATATATCCGTACTCTTTTCAACTTTTGACAATGCTATTGGGTTCCTTTGGTAATCGTTACCTGTTGTGGCTCCATCGCCTACTCCCTCATCTTGACGTAGTTGCTCGGGAATATGCCGTGTTTCGTACCGATCATTCCCGTCCTGTTGTTCTGTCAGTCTCTGGATTCGGAGAGGAGAAGAACAAGAAAGAAAGGGAGGAAAAGGGGGAAATAAATAGAAATAAACATAAACATACCACCAGTCGTTGTCGCTCTCGGTTTTCTTCAGCACAGTGATGACGTCGCCCTTCTTGAAGGGTAGGTCACCCGGCTGGTCTGCCTCAAACGTGAAGAGGGCGACGGCTTCGTTCTTCTTAAGGAGCGCCTGCTTGCCAGCAAAGTTGGGCTTCGGCGCTGCTGGTCGACCGGGACCGGCACCAGCCCCCGAGATCTTTCTGTCGCCGTCGTTGAACGTGTTGGAGCGCGATACGCTGCCGCGATACGGCCGCGTCTGCTGGCGGTCGTCGTACTGGTCGTCCCGCCATGACGTCGTCGCCGCCCGCCGTGGCACGCCGTACCCATCATCGCGCGTCGGGCTGCCGTAGCCGCTGTCGCGCACCGCATCGTCGCCGTAGCTGCCGCGATTGCCGTAGCCGTTACGGTCGCCGTAGCTGTTTCGGTCGCCGTAGACGCTACCGCGGCTGTTGCGGTTGCTGTTGGAGCTGCTGTCGTAGCGGTCATCGTAGACGGGGATGTCGTTATATACACTGGCGCTGTCGTTAAAGTCGCCGCCCCCCCGCCCCATGTTGAAGACGCGCGAGTTGAGGATGTTGAGCAGCGGCGCAGCCTCGGATGGTGACCGCTCGCTGCCGCTCAGAAGCTCCCGGGCGCTGATAGGTCGGCCGTATAGCTTCGTATTGGCGTCCTTGCGCTCGATGATGGCCGAGCCTTCTAGAGAGACGCCGGCGAACAGGCCTTTGGTCTTGGAGTAGCTGAAGATGGCGGCCACGCTCTTGAGACTGGCTGCTCCGGCAGCCTCGGCATTGCGGCCAACAGGACCTGCGGCGAGCGACACGTTGCCGCCCAACGTCAGCGAACCGGCTTGTGAAAACGTCTTGACTGCGCTGGCGTCGTTGAGAATAAAGACGAAGTCGGTCAGCTCGAAGCCGATCTGGCCGCCGAAACCGGCACCTCCTGTGGCAATGGCGCTGGGGGCGCTCCAGCTGCCATCTGGCAATCGCGCGATGACGAGGCCGCTTCCGAAGCGCGCAGACCCGAGGAAGCCAGCTTTTATGACGGTGAGGATGGCAAGACCCTGCGCACACACCGTTTAGGTGCTATTCAAGAGACACAAAGGGGGATGGGTTGTTAAGCTCACCTTGGCTCCGGCCAGTACATTTGGTGGAATGACCTTTTCGGGGCCAAAGGCCTGGCGCGGGTCGACGAAGGAGGCGAGGATCTTTCCGCACTTTTTACACTCCGCTGGATAAAAGAACAAAATCAACACATCACCCTGCCAAAACGCCGTATGCACGAGATGGTGTGGAGAGGCTTGACTGGTAACTTACACGCCATAGACGAAGGAAGAGGGTTATGTAGACCCATGGCTGCGGTGAGGACTGCTCGTGTGTGAGTGGAAAAGAGAGGACACAGGGACGAGAGGGAGACAAGGGAGCGAAATCAGGGCTGTCAAACGGTCTCTCAGCCGCAGACCGTCGGAAGTCGAAGAAGAAGGAGGCTGGATGAGACAACCCCACAGTTTTGTTTGACTATTCGGTTCCGATCGATGTCGTTTGTGAAAATGCAGCCAATAATGCGGTGGCGCTTTGTCCTGCGGATATTCTTATTGCGCCTGTTCTGACCGGGAGACAGAAGAGAGATGGGCGAGGGCAAAGAGAGCGCAGACGGATGGATGTGAGGATGCAGGGCGAAGAGAGATGGGTAGAGAGGAAACAAGGGTCGAAATGGATTGGCAGTGGTAGGTCACGATAGTCGGGGCCAAAAAAAACCCGGAGTGACGCTTTAGAGGCAGCCCGACCGCCGCGTGGCACTTCGAGGCGCAAAGCTTGGCGGCTACTGTTGGCCGCTGACACGAGAGGATGGAGGATTGGGGGGGCGAGAGGACGAGAAACGAGAGAGAAGCGAGGGAGACGAGAGCGAAACGAGAGAGAGACGAGAGACGAGAAGAGGCTGCGGATGTCACAAGCGTGCAGATTTCGGAAGGAGAGGTTGGTTGCCACTGCCTGCTATTATCTTTATTTCTGTACGGATCGGACGGAGGGGCTGAGCAGCGACCAGTGGGCGGGAAGAGCACGAGTACATAGTCTGTGCAGGGAAAGAGGCATGGGCGGCGGGTTTCTGACAGCTGCGGGCGCCGATTGGCTGGCGGCCTGAGCTTTGGTGGAGCGGACACCCCGCTGCGAGCGACTCTGCGCCACAAGGCCAAGAAATGACGCTGCTGCTCCATACCGGATGACAGGCCATTGGTTACCGACCCTACAGGTGATCGTCTGTGGCGGTGGTGCCATACGGAGTACGGATACGGAGCAGGACGGAGCACGGACTTTGAACGATTAGTCATCATCTCCAGCCACAACAGGCACTCGCCATTTGAGAGGAGCGAGAAAGCGGCCATGACGAGGTGCTTTGTTGGAAAGCGTCTGCGTTTCAGCCGGCATCGATCCCCCTAACAAACGGCACGAGCAGTCCGACCGGTCCTTTAGCCCACGAGTTGTGTTCCTGCGAGAGCGACGAGCACACACACGAGCACGCTGCAGGCCCCAAATTATCACCGCCCCTTGTCGTTCGACGGCCCCATCTCGATCTCGTCTCGTCGTCCCATCGAACTCGGCCCGTCTCTCCTATCAACTATTACCCATACCTATCCATACCCATCGCCAGACCGGTCGCCCCCTCCCGTCCATCATGTCGGACGCCTATGAGCGCGAGCGCCAAAACAACTCGCGGCTGGACGAGCTGGCAGCCAAGGTGACGGCTCTTCGCGGCGTCACAATTGACATCTACGACAATGCGCGGGCGCAGGACGTCCTCGACTCGACCAATGACACCTTCTCGTCCATGTCGTCTCAGCTCAAGGGCTCCGCCGGCCGCCTGACCCGCATGGCCGCCTCCGGCAACAAGGTCGCCGTCCTCAAATTGTCAGCCATCCTCATCGGCATCGTCCTGGTGCTCTACTACCTGTTGCGGCTGTTCTTCTGAGCCGGATGGCCATTGGTGTCTCGCATAGCTTTGGCGTTTATTCCGACTTTTGCGACTTTTCCTTTTTGCGTCTTTCCACAGACCTCCTCCCTTGCCGAACCCCTATTATTCCCAGAGGTGGACTTTGTTGGCATACTGTCGTACTATTATGCTTTTGGACGAAGCTGCCTTTTTGCATTTCTTTCCCTTTTCTCTCCCAATTATCACTTCTATCCCCCCGGAAAGGCAACAGAAAGACCAAAAACTAGAGGTCCCAACAATAATGCAAAATGTAAATATAGTGCTGAAAATAAAAACATGATAGGCTCCGCCATCTTCATGAAACCACAGACATGTCCCTCGGGCCTTCTCTCGTGCTAGCTTAGCCCCAGACGTTGGAAAACAGGTCTTCGCTGCCGCCGAATCCGGCCGCCGGCTTTGCTGTCGCCGTCGTCGTCGTCACCGCCGTGCTAGATGTCCATCCTCCAAACTCCTCGTCTGCGGCCACCTTGGGCGCCGTTGCAAAGCTGCCGTTGGCCCCCGGCACGATGCTCTGCGTGGCAAAGCTGCTGGCCGTCGTAGTGGCCGCAGAGCTGCCCCACCCGAAGTCGTTGACCGGCGCCTTGGGCTGGACGTGTTGGGAATAGGACGCCGTCGCCGTCGGGGCTGCCGGTGCTGCCGATGTTGTCGACGAGCCCCAGCCGTCGTGGCCGCCCCAGACGTCCGAGTTGGACCAGTTGGCGCTGACTGCGGCGAGCGGACTGGCAGCTGGCGCCGCAGCGGTGGGTGTAGGCTTGGCCGGCTGGGCCGACAAGTTAAAGACCGAGCTGAACGCGTTGGACGCGCCCGTCGGCGGGCTGACAGCCGCAGGTGCCGCGGTAGGAGCCGGTGCAGAGGTGGCAGACGAGAAGTCGAAGAGGTCGCCAAACGCGCTGGATGACGCGGCTGGCGTGACTGCTGCTGCTGCTGCCGTCGCCTTTGATAAGGAGGGCGCCGACGAGAAGGCATCGAAGCCGCCAAACGCGGACGAGGAGGCGACTGCCGGCTTGGGAAGAGATGTGACGGCCGGAGCAGCAGACTTGGCCTCGAAGAAGCTGCCGCCGCCCAGGCTGCCAAAAGTAGACGATGCCGTCTTGACGCCGGTGGTGGAGCTCTGGCGATTGTGGAGGCCAGACAAGCCGGAAAAGGCGTCGACAGGCTTCGGCGAGGGCGTGGAGGCGGGCGCAGTCACGAAGCTGAGGCTGCTGAAAGGGTCGACGAGACCGCCAACGCCGCTGCCAAACGAGTTTTGGGATTGAGACGGCGAGTGGAGGCTGCCGAAGCTGCCGCTGCCTCCGCCGTGATGTGCTTGTGCCGGCTGTGTCCGGGGCGCGGTGGCGTAGAGCGAGAGGATGGACTGCTTCAGGTCTGGACGCGACTGGCCGCCGCCAGAAGTGGAGCCAGCGGTGCTGGAGGGCCGAGCCGGGGCGGCGGGCTGCGAGCCCAGGAAGTCAAGGCCCAGCAGCGAGTCTCGGGTGTTGCTGTTACTGTTGCTGCTGGCGGAGGTGGTCGCTTTGGGTGGGACGGGGATGCCTTTGGGGGCGACCTGGGCAGCAGCCGGTCCGGCAGTGCTTGCGCGTGGTGGCGGCGGTGGCGACGAGATAGACGGCGAGGGAAACGAGTCGTTGCCGCCGATCAGGTCGACAACGGGAGCACGCGACCTCGCAGCAGCACGGGCGGCAGCCTCAGCGGCGGCCGATCCAGAGGCACTGCCACTGACAGACTTGCGGATGGACTCTTTGCGGTCAATGTTCTGCTTCTCCTTCACAATGCTAAGGGGAATGTCGTCGTCGCCGTCGGCATCGAGGCTGGCCGGGTTGGGCATAGGCCCGTCCATGACCCAGCGCTTCAACTCGTACTTTGTGCGGATAAAATTCTCCATCTTGGAGTCGGAGGGAACGTGGCCAGGAGCCAGCTTGTGCTCCCAGTACTTGTTTGCGCGGGCGTTGCCCCAGCTGAGGATGCTCTGGAGCTGTTCGTCGGTCCAGGTGTCGAGGTCGACCGACTTGACGCGGCTGATGTGGGTGCCCATGCCACGGTGGATGCCCGAGCAGCGGATGCAGATGAAGACGCCGAGATTCCAGCTGGCCCATCGGGGGTCTGGACCGTTAGTAGGTGTAGATGAGGCAGAGAGAAGATTGCAGACGCAAACATCACCAGATACGAATCAAACACCGATCACCTCAATCACCCCAATGATCCAACAAAAAACACCAAAAACACCACACTCACGCTTGTTCCTCTTGCAGTCCGCGCACACCTTGTTGGCATCCAGCTTCAGCAGCGTCTTGATCGTCTGCGTGTTCTGCGCCGCCCGGTCAGCAGCCGGATTCGGCGGTCGTCTCGACATGATGGCCGTGGTCGCGGACGGCGGCGGCGGCGGACGTGGTGATACAAAAGCAGGCGGTCACAATCGGCTGCCAGGGACACGATGGATCAACTGACATGCGGTGAAAGGGGATAATGGATGAAAGGTACGGAGTAGCGAATAAGTAATAGGTAGCATCAACTATTTAATTATATTAATCGAGCGCCAGCACGATGGAATTGGCAAGGTGCCGGGGGCCAGTTGGCGGGGCCGTGGCAGCCTAAGGCAGAACTTGGCCTGGGTGTCACTACGTAATGACACATCGGGATAGCCTGCTGCAGCGCCGATGAGGAATCTTTGGCGCTGTGCCCCGCCATCGCTCAGAGGCTGAGCCCGCTGTAAGACCAAAAAGCCTGTGTCAGATTTGGTCATCCATGCTGAGGAAACATCGACAGGCATATAAGTCGGCTCGTCTTGTCCAGAGACTCTTCCATCATCGCACATGCCGACTGCAGCTCTGCTCCGCACAGTAACCGCCGTCTCTCACAGCTTCGTCCGGCCAACAGTCTCTGTCCGTCTCCGGTTTCTCCGTCTGCCGTTTCCGGCTGTCCGTCCACTTCGGCGCATGTCCTTCATCCCGTTTCTCGGCAGCTTATTCTCGTCTGGCTCTGCCAAGCAGGACACCATGTCGTACCCCGACAAGCGCACTGAAAGCGAGTGGCAGGCCATCCTCAGTCCTCGTAAGTTCTTTTCTTTCCTCTCCCTCTCTTTCCCTCTCTCCCTCCCTCCCTAACCATTCAGAACAATTTCGTGTCCTCCGGCAAAAAGGCACCGAGTCGCCCTTCTCGGGCGACTACGACAAACACTTTGCTGACACCGGCGTCTACACGTGCGCCGGCTGCGACGCACCCATCTACAAGGCCTCGCACAAGTTCAAGTCAGGCTGCGGCTGGCCGGCCTACTTTGACAGCCTGCCCGGTGCCATTGTGCGCCACGAGGACACCACGCACGGCATGTTACGCACCGAGATCGTGTGCGCCAACTGCGGCGGCCACCTCGGCCACGTCTTCAAGGGCGAGGGCTACGACACCCCGACCGACGAGCGACACTGCGTCAACAGCATCAGCCTCAAGTTCTCGCCCGAAGATGCGGCTGCCAGCAAGGCCTGAGTGCAGCAGGCTGGTCCACGATGACGTCTGAATTCTCCGAGATTAGTAATATAAACCAGACATTGTATATTGTTCCAAGCTTATGCTCCAATCCATTTCATCATTGTGTTGCCGCATCCAAATCTCATACCAAGGCCATAAATCGTACATTCGACACATCTCCTATTCCAACAGCCCTGCCGCAATCGTGTGTCCCTCGGACCGCAGCACAATCCGCTGGCCGCGCTCCAGTGGCAGTTTCGTGTGTAGCCGCACGCGCAGCCGTGCCACGGCCCCGGGCTTGACTACTTTGGGCCGCCGCTTCTCGACCGTGCCACTGGTTTTGTTGAGCAGCGCCGTCAGCTCCTCGATCTTGGCCGACTCGTTGATCCGCCCGCGGTGCACCTCCACCGGCATCGGGAAGAGCATGTCAAACGCGAGCACCTTGATCGAGAATACGTCCACGCAGGTCACCGGCTTCGTCAGATCGCAGAGCACGTCGCCCGGTCGCACGTGTTCGGCCTCGATGCCGGCCAGATGCACAATCACGCTCTGACCGGCCACAGCCCAATCCAGCGTCTGTGTGTCGCTGCTGCTGCCATCTTGCAGCTCCACCTGCTTCACGTGTGCCTTTTCGCCTGCAGGCTGCACCAGCAGTGCATCGCCCACCTGCAGCGACCCGGCCTCGATGCGTCCCGATACTGTGACGGCCCCAGCTGTTGACCGAAATGCTTCGGCTACCGGCAGTCGCAGCGGCTTGTCCAGCGCCCGTGCCAGCGGCTCCGACCTGTCTAGCTCCTCCACCAGCGTTGCCCCCTCGTACCATTGGGCCTCGGGCGCCGTCGATCGCGTCACCAGGTTGTCTCCATGCAGCCCTGACACCGGCACAAAGCTGATGTTCTTCGCCTGGAAGCCTGTCGCCGACAGAAAGCCGCCCATCTGCTGGCAAATTGCCTCGAATCGCTCCCGGTCCCAGCCGACCGTGTCCAGCTTGTTGACCGCCACGATGATACGCGTCACTCCCATGCTGCGCATCAGCAGCGCGTGCTCGCGCGTCTGTCCCTTGAGTCCCGACTCAAACGATCCCCGGCTGGCGTCGATCACCAGCACCGCAAAGTCCGCCTGGCTTGCCCCCGCGATCATGTTCGGGATGAAGTCGCGGTGCCCTGGCGCGTCTAGCATCGTAAAGGCTGTCGTCGCCGTCTCGAACCGCCTGGTCGCAATGTCGATCGTCACCCCGTGCGCCCGCTCGTCTGACCCCTGGTCCAGCACCCATGCCAGCACAAACGACGCCTTGCCCATGTCCTTGGCCGCCTTCCGGTACTTGTCGATCGTCCGGCTGTCCACCCGCTTCATCTCCAACAGCAGTCGTCCCATCATCGTGCTCTTGCCCGCGTCCACGTGGCCCACCACCACAAAGCTCGCGTTCTTCTTCTTCGCGCTCTTCTCGTACTCGGCCAGCACGTCCAGGTTCTTGCTCCGCGGCAGCGGCGTGTCGTCCACCTTCAACCCCTTCACCCCGTTGGCGAGCGTCGCCTCCGTCGATTCCGTCTGTCCTGCAGCCCCTGCTGCTCCGGTCCTCTTTTTCGCCGGTGTCCCCGTGGGGGTGGCCTTTCCGAAAGCTGCAATCGTCAGCAAATCTCGGGCAAACGTGAGTGCGCACGCGTGCCGATCAAGTTGCAGCTGCCTGGCCGCGACGCCAACCTTTCGCCTGTGCCTGAAGCACCACATCGTCGGGAGACGGTGACAAAAACGCCTCAAAAGCAGCCGCGGGAGCCCGTGCCAGCGACGGCACCGCCAAGAAGCCCCCTTCTGCCACATCCGAGATGCGCCGTTTTCGCTTCTTAGGCCCGAACAGCGCCTGTGCAAATGCAGATGGCTTCGCTACCTGGGCTGCCTCGCGCTGCTCGTGCACCGCAGCCCCGCTTGGCCCGCACACCCCCTCCATGGGGACGGCTTCTGCTGCTGGCACTTTCGGAGCTTCCGCTTCAGCTGGCTTGGGAGCCTCTGTCACGGCTTTCTCTGTCGGCATCGGAGGTTGGCGGACAGCCCGGAGGGCAAGCTTCAAGGATTTGCTGGTATGCTCGTCGACCTTGGCTTGCGGCTGTGTCTTTTCGGCTGCAAAGCCAACCTCTTTGGTCTTCTTAGCTTCCTCAGCCTTTCGCTTGCGCTGAGCCGCCAGAGCCTGAAGCTTCGACATCTTGGGTGCTACGCTGGCACCACCCAAGAGGCCACCTCTGGGCAGCAAAGGTGCCACAAAGATGGTCTGTCTCGACTGCGGCACACCGAGCCATGGCATGTCCTCAAAGAAGCTGGCGTATGAAGATTTCGCTGTGCGAGGCGTCAGATGTCGTCGGCTCATGTTGTCGCTCCCTCGGCTTTGACTCCCTCGGCTGAACAGACAGTTGACATCGAGTCTGCGGCCCTGGCCCATCTCTCTTCTTCTGCACGCATCCCCGGCCAGGCAGTGACAAAGGCAGACATGATACTTACCGTCTGGAGAATCCTGCTTGGCCTTGGCTTTGGCCTGTTTGGCTTGTTTGGCTGCTGGTGCTGGTGCTGGTGATGGGTTGATGAATGTCTTTACCAAGTATGCAACCGCCTTGTCGACGTCATAGTAGTAGTGGTACACTGCTTCCGCTATACTGTCTTGCGGCACCTTCTTCACGTTTTCGCCCAGTCTCTCCGTGGCCTCCTCTACACTCAGCGCCAAGAGCGCTCGGTCTTCCGGGCTCATTTCATCCCCCTCGTCTTCGCCGTCATACTCGCCCAGATCTTGTTCGTAGTCATAGTTGCGGTAATCCTGATGTCGCGACATCGTAGCCGATATCTTTTACGATGGGTGGGGTGCAAGTTGTCGCTGATTGTACCGCAAAGTTGTAGAAACTTTAATCTGCCTTGTATGATGTATTATTCCATGGCGGGGCTATGAGCTCACTTTGCACATTACACACTGTGGTTGGACGTATGCAGATAAGCGGGTCTTCCTTTTGCGGGGCTGTGCAATATTTAACTGGATCCGATATCACCATTTGCATACTCCGTACATACTCGACCTCATCGATTTGTATGGAATCGGTATTACCCCTAATATGATCGTCGGGCATCAAGTAATTGATGATTGGCTCAGCCAGTCTGATGTAGCTCGCTTTCTACTCATTTTCGCGTTTTGATGTCATTATTTTAGCTCTTAATGCACGAAATACTGAAATTTTAAACCCCTAAATTTCCAAAAAAAAACTCCATCTCCATAGTCTACAGCATTGCGTGTGCTCCAGTACGTCTGCTTGCTCCGCGTAGCAATCTACGAGCATATAACTACAAGACTTTCCGGCTAAGAAAGCATGTGCGTACGAAACCATCAATTCGTTCTCAGGTTAGCCTAAATGCTATCCCAATATTCCCTACATATAATCTGGATTGGGCAGTGAGGCTGAAAGAAGCATCAAAGACAGTCAATTTCCGGCCAATATAAGCCAGCCCAAATCAGGCGTCGGACCTGCTGTCATCTTCCTATCCATATCCGAGCAAGTCTTTATGATACTGCAAAGACAGAGCCTCGGCTGCGCTCAGATGGGGCCAACCGACTGCATGCTAGCCAAAAGTAGATATTCCCAATAATCGCAGATATGCTGGCACCATATTATTGGTCATTATTGTCTGGGATACCTAAACGAAGTAAGCTGCTTTCTATATAAATATGTTTTACTGTATGTTTTTATATGCTGATATTTGTTGACTGGATGTGGCTTGTGGTAAAGGTTGGGCGCACAGCTATATAACTGTGACACCTACCCAGCATTCATACCGTCCCCTGCTCTTTGATCTTCTTATACAGATTAACCCTTCTAAAAAGCCACCTTGACGTAAACAAAAATATTCCTTCCTCTATTCTTCTTCCGCGACACAACCAGCCCTACGTAACTTGCAAAATAACCACCGATATGGCGTCTTCTGGGGGGTGGATTGTGTATTGGACTTTCCTCGCCATCTTCACGATTATCGGTTACCCATTCTTCCATTACAGTGCGATGAGCGCCTTGCTGATTGTAATGCGAGCAAGAGACAACCAACTTCCGCGCCAGGCATGGGTAGCTTTCTGGCTGACAGCTGCGCAAGCTTGGTGGCCCGTTATGTTCATGCCATTGACGGAGCTGCAAAGCACGTTTCACCTTTGGCTGTTAGCAATCGTGCGCTTCGGTATCGCTATACACTCTGAAGAGAAATTTAAAGCCTACGAAATGCCAACAAAGGTATTTTGGATCCTTTTTGCCTTCATGGTGCCGACAATACTTCGACCCTATATGACGTTGGGATGCTATATGCTGGTAGCTACTCTCATGTATAATGTGCACATGGGACCCAACGGACTTCACCTACCCGGAGTCACAGTAACCGGATGGTTATTTATTGCACTGGCGGCCGTCATCTTGGTCGGCGTACATGGCAAGTACACGCTCCAGTACTTACCATCAGTCTTGATCTTTTTCTCCATCGCCGTTCTACTGCACAACCAGATGTGGCCTTACAACAAAGATTTTGGGTATGTGTGGTTCATTGCCTGGATCGTCCTCTACAAGTCTATCACCTTGGTCTTTGCACCATACATCGTGTTCCAGCCGGTCATTTGGTATAGCTCTTGGGTGGTCATTGTTGCCATGCTCGGCTGGGCATTCCGGCCCGACCAGTCATTAACCCGCTTTATGCTCTGGGCGGCCACGATTTACGTTTTGCGGAGTGTGCTATTTTTAATAGTCCTTACATACTTTCCGGGGGACAACAGAAGAGCTTCATTGTTTCCCTTCAATCTATTCAGTGGCACGTGGCGGGTGAGCCGCGAACGATGGCTGGCTCTTGTCGAACTGCCCAAGGAAAACCCCGAGCAAGTACCCGGGGGCGACTCCGGGCAATTTCCAGAAAACGAATCCGAGCGGCGAGCATTATGCGAGCGATGCAACATTATTGTAGCCAGCTCAAAACTGATCACAGGCTCGGAAACGTACTTGACCCGACTTACCGAATGGCACGAATTTCGGACGACGAAAGAGTTCGTCGACAGTTTTGCAAAGCCTGAACAAAATACCAACTCGGCTACTCAAGAAGCTAAACCAGCAGAGGAGGCCGTTGGTAATTTGGCAGATCCCAGACAAACCTCTAACTCAGCTACTGAAACCCTTACACTGCCGAAAGACTGCCATCTCTGCTGCCTTCTATGGTACTCTATGAGTCCGCCACGCCAGCAGGATATTGCCAAGAGCTGTATGCAGACAGGCACTACCGTTGCAGTGTCAGAAACCCAACGTCAAGATGCTGCGCCGCCTAGGTGCCAGCAAGATACCTCCGAGGGCTGCACGCAGACAGGTAATACTGTTGCACTGTCAGAATACCAACGTCAGGACGATACGCCGTCTGGACACCGGCAGGATGTTGCCGAGAGCTGCAGCCAGGTAGGCAGTACCGCCACGCTATCAGAAAATCAACCTCGGGACGATGTGCCGTCTGGGTGCCAGAAAAATGGATCTGAGAGCTGCAAACAGATAAACAATCCCGTTGCAACGTCAGGGAAAAAAACTCAGGACGATACGCCATTTGAGGTAATTCCGCTCTCGAGACCGACGAATCCTTCTGCCGGGTTGCGAATCAAAGTATGGGAAGAGCGGCCGCTGACGCCTTACACATATACGCAACTATATTGGGGCGATGTTGCTATTGGGTCTCGGCTTCTGGTACACAGAGGCAACCTCCTTCCTACCCGTGAGTTTTAGACCAGAATCTCTACCTCTACATAAGGGGAGCCTGTCATCCGGATTTTAGCCTAACCGCTTTACCACATGCAGAATCGCCATCCATTGAGCAGGATAATACGGGCTCTAAAGCGCACTTTGAGCAGGCTTTAGAATGGCTTCAGTCATGCCGTGAAAGTCACGACCTGTGCAAAGGTGTCGGCAATTCGAAGCCCGTCCGACCAAAACGAATGCTGTTTGTCTCTAATGGCGGGGAAAACTACTTGGAGCCGGGGATGCCACCTGCATCCATCAAGCTCATGGACACCTGCGACATCGACTTTACTAAGTCTGAATACGTGGCCCTTAGTCACTGCTGGGGTAAGACGAAAGAGGTTCCCTTCACACTGCTGGCGAGCAACATTGAAATGCTCTACCAGGGAATTGACTTCTTCTGTCTGTCGCGGAACCTGCAAGATGCAATTACTGCGACACTGAACCTTGGCTTCTCGTATATCTGGATCGACTCTTTGTGCATCACACAATCGGATAAAACCTTTCAGGAGAAGGAAGAGCTGGCCCACATATGGGAGGAAGACTGGAAAAATGAGGCGCCGAAGCTGGGCGGCGTCTACTCAGCCGCCGCCTGCACGATTGCATCTACTGGGTCGTTTGACTGTAACGGTGGCTGTTTCCATTCCCGGAATGTGAAGGCACTCGAGCCGTGCAAGATTGGAGCCAAACCTGGGATCAAACCCACTGCAGCGACGCCTGACGAAGTGATCTATGTGCGTCGTGATGACGTGTTCGACTTTGATCGTGGCGTCAACTTGGCACCACTTAACACTCGCGGCTGGGTCATGCAGGAACGTCTTCTGTCGCGCCGCATCCTCCACTTCGGTGCCGACATGCTTTACTGGGAATGCGGCTGCCGCTCCGCCTCCGAGCTCAACCACCATGGCTACACGTACAAGCGCTACCCTGAAGACTTTCGCGATCACTATGCACCCGACATGTCACCGCAGAATATCGAGACCCGCCGAGACCTGTATATAGCCGAACGTGAAGGTCGTGGCTTGCGATGGCATGACAAAGAGGCGGTGCGGCGACGTCCACCACCACCGATGCTACATCCAGACAGCCCGCCAAGCAGTCAGGAAGTATGGCTGCGCAAGCGTGGTTTCTGGAAGAACGTGCTCAAATCGGATTCTGAGCCCTGGACGAACGATGAATCTGACGACCGCAAGAAACGACCACGAGCCGGGTTCCGGGCAGACTTTGAGCTGTTACGCCTGGGTAATGCGGAGAAAATAGCAACAGCAGTGGCGGAAGAGTTGGCGAAATACCATCTCAGTCTCATGGCGAAATGGTTAGGTGCAGAGCCGGCACCGGAAGACGAGTCTCGCGAGGTCGGACAGTACAGCTACAGTCAGCTGTGGTATAACATTATCGAGCCGTACTCTCGTTGTCTGCTAACTACTCCCACGGACAAGTTGGTGGCCATAATGGGCCTCCAGGAGGAGGTCGGACGGGCAACGGGATCTACGTACCTACATGGGCTATGGAGCCAGCGGCTGGCGACGGATCTGCTATGGTTTGCCATAGATGGACCTGGCCAGCGGCTTCGCAAAGATGGGAAGAAGCCCGAAACTCCAGCCATAGATGGATCTGGCAAACAGGTGGGCAAAGAACAGAATAAGCCCGAGGGACCACCTGTGGCACCGACTTGGTCCTGGGCGTCAATTGTGGGCGCCGTCGCACTCGATCTGATGCCGGAGAACTCACGTGCACACATCGAGCTGAAAGCTACTCTGCTCGCGACTATTCGCATCATTGACGGGAAGGACCACCCGAGCTCTACGGCGATCGAGCTCTACGGCCCCGTACTAAAAATAGAAGCAAATTGGCTGACGTTCGATGGTACTGTATGGGGTATCCACGCTGGTAACACAAGACGGCCGTCGGCAAGGTTCTTCCCGGACGTTGCCGGGAGAGACGAACAGTCTCGACAGAGCTTAGAAGGCGCAAAAGATCTGGTATGCCTGTCCGCTCTGGTCCTACGACGAAATAAGTCCAAATTGGCCATGACATCCTCCACGGAAGATGTCCAGGGGCTTGTACTTCGTTCTGTAGAAGAGACTGATGGTGCAGCTGGCAATAATCACGGGGAAGACAATTCACCAAAGGATTACGTTCGAATCGGCTATTTCACGACAAGCTACATCGCCAAGTCTCGGGAGGCGGCTCAAGGCCTGAAGGCACTGAAGAGGGCCGAGGTGAAAAAGCTGTGTCTGAGAGGGTGGTCTGGGAGCAAGATTGAATACTAGCTACGGTTATGGCTCTTGTAAACCGGCACTGTTAAGACAAAGGCCATTCGGGTGTAGTGAAGCGGTAGCTAAGGAGTATAATTATCACGGCTTCCGTACTAAAGCTCGTGGCGTCATTAGCGTGCCGATAACATCTCTTATCTTCTTATCGATACCATATTTTTTAAACTTTTTGAACTTTTCTTCGCGACAGTTTTTTCCCTTGCAGTGCAGCAGACCTTTCCTCCTCACTCCAAGCGGGTTTTTTACGAGCAGCAGTCCAGCTACGAAAGCCATACTGCTGATACACAATGAAGCTCGCAAATGCCGGCACGGTCCCCGTGTATACGGTCTCGGGGCCCTCCTCGCGAGCTCTTCCCGACTGGTTGGCGAGCAAGAAGAAGCAAAGCCTGAAACACGATCCTGAATATGCGAATCGCCTGGAGCTGCTGCAGGACTTTGAGTTCACGGGCGCCAGCGGCTGCATTCGCGTCTCCGAGGATGGCGAGTGGGTTATGTCAACCGGAACCTTTCCTGTAAGAACCAGCTTTCTCTACGCCAAATACGCTTTTCCGTTTTCTCGGGCCCGCAAGGCTGACTGACCTTTATCTTTGAATTAGCCTCAAATACATGTCCACAACCTACACCAGCTCTCGCTTTCCTTTTCCCGCCACACCGTTTCTTTGAACACAAAGTTCGTTCTTTGCTCTACGGACTATTCCAAGTCGAGTACGAACTTCCTCTTCGTTTTTGCTTCGTTGATAGTCTGCGGAAACTTACTTAATATGCGTCTCGTATAGTTCATCTCCAAGAGGATCGGAGGATAGAATTTCACACACCGGCAGGATGCCATTTTCAGCTCCGAATCCCGCGGTTTGGGCGCGATATTGTCTATGAGCGACCCGCTCAACGGAGGTCCTCGTCCCAGCTGCCGGACTGGACGCTGACGGACTCGGTGAAGTGTTCCGCCTGAACTTAGTACGCTCCAATATTCTCATTCTGTCCCATGCATGTCTACATACTGACTTTCGGTGTGTTGTAGGAACTGGGAAGATTCCAAAAGTCATTTCAGATCGACTTGGGCGCGGATGATGGCGTTGAGCGCGGTCTACAAGGAAGCATTGGCGTCGGGTGCGTGAATGTGGCTGCTCTGGCAGAAGAATCGCACGGCCTGGCTGCTTTCGGCACCTCGCGCGGCACAGTCGAGTTTTGGGACTCCCGGAGCCGGGCGAGGGTGGCCACACTAGACACACACGACGGCGAGATCTCGGCATTGGACTTCTCGCGCTCGGGCATGTCGTTGGCCACGGGAGCAAGCTCCGGCATCGTGCAGATATACGATCTTCGGCGGCCGACGCCTCTCATGACCAAGGATCTCGGCTTTGGTTACCCCGTGAAGAACTTGATGCACCTGACGACGGCATCGGACGAAAAGAAGATTCTGGCGTCCGATAAACGGGCAATCAAAATCTTTGACGAGACAGACGGCACGCCGTGGACGACAATTGAGCCAGAGGCAGACATTAACTCGGTGGCACACTGCCCGAACTCGGGCATGCTGCTCAGCGCCAACGAAGGAAGACAGCAACATGCGTGGTTTATTCCGATGCTTGTGAGTTCCGAGTTCATCAGTCCGCCGGACGGCCTATGAAGCCAGTACTAACTTATTAGGGCCCTGCTCCGAAATGGTGCACATTCTTGGAACGCCTCGTTGACGAGATGGCAGAGGAGGTATCGACCACAACGTACGACAACTACAAGTTTCTCACGCTGGCCGAGCTCCGTTCTCTCAGCTTGGCTCATCTCGTCGGCAAGACAAATCTGCTGCGGCCATACATGCACGGTTACTTTGTCGCGAGCAAGTTGTACGACCAGGCACGTCTCATTGCCAACCCGTACGTGTACGAGGAAGAGCGGATGAAGCGTGTCAAGGAGCGGATTGACAAGGAGCGGTCCAGCCGGATCCGTGGCAACAAGAAGGTCAAGGTCAACCAAAAGCTGGTCGACAAGCTTCTCAAGAAGCAGGAGAAGAGAGACACCATCGATCTGGAGGCTGGAGCACTGGGCGACGAACGTTTCAAGGGTCTCTTCGAGGACGAAGAGTTTGCCATCGATGAGAAGAGCGCAGAGTTCCGGGCACTCAACCCGAGCACTAGGATCGACGAGACCGGCAGGACAATCTGGGGCAAGCACGTTCCCGCCAAGTCAGACGCCGATTCGGACTCGGACTCGGAAGACGCTGACGACAGCATCCGGAAGCCTGACAGCTCATCCCGCAAGCCTGTCGGAGGCGAGGTGTCGATGCGCATGTCTTCATCAGCGCGACAGGGCGGCAGCAAGTCGAAAGACAGCACGTTTGGAGCCCGTGTCGAGCAGATGGCAGCGTCGAGCAGCCGGAGCCACGGAAAAGGCGTGCCGGTTCGAACCCGCATCGTGGGCGAGCGGCAGGTTACCTTTGTGCCCGAGTCGTCCAAGAAGAAGGAGGAGCCGGAAGCTGTCGAGAAGCCGGCGCCGAGACGAGACAACAAGGCTCGACGAAGCGCCAGCGGCAACACCTTTCGGAGTCTTAAGCAGTAAAGCAATGGAATTCGAGAAGCGGACCGCAGAAACTAATAATACAGGGGTAGTGGCAGTCGAAATCCGGCCGCTTGTTCCTTCATTAAAACGCAACATGACCCAATGCCCATTTTCACAAAACAGCTCGCTCTTCTTGGTTATCTCACACGTGTCTCGCCTCCTTTGTCTATCATCGCTCGGAACGTTGCTTATCCCATCTGTCATCTTATTTCAGCTTGCCTTGCCGAAGCACCCGTCATGACAGCCTACTTCCGATGGAAGTTGTACTTCTTCTTGTCGGAGTTCGCAAAGCCTTTCTCCAAATCGACTGGCAAGCGCGGCGTGGGTGGGACATCATCTAGGCGGACACGGCCACGAGAGTTGCTGGCAGTGCCCTCTTTGGCGGATTTGGGAAACTCGCTGCGACGGGGCGTCAGGGCGTTGACCACCCTTCTCGCAGATTTCCGGATGCTCTGGCGGATCTTCCACTCTCGCTTCTTGGCGAGATAGAACAAGACTGCCGAAGTGACTACTGGTGTGTGAGCAAAGGAAGACATCTGGAGCAGACAGAACAACAAGCTCACCTCCGATTATGGCAACAGCCACGACGACAACAATGATGGCGACCAAACCTCCACGCGAGAGGCTCATGCTACCGTCAGAAGACCCGGACGCACCCCCGTCATTGTCGATGCTAGTGTCTGCTGAACTGCTTCCACCGCCTGTATACGGGTCCTCGGTGGCGAGGGGGAATGAAGATGATGAGGTGGCCGACATTGTCTTCACGGATGAATGTGCTCCAGAGTATAGGGCGTTTTTGTGTACTATCCAAGGAATCGGCTTGGTGTTCTGCTTGAAGGAGAATATCACGTCCAGCGGTTAAAAAAGGCGAGGATGGGTTAGAGCAGAAGGACAAGAAGAGCTGGGAGACAATATGGAGGGTGTGCGAAAACTGATTAGAGAGGGGCCAAGTATATATTAGATGTGATGGGACAGAATCACTTAAAAGGCGTATGACCGCATTATTTCATTTTTGACATGGTAAACCTTACTTAAAGTCACCTTATTTTCTGTCACCTTACTAGTCCTCTTGTCGAAGGGTCGTCTGTCCCTTTGCTGCACGTTGTCTGGCTACGGCCGCAGCCAAGTGTGACACCTCTGCATCGCTAAGGATGCTACTTCGTTTCATTCATACAGATCGTCGCCCCGCCTATCCCACGCCTCCATCCGCATGCACATGATGGCCCTGGTCCCTCTTCTGCATGCAATCGTGCTATTGGGTACTCCGGCCTTGTGTGCGTGCTAGGAGGAGAAAGAGTGGCTCAGTCAAAAGGGACACAGGCCCTTGGCCGGCACTCAAAAAGGGACTCGGACCGTCTGATTGGTGCAATGCGATTCATCAAGCGCCCGGTCGTGTCCAATGGTCCACCAATTCGGGAAGCACAGTTGTATGGACCAATCACAGCACAGGTGACAGGGATATGCCCAAAGCCTGGGCGGCTGCAGAAAAACCCCTGCTTTGACAAGGACTCAGACTTGATGATCTTTTGGCTCTTGGCTCGCCCCAAGGCGAAAAAACTGTGATGAGAAAATCGCATGAAGACAATCGAGGTCGACTTGGCGGTCAGTCAACTTCCCATTTCCCTTGCCGGGCCTTCAATCCGGCCGGTTTCGCACAGAACCCGACCGAGATTGCATCTATTTACAAACTTTCTCGATACAGTAAAAGCGGCCTGTTAGCAGGACCGCAGCAACCGCTTTGTTCTTATTTTAGAAGCGATTTTGAGAAATTGCATTTGCAAAAGCGCCATGCTATTGCCACATATTCAGATGTGGATAGAAATAGCAACGACTCTGCCTTGCCTTTTCCTCAAAGGCGGCCCTCCGCTTGGCCGCATATAATATACGTCGTAGCCCAGTAAGCATGTACGCGCTGATGGCCGCAAAGCAGCGACTACGCTGGGATACAGCGATTGTTTTACCATACTTTCCTCGGCTTTTATACGACGTGCGTTTCAGCAAAGATGCGGACAACAACGGAGGTAGCCTTGTGCTGAAAAAGACTACCTGATGTTCTCTACCGTAGAGTGAATTTATGACATAAGCCATATGCCTTTCGCGAGAACTGATCTAAATGCCGAAGAAAGTTACAGCGCTTTTTCTTCGAGTAAACTAAATGATATGCGATATACACGGGTAGAAAGCGTGTCTTCCTTTTGAGGCCGTAATGTGTAATGTAGTGCCTTCCCAAACTAACCTCAACTTTATTCGAGCGAATTCTCCCTTCGACCCGTTCAAGAGTTCCAAACCTAAGGGTCGCCACTTCCTCGTCCGCATATGTTATTTTAAAAACTCATTTATGAAAATTGGCTTGTAACTTCTCTTGATTCTCGTAGACAGCAGCAAGACATATGCAACATACGAACAGCTTCCTTTGGACCTTCGAATCCCAGAAACCCCTTCTGAAAAAAGAGCAGAAAAGGTAATTTTTACAGCATCGATCACGCACTTGCGACCACTGCAGGCAAGTTTTCAGCTGGCAAATTTTCAAGCCGTAAAAAAGCACAGGCCTTGGGGATGAGCCAGCTCGAACTCAGCACTCTAGGAATGAGTTCCCTAGTCATTAGTATGATGCAATGGATCATACAGAAGCAATGCAGGAAAACTCTCGTTATTGACCCTTTCATCCCAACACAGGGAACCACTCAGAGTCAAGAGAGAATAATGGCCAAGCTGTTCATTCCAACAGTCTCAACGCAAAAAATGACTATGAGGCCCCCAACAACAGGACTTCTAAGTTTTTTACCGTTCTTGGGAACAGTCCTCACGTCCACAACGCCGAAAACTTGGCTCAAGATAGTTATCCATTACAACAGTACCTTCCGGCTCGTCAATTTATCACGCCGCCCTCCTTTCGTGGGTTCGCACCGAGCCAGATCAAAGACTTGAATTCTTCATCAGACAGTGGAAGCGGAGTATGTGGCAACCTGGAAAGCGGGTTGGTGGGCGTGCAAGCCACTCTTCCTCCTAGGCTTCTTGAGCTGGAAAAAGTTGTCAAGTCTCAGTCTCATAGAATCACAGAGCTCAATTTTGCTCTGAATGATGCTAAGATGACGGCAAACTCTCTGGACGCAGAAAAGAGGCAGTTGAGGCAACGGAATGAGGAGCTGGAGCGTAAGCTAAAACAGAGCTCGGAGAATCGGAAAAAATACGATACAACATTGCAAAACTGTCGCAACATTCTAAGACAAGCTACAGAGGAGCAGCAGAAAGTCCGGGACGAGACTATTACAGGTTTTAACAAAGCCATCGATGACCAGAGAGCACTAGCGGATGCACAGGGGGAACTGAAACAAGTACATGAAATGCTGAAGGTCTCGCAAGCAGAGCTTCGACAAGCACTAGAACAGGGTAAGTAGTAGTAGTGTGCACCGGCAATGAAGTTTTTCACTGGTATGGATCTAATACGGATACAGCGTATAAAAAGATAAATGAACGAACACTTGAGGCAGAGATTCGTGACGCTGAGTTGAGCTCTCAGAAGGAAACAAACGCCCAGCTATTAAGAGAGCTCAAAAACGTTCCAGAGAAGAATTTCCAGATTCTTAGCATCTGTGTCAAAAAAATCATGGACACATTGGATGGATTTGTGCGTCAGATCTCCGAAGAAAATCAGGTCGGGGAAGGTCGGTTTATGGCTGGGTAAGTCTTATAACATCTCGTGAAAAGAATTGTGCAATAACATAACAGAATGAAAAGACTAGAAATGATAGCAACCCAGATCGATGCACAAGGTTCCGTCTCGCGGGAGCAACTCAGCTTTCTTTCATCAATGAAAGAGAGTGATGACATTCAGGCTTTGCAGTATGAATGTCTCCGGCCATGGCTTCGACGTTCAATCGCTAACGGCCTTATATAGAGTTATAGAGAAGCTCGTTGCGGCCCAAATAACTAGAGAAGAGTACCATTCTACATGGATGAGCGAGTTCAGCAGCAAAATGAAGAGTTTCTACGAGGAATTGAAAATATTAAAAGCCCAACAGGCGCAGGGAATTCACGAAAAAACCCAAACGAGTGAGAAATTGGTGGACCTTTGCCAGAAACGAGAAGAGGATCACACGGAAGTATCAACAATGCTATACGCACAGGAAAAAGTAGCAAAAAAGTATTGGGATTGTGTTGGCCATTTGCTTTCGGAGTTTCAGTCACTGCAGAAAATTCCTCGCGACACACCGGAGACGATCGCTGCGCTTCAAGTTCTTCAAGAAAAAACCATCAAGCAGAATATAGAGATCGAGGAGAAGTCGGCTAAGATAACAGAACTGGAAGAGAACATACTGAAGAAAGACAATACGTTGACGGCTCTGGTAGAGAAATTTTCCACGAACACTCAAAAATTGAGCGAAATGCACCGGCAGCGTGAGGACGAGTATAGACGTGTTCTGGATCAGGTATACGAACTATCTCACAGAGAAAGCCGAAGAGTTCTGGAGGTGAACAAACAACAGACTCAGAAAGAGCTCCAACAGGGGCGTCTGAAGAGGCAAGATCTAGAGAAGCAGCTCAGAAATTGCAACGAAAGGTTCTCCGTGGCCGAAGAAAAGCATCGATGGAGCCTGAATACGCAAGAAGCTTTGCAAAATGAACTCTCTGAAGTTCGACTTGGTAACAAGACCCTCAAAGAGTGCATCGATAGAACAACCAAGGAATTGGAGCAAATGCAAGAGGCACACAACAACATCACTATTTCTCGACTCAAAGAAACTCTCGCTATCAAGGACATGGATTATGCCAAGCTTGAAACACAGATGCATGAATATAAGAAGCGTATGAAAATTCTTACGGATCAGCTTATATGTTGGGCACAGGATGTTAGCCATGTAATTAAATTTCAGGTCCAGCTCAGCAGAGCAGAGCTGGCTGATCAATCCATCAGTGACGGGGGGGCTAATATGGAAGAGATCGAACAGGCTGTCTCAATCTTGGCTCAGATCCGGCAGCATGTTGATCAGCGAGGATTTGAAAGGAGCTTGGAGTTTCTGAGTGTTGATATGCCGGAAAACGACACATCCCACGAACATGAACAGCATATTGCCGAACTGTTTGCCTATTTGGCGGCCAGGGTTACCGATCACCAGTTATCGCTGCACTTGGATGAACTAGAAATGGTTCATGAAAGTACAACAAGCGGACAACTCACACCGAGCTGTCTTAGGTCCGAGTCTCTTTGCCAGGAACAGACAAGAGAAATTGAATGGACTGGGGATACCACAAAAGGTACCCCGACAAGCGTTCCTCGAAATATATCCGAAAAATTAGGAGATACCATTGATGATCCCAGTTCCCATATCGTCTCAAGCCCCAAAAGTGCACGGACAAGGAAGACTAAGCAGTCAGGAGTCGCAGGAAGTGGTACGAAGCGAAGCGAAACGGGCGCGGCACGGACGGTCGCGAGAAAACGGCGGCAATTGGTTGCAATTGCCAAAGCTCTGGGCAGCAATGACTTGCGTCCAGATCGGCCTTTTAGCGATACTTCGAGATACTTCAATGATGCAGCTTTATCCGAACCTACGGCAGAACAGGGGACCGAATCGAGATATTGAACTGGAAGCCACTCAGAACATGCCCAAACTTGAGGGGTCGTGGAGGATCCTATGCGGACAATATGGGACGGAAGCATATACAACAAGAGATGGTGGGACATGAAGGCTGGTGATGGAATGTTCCTATTTCATCATGTATGCGTTATAGCTAAATCCCAACCAAGTAACCAGAACGCCCATAATCGCCACCCAGTGATTCGTACAATTGCTCTCGGCGACGCGATGAAAGCCAAAGAGCGAGTCGTTTGCCAGGGACAGTCGCATTTATTTGTTCCTCCGTTTCTGTTCTAAGAACAGGACCTTCCTGCGGACTGCTTAGTGTTAGCTACAGGACCAGGCGGGAGGCGTGGGACATGTGACATCACGAGAACACACCAACTGGGTCGTATTTCAACATGCTCAGGGGCGTCGACGTGCGTGGGCGGGTAAATGTGTAAAAGAAACCGGTCATAGCCATTGAAAGGAGGCGGACCGAGATGACGCGGGATTTCGCTGAGGCGTGTTAGTGGACATGGGGTGGCGGTCGAACTGGCACCTAGGCTCTTCACAGGAAGCCTGAGGACCGTAACTTACCCTTCTTGGCCATCTTGTCGACGTCTACGAGATCTGGATGTTGGTGCAGTCAACGTTCGCGACGGCAGCAATGCAGAGCATACGATCAACCGAAGAAAAATGCGTAGACGGATCCTGTGGATGTGGGGCGGATGCAGCAGATCAGGACCAATCATAGGCGGTACAAGTGCAGTCGTATGTCGGCGAAGAGACACAGCTCTTATCTTATCTTGGCGGGCATCCCGCGGGGAATCGCAACAGAGACCACTGCTGGGGACAGCGTGCTGGAGGTCCGTTGACGGAGAAAAAAAAATAGCCGTCAAGACTCGTAGTGCTGGAGGCAATAAGATTAAAGCCCCATGGCTCCGTTCTGCTATTTGCTTTTCGGAGGGAGCGGTGACGGCGGTTTAAGTTTATTTCTGACTGTGTTTCTATATTTCTTTCTTCTGCTCTTCTGCTGTATTGGTGCAAGATTGTCCTGTTTGTCTAGCAATCAACTGTTATATCCCCCAGTTCTCTCGCGATCATTGCGACAGCCAGCTAGCGTGGAAGGAAGGGCAAGGTCATTTCTCACGATTCGATTAACGTGCCGTGTCAAGCACGATCGTGACTGCAGAGTCTGCTGGCTACCTGATCCCGCCCTTCTCCGCAGCCATGCTCTCTCGATTCCCCAGAGCACTGGGCAGATCAGGGGCGACCCCCCCGCGAACCCCGCTTGTGACCGTCTCATCAGGTGAGTTTTGTTTCCAAAGTTGCCGGCCTGCCTATCAAGTCATGTACATTTCTATGCGACATTTTCTTGCATGCGCCTTGTCGCTCTGCGGCTGCACTGTCCTCTTTTGGGGGTCCGGGGTATTCTATTGTTGCATACGGAGTATTACTACGGGGTACACATTTTAAGCTGTTTACCTCCGGAGTAGAGCACTTGCATAATTTTTTTTTGCCCGACTTCGGCCGTGCATCTCCAGTAGAGACAGTGTCAAAACGCGGAAGACACGCAAGCCAAATTGAGGCATGTGAAGCGAGAGGTTGAACGACGAGCCACACAGCGTTCTGGCCCAACTCTCTGCTCACCTGGACAGGATTTGTTTCTCCTTTCGTCCAGAGGTCAGCCGGGCAGGCAGCCTGTGGCTGATGGACTGACGTCTGGGTGAAATCAGCCGATGGGCAGTCGAGGACGGCGAAACGTCCATAACGGGCACTTCCTCAGATGCCGTAACAGCAAGCCGGCCTGAAAGGTCTGTGTCATTCGCGCCTGCCTTGGCTGGAGGATGGGGGTTTCTCCCTCTATCTCTAATCGCCTTGACCGCTATAACCGTGGATTGTGCTCCTGCCTGTTGCACTGTCCTGGATTCTGATAAAGCTCCCCGTTCCCTCTATTTTTTTGCTTTATTTTTCTCACTTCGGTTATCCTGTTACACTGCTCTCTTATTCTCTTGTCCCCCTCTGCGAGTATAGCGCGTGTGGGCTGAAAACTAAGCAGTTGCCCCTCTTACTACGCTAGTTTTGACTGGTTTGCCTCGCCGTCATCGCAGCTTGACAACGGCTCTCACTCTCTCTCTGACACACAAAACTCACACACCGGCCGTGCAAACAGCCTTTACTCCTAGCAGCCGCCGAGCACTTTCATCGTCGGATTCTGTCAAAATGACCGCGGCATTGCCGGCACGCAGCCTCGGGCACCACAACATCAACCCCCACATCAAGGCAGCCAAGTATGCCGTCCGGGGAGAGCTTGCAGTCCGGTCGGAGGAGTACCGGGCCCGGCTCGCCAAGGTGGAGGGCAATCACATCGCGGCCGGCCTGCCGTTCAAGGAGGTGATTTCGGCCAACATTGGCAACCCGCAGCAGCTAGACCAGAAGCCAATCACGTTCTTCCGGCAAGTGCTGAGCCTGCTAGAGAACCCGGCTCTGCTGGACCACCCGGATGTGCTCAAAAGCACGTTTGGCTACAAGTCGGACGTCGTTGAGCGGGCGCGCTGGCTGCTGAAAAATGTGGGCTCGGTGGGTGCATACAGCGCCAGCAACGGCGCGCCAGCGATCCGGCAGCACATTGCCGACTTCCTGGAGCACCGCGACGGGTTCCCGGCCAACGAGGCGGACATTTACCTGTCTGCAGGCGCGTCATCGGGCGTCAACACGCTGCTGCACATCATCTGCGCGGGTCCGCACACTGGTGTGCTGGTGCCGATCCCGCAGTATCCGCTGTACACGGCATCGCTATCGGTGCTCAATGCGCAGTGCGTGCCGTACTACCTGGACGAGAAGAAGAACTGGGCGACGGATCTGGATGCGATCCGCGCGAGCCTGACGGAGGCACGCGCCGCAGGCACGGATGTGCGGGCGATCGTGGTGATTAACCCGGGCAACCCGACGGGGGCGTCGCTGTCGGAGGCCGACGTGGCAGCTGTGATTGAGCTGGCGCGGGCGGAGAAGCTGGTGATTCTGGCCGACGAGGTGTACCAGACCAACGTGTTCGAGGGCCAATTCCACTCGTTCAAGGCCGGTCTGCGACAGCTGCAGAAGCAGAACCCTGACGGCAAGTACGGCCACGTGGAGCTGGCGTCGCTGCACTCGGTGTCCAAGGGCATGGTGGGCGAGTGTGGCCACCGTGGCGGCTACTTTGAGCTGGTGGGCTTCGACCCGGACGTGCAGGCAGAGATCTACAAGTTTGTCAGCATCACGCTGTGCGCGCCCGTTATCGGCCAGTGTCTGGTGGAGCTGATGGTCAACCCGCCGAAGCCGGGTGATCCGAGCTTTGAGCTGTACGACAAGGAGTACCACAGCATCTTTGACGGGCTGCGTGAGCGCGCTGTTGCGCTGCACCGGGCCTTTGACCAGATGGAGGGCGTCGAGTGTGGCGCGCCGCAGGGCAGCATGTACCTCTTCCCTACGATCAAGGTGCCGGCCAAGGCGGCTGAAGCGGCTGCGGCCGAGGGCCGCACGGCCGACGAGTTCTACTGCCTCAAGATGCTCGAGGCCACGGGCGTGTGCGTCGTGCCTGGCAGCGGGTTTGGCCAGGCTCCCGGCACCCTGCACTTCCGCACCACCTTCTTGGCTCCGGGAACCGAATGGGTGGGCAATCTGGTCAAGTTCCACAAGGACTTCATGGAACAGTACAAATGAGGTAGAGGGTCATTGGAAGCATTTGAAGAGATAGAGACGAGCCAAATAGTCATAAGTCCAAACCTAAGTGTTTTTTTTGCTTCTTTATTCTGTCTTGCCTATGGAAACAAGGTGTGGAAAGACGAGAGACAGTACCTAAAATACAATGCCACGACAACCCTCCGTCTCCGTCTATGCGCGCTCGCTACCGCGCAGCCGTACGGCCTGGCCGTACTTTTGCAGCTTCGTGATGAGCTGGTCGCCCTGGCGCACGACGTCCTGGTACTGCTTGTTCTTGTCGTCGGGCCGGTTGGTCTCGATGACGCCGCGGCCAGTGACGCGGTCAATGGTACAGGGAATGCGGCCGGCAGCAATGAACTTGGCAAGATCGCGGTCGAGGAAGTCGACAGTGACGCCAAAGTCCTGGGCCATACTGTCGAGGCCGACGACACGGTACGACTGCAGCAGCTGCTGGTAGGCACGCAGACGCATCTCGCGGATGAACCAGCTCTTGTGCTCGTGGAGGTAGCGGTCCTGCGTAAGGAACTGCTCCTCGACCTGGGCGAGAGCCTGGAAGAACTGGCGGTAGCGGCCATTGTAGAGGCTGGCGACAAGCTGGGCAAGCGGCGAGAAGTCGACGGCGGCCTCGGCGACGGGCTGGTCGACGCCAGTGCCGAGCGTCGTGAGGTTGACAAGAGGGGCAGTGGCAGCAGGCGGAGGTGTGGCTGAAGAGGTGGCTGTAGCTGTGGCTGTGCTAATCGTAGCGGCAGCCCCGCTTGCGTCCGACCCGACGCCCGGCCCGGCCGAGATGACGCCAGCCAGGGCCAGCAGCTTATCCTCGCCGTCGCCGAGGATGGCCTTGATCTCGGGGGCATCGACAACCTTGGCCTTGAAGTCGACGCGCTTGAGGCTGACGGAGCCGGCCAGCACGGCGTACACGACCAGCTGGCCGTACGAGCAGAGCTCGTAGCTGGTAAAGGTCGAGAGGCTGTCGAGCAGCAGCGGAGCGGCAGCGCTGTAGGCCCGCACGGTCAGCTGGTGCAGGCCCTCGTAGGCCTTGAGCCGGTTGCGGCGGTCCCAGTCGCCGCCAGCGTCGACGAGCGCCGTGGCTCGCTCGACCTGACCGCGCACCAGCACCTTGTCGCCGAAGAAGAGGCCCAGCCGCACGGTCGCGAGCACGACGTCGATCTTGGTCCCCAGCGGACCCGTTTTGTCGAGCATGGCCTCGTACGCGGCCAGCGCCCGCTCCTTGTCGCCCACGCGCGCCCAAAACTCGGCCCGCTTGCCGCGCACGCCCTGGATCTCCGTCTCGCCCGCCTGCTCGACCGCCTCGTCCTCCTCGGCCTGCAAACCCGCCAGCTCGGCCTCGTTCGCTGCCGCCAGCGACTGGTACAGCTCCTCGTCCCAGCCCAGTGCCGCCAGCGCTGTCGGGTTCTTGTTCGCAATCATGCCCACTACGCTCGACTTGCGGCTCAGCGGCCGGCCGGCTGTCGTCGTCGTCGTCGATGCTGCTGCTGTCGTCGATGTGGCTGCCGCTGCTGAAGATGCTGCCGTCGCAGCCACCGCTGCCGCTGCTGCCGCCCGCACCGCCCCGCTGCTGCTCCCCTCGCCGCCCACCGCATTCAGCACGCCTTCCACCGGGTGCGCCAGATATCGGTATAGCGGCGCCATCTTGTGCTCGGCAATCGCCTCCTGCACCGCCTTCACCGCCGTCTGCTGCGCCGCACGGCCCGCATACGGGTTCGTCAGCGTAAACACATGCTGGGCCAGCGGCAGCAGCGGCCACTTGGTGTACTGGGGGTCGGAGCCCATCGCGGACAGAGGCCTTGTTCTTTTGTTGGGGAGGCCTGGAAAGGAGGGACACGTCGAGCTGGCCGATCTGCTGATGGAAAAAAAGAGATGCAACAGAAAAACAGAAAGGGGCGGGGATATAGCACTCCCGGTTGAGAGCTTCGTCCAGCTGGTTCTGTCCACTTTGTTGCGTTGGAAGCTTCTCCGAGGTGACGATTGGACTGGATTTGCTAGGCGGCAGACAAGGCACGCGTTCGAGAGCTGCAGACACTAGCCCACAGTTCTGTATACTAGGATATGTAAATATGCGTAGACCCCCTAAATTGCATAGCTTATCCTACAGCACGGATTGGTTTACGATACAAATATCTTACTCCGTAATTGCGACACTGTCCGGAGTAGTCAACTGTCTTCGATCAACCAAGACAGAAACAAAGACCTCAGAATCCTTTGATCCTTTGTTTCAAGAGCTTCGGCGTTCTTTCTATACCGGACGAGCAATTTCTGACAGCTACGGAGTATTTGCCGTAACCAAGCTAGCTTGCTGATCTAGGAATAAGCCAAGTGCCATTAACATGCCACCTAGATCTGAAGAAAAGACATAAGCTCCCGGCAGCTCTAGGTTTAGAGAAATCATTCGGCCACGTCTGGCGATTGGCCTTTCACCCCTGTCTACCAATATCATAACACCGACATCTGACATCGACGACCGGATTAGCGCTGCTGTCCTCTTATTGCGACTTGATTCACGGCGCTTCGCTCGGCTATAGTTTCAAAGCAAGGCGGTATATTGCGTCCGCTTACTCCAGGGGTGTAGAGAGCTGTGCGGCCTGTCTTTTCTACCAGGCAGAGCGGAAGTGGAGAGGGCGGCTCACATTGTATAGAAACGGATCGGTGTGCCCGGTCTGATAGGCTGCGTATCGAGACGAAACGAGCCTACCGGAAGTAGAGGAGAGAGAAAGGTGTAGGGGCCGTGGTGACCCTATTTCCGAATGCCGGTGACTGCCAACACCATGGCCGTTGCCAATATATTACTTCGTGCATAAGTGGATCGTGAGGGCAGGTTGTGCCGTGAGATAGCCTCGCCGTTGGTCGGAACGGTAGCCTAGCGTCCGGTGACCGAGCAAGAGATGATGTGATGCAAGGACTTTGAACAGCGCGATAGGCCGCTAGCAAATTAAAACAGCAACGGTGAAGGGCTTTGGGCGTGTTAGGAAAGGAGCCAGCAGGGCGGGGTTAGTCAGTATTAGAGGGGCTTCTACAAGCGACGTAGTAGCAGAGAAGGAAAAGAGATAAAACAAAGATATAGAAGGGCATCCCCTCGCTCTTCCAATGCCACATCACGCATTTTGGGCCTGTATTCGTTTCCTGTGCTTTAGCCCCAACGACTGCGTCTACCACTCCAGCGGGCGACGATTTCTGAGAGCGACGCTGCTGTCTTGATCTTTCTGCATCCAGGCTCTACACTCTCTTTTTTCGACTGCTGTAACCATGGCCGACCCAACACTCCAGCCGCCGCAGCACTGGACCGACCTGCCGGAAGAAGATGTGGGTTCTCTACCATCCTCCGTGGAAATGTGGTCCGGCCCACTGGGACGTCGTTCCTGACGGGTACGGGGTACTGAACAGACTCGTTGCCCAGGACACCGACTCAGCCCTCGGCGATGACGCCGCCAGCTCGACGGCTTCAATAACGTCCAGCATCCTGCAATACCGCACGATCAACGGGCGCACGTACCACAGCGACATGGGAAATAACAACTATTGGTGCGCTACGTCCAAGAGCACATATGCTGCATCGGTTGTGCTTCCAGCTGACTATCGCACTGCAGGGGCGCGAATGACGAGCGGCAGAACGAGACGCTGGACATCCAGTAAGTAGTATCGCCCCCTCTTTTAGCGACTGAGGTTCTTGGGGGTCTTGGGGGCCAAGAATTAGTGGATCAGCTGCTCCGGTTTTCTCTTGGTTGCGCTGACCGAATTGCACAGACACCATTTGTTCACGCTCAGCATGGATGGAAAGCTCCACTTTGCACCGTTGAAAGACGACATTGAGGCAAGTTCGACGGCACGCCCACGCAGCGAATTGCAAAGAGCAGAGACATTGTAGAAGAAGTCAACTAACATGCAGTCTAGAACGCAGTTGACATCGGAACCGGCACGGGCCTCTGGGCTATGTGAGCACCTATCACGCCTAGTCTAGAAATCTTGGACCAACGCTAACAGGGATATGATATCCTCCACGCAGTGACTTTGGCGACCAATACCCAAACTGCAAGGTAATCGGCACCGACCTCTCGCCGATCCAGTCGCCATGGGTGCCGCCCAACGTGCTCTTGTAAGTAGATGCGGTGTGGTGTGGTTGTCGGTAGAGGATCGTTGCCGACTGACCTGTTGCAGCCAGATTGACGACTTCACGCTCGACTGGACGTTCAGGCCCAACTCGCTTGACTTTGTGCACACGCGCTGGCTGATTGGCAGCGTGCCCGACTGGACGGTGCTGATGAAGCAGGCGTACGCGGCCCTCAAGCCCGGCGGCTGGATCGAGACGTACGAGTGCAACGGCTTCTTCCAGTCGGACGACGACTCCGTGCCCGAAATGAGCGCCCTCGCTCAATGGGGCGTCATCTTCCGTGAAGGTGCCCGGAAGCTCGGCTCAACCTGTTCCTTCAGCGTCCCGCGCGACGGGGTCCAGAAGAAGGCGGCCAAGGCGGCCGGTTTCGTCGAGATCCACGAAAAACTCCTCAAGATCCCCATCTCTGAGTGGTCCGACGACCCGAAGCTGCGCGAGATCGGCCTCTACTCGCGGGCCGCCATCGAAAATGACACCGAGGGCAGCGTAGGCCTCCTGGCCGGACAGCTCGGCTGGTCCAAGGAGGCCATCCATGTCTACGCCGCCCACGTGCGCAAGGAGCTGCGCGCGCTCAAATCCCATGCCTATTACAATTCCCTCGTGGTCTGGGCCCAGAAGCCGCTGGTGGAACAAACGCCGCTGCCAGAGGAAGAGCCGGTGCTAGTGGAAGCTCCTCTCGACGAAGTACCCGTGCCGGCTGAAGCACCAGTGCCAGCGGCAATACCGGCTCCAAAGGAAGAGTGAAAGGCCGTTGACGCCTTTCAGGCTGAATCCCTCCTGTCTGCTTAGCCTTGTTACCCGAAGATATATTCATGCAAATACATGCCGAGAATTCCAAGAGCCGAGTCAAAGCCCACGTGTACAAGGCCGAGGAAATGCCGCCCGACTGACAGGTTGTCGCACAACCGCAAGGCTCAATCATGCACAATTGTCTGGCACTTTCTTGCTGTCGTTGCCAGCCTCCCGACCGTTCGGCATGCAATGACACGGACTTACACACATATATGCACATAAGCGATTTACATCTTGGTCTCCATTGTGGGGCCGCCATAGTAGGTACCAGAAGCTTCGATGACGAGTGAGCTCCAACCCCACCAAAAGGTCGTTCGTTCCGGCGAGTCCCCGCTTAACAAAGGGCAGGTAGCGCATTTGTGCACCACCTCCCTCTGCCCACTTCCACATCTTCCTGGAGTCTTCTCCCCTCCTTCTTCCGTCTCAGTCAACTCTCCTACCACCCCGGCACTCTCTCCCCCGTCACGGTCCTGCACAGCACGACGTCTTAGCAACAATAGCACAGTTTGTGGCAACCCGCCTCCGGCCTTCGAGTGCCTTCTAGCGTCTCGGAAAGGCCCCATAGTAGATTCGGCACGTTGTGGCACTACTTCTGTCACTTCGCCTCTCGTCTTACTGCTTCCTCCTTGCTCCCTTATTCTTTCTCTCCATCTCAAACAATTCCGTCTTGACGACGATTTACGGCTACCAACAGAGAGTCAGCGGCCTATATTTGACGTTGTTCACAATAGAAGGCAATCGCCAATTGTCGAATAACAAATTGCTGATAGCTCTCATTTGCTCCCATACGTCACATCCGGGCAACGATTACATCCAATCAACCAATCAAGCAGTACCTTGCTGGCAATTGGATACATAGTTCCTCTTGTTTTATCGGATTTTGCCACTGCCCCATACATAGCCTTCGACAGGGACACGACTGCAAAAATATTTACACTGCCGCAACACCCCCTCACCGCCCAGGCAACACATATCACTTGGCTCGCACCCCCAGCCTGTGCATATTCTTTCATTTTTTGTCATCTTGGACTCAGCTTTCGTTGACAGCAGCGGCTACGCAACTTTGTGTGTCGACCAAGAAACCAGATCAGCATATCACACGACCCTTGCGTGCTTTACTGCACCTTTGCTATTAAGCCGTCAAGATGGTCAAGGAGTCGAAGCTCTACGACCAGCTGGCAATCAAGCCTGATGCCTCGCAAGATGAGATCAAGAAGGCTTACCGGTAGGTTTTCCCATTGTTCCGACCGTTTGAACCGGCAGCTAATAATTTGCAGGAAAATGGCCCTGAAGTGGCACCCCGACAAGAACAAGAACAGTTCTGTGGCGGCGGAAAAGTTCAAGGAGTGTTCTCAAGCGTACGAGATCCTATCGGACCCAGAAAAGAGAAAAGCCTACGATACCTACGGCCTCGAGTTCATCCTCCGAGGCGGAGCTCCGTACCCAGATCCTAACGAAGCCGGCGGTGGTGGTGGCGGCAACCCGTTCGCTGGTGCCGGTGGGGTGCCTGGCGGGATGCCGGGCGGGTTCCAGGGCTTCAGCTTTGGTGGGATGCCGGGTGGCGAGGGTGGTGGTGCGCGGACGTTCCGTTTCAGCACGGGCGGTGGCAACGGTCACAAGTTCAGCAACCCGGAGACGATATTTGCAGAATTCATGCGTGGAGGAGCTGGTGGTGGTGGTGGAGGCGATGATGATTTTGGCGACATTTTCTCGAACATCAATGGCGGTGGTGGTGGGCCTAGGATGTCGCGCGGAGGTCACCCCGGCTTTGGTGGCGGCGGTGGGGCTGATCCGTTTGGACGCAGCGCACGACAGCACACGCCGGAGGTGACGACAGTTGAGCGGCCGCTTCCAGTTTCGTTGGAGGAGATGTTCAAGGGCACGACGAAGAAGATGAAGGTCAAGCGTAAGATGTTCGACGACAATGGCAAGCGGACGACGACAGACACAGTGCTGGAAGTGCCGATCAAGCCAGGCTTGAAGAAAGGCAGCAAGATCCACTTCAAGGGTGTCGGAGACCAGGAGGAGGGCGGCCAGCAAGACCTTGTGTTCATTGTGGAAGAGGTAAGAGGATCCCGTTTTAAATATTATCAGGCACATGCGTGGGCCAGGTTGATGCTGACTAAGATAGAAAAAACACCCGCTCTATACACGAGACGGCGACGACATCGTTCTCCCGATTGACCTCACGCTCAAAGAAGCGCTGACAGGGTGGAAGCGCACGGTGTCGACGATTGACGGCAAGCAGTTCAACATTGAAAAGTCGGGACCGACACAACCGGGGTCAAGCGACAGCTACCCGTCACAGGGGATGCCGATATCGAAGAAACCGGGGCAGCGGGGCAAATTTGTGGTCAAATACAACGTCAAGTTCCCGACTACGCTGACGGCTGACCAGAAGCACAAGTTGCGGGAGATTCTGTAAGAGGAGAAAATGAAACGCGAGCGTTGCAAGATGATATACAAACAAGCCACCGAGGTCCGGATGATAACGGGCGGGCTTTGTGCTGGGATGGTACGATGATGCTGATGAGATACGGAAGCGGTTGTGTGCAGTTGTGGATACTATATGTTTTGTTTTTTGCAAGTTTTGCATGGAAACCAAAGGCAGGCGGAGTTTAGGTACGCATATTACGTTGTTTCTAGCCTTGGGTTTGGGGAGAGGCTGCGGTCTATTACATAATTCAAGTTATAACTGCTATCATAGACAAAGAGCAGCGAAGGACGGCTAAGCACTGGTTTGAGTACTGTATTTTTTCCGATGTCCATAAACGCCGTGAAACAATGAGCCTATCATATACTGAGGGGTCCGCATGACTAATCGGTCATGGCAACATCGACGGCCAAATCGGCAGACACATCCGGCGGCGGCAGAGCCTGCAGGGCGTCCATCTCGCGCAGGGTGTAGTCGACAAGGTAGCTCTCATCGAGCAGCTCGGCGGTGCGGCGGTAATGACGTTGAGTGTAGGCAAGGAGGGCATCGAGGACGTCCTTGATGTTCCGAGGGCCTTTGGGGGCGGATTCGGCGGTCGGGTCTGCGGGTCTGCGGCGGGCGAGGCCGGCGAGTGTGGCGGCCGGATAGGCGTGAACGAGGGTGGCGAGAACGAACTGGGCAACGGCGGCAGAGCGTCCATTTGTGTTCCAGTCGCGAACGCGCAGCAGCAGCGTATAGAGTTGGTCGTCGTCGAGGGATGCGAGGACAGCAGCGATATTTTTGGAGTCGTCGCCGGATCTAGTCACGTGACCGTCTTTGTCAGCATCCTCGTCAGTGGTCGTCTTGGCAGCGACCATAGCTTCGGACAGCACGGCCAGCAGGCGTCCGGGCTGATTGAGCTGCAGGGCCAGGGTGACGGCCTCGCGCAGGGCGCCGTGGCGCATGTAGTTGGCGAGCAGCTGCTCGTGCTCGACGCGTTCGCGCACGGCCTCGACAGCAGCCTGCGCGGTGACAGCAGTGGTGTCGCGCCAAAAGGTGATGGTGGCATCGCCGCCACCGGAGACGAGCATGCGGCCGGCGGCGGTGGTGTGGACGGCCAGGGCCCAGACGCGGTCCTCGTGGTTGTCGAGCGTGCAGGCGGCCTCGCCGGCAGACGCGTCCCAGACCTTGACGAGGCCATCGGAGCCAGCGCTGGCAAAGAGGACGGGGCCGTTGGGGGTGCCGTCTTCCTGTTCGGGCTCGCTGTCACGACTGGCGCCCAGCCAGACGACCTTGAGGATGCTGTTGGTGTGCCCCTCAAAGGTGCGGATGCAGCTGTAGTCGGCCAGGCTCCAGATCTTGACAGTCTTGTCAGCGCTGCCGGTCAGCACCAAACGGCTGCGCAGACTGCTGCCGGCACCGCCGACGGCGGTGCCGTCCTCGCCCGTGACGGGCGGTGTGTGTGCCGGGGCAAAGCGCACTGACCAGACGCCGCGCCGGTGTCCCCGCAGGATGCCCTGTACCTCGCCCTCGCGCACCGACCAGATCTTGGCAGTGCGGTCCTGCGACGACGACGCAAACAGCTGTCCGTGCGCGTCCACGTCGACGGCGTTGATGTCCTTGTCGTGGGCCTTGCGCGTGAACACGGCGCGCTGCTGCGAAGACGCTGACGCCGTGCGCGGCACCTCCCACCGCTTGATCGTCAGGTCCTGCGACCCCGTCACCAAAAAGGCCGGCGGGTGGGATAGCGGGTCTGTATATTCTGCTGAGTCAGCCGCCGGTGCCGTCTTCGGCAGGCCCACAGCGCCGACCGACTCGGCGTGGCCAGCAAACACGGCGTGGCACGTCGACGTCCCCGATGGCCCGTCCACCCGCCACAGACGCGCGTTGTTGTCCTTGGACCCTGTCGCCACCCAGTGGCCCGACCAGTCGACGTCCAGCGTGATCACCATGTCGCTGTGGCCCTTGAGCTGGGCCACGTCCTGGCCAAAGTACGACGACGACGACGATGACGCATCCCCGACAGACACGATCCGTAGGTCCTCCGAGTTGGTCGCCAGAGCCATCAGCGACCGGTCCGGCAGCAGAAATGCCAGGTCGATAATGTCGTCGTGCGTGCCCGAGATGCGTCGCGATGTCTCCAGCGGCGGCAGCAACCCATCGGCACCGCTGCTTTTCAGCTTACTAAGCAAATCGCCCATCGGCATCGGGTACAGCACCAGCGTCTGGTCCAGCTGCACGCAAAGCAGCGCGGCCTGCTGCGGCCGATACAGCGCGGCCACGACGGCCTCCTCGTCAGAGCGTGTCGGCTGCTCGGCCGTGACCTCGCGTCCGGTCCGCGTCTCCCACAGCCGCACGCAGCCGTTGGCTCCGGCCGTATAGGCCAGCACGTCCGTGCTGCTACCGTCCTTGTCGTCGTCGCTGTCGCCGCGCAGAAAGCCGGCTGCCTCGATCATCTCAAAGGTCGGCACCACCCGCCGCGACGTCCACGTCTGCGCGTCCCACCAGATCATCGTCTTGTCGCGGCCCGCCGTCAGCAGCGTCTGGTGCACGGCCGAATACGCCACCGCCTGCACGTCCGACACGTGACCGTCCAGATTGGCCACAACGACCCGTCGATGCAGGTCCCACACGCGCACCTTGCCGCCCTGGCTGCCGGCCGCGAGACGGAACCGTGTCGTCGTGTCGGCCGCGGCCTCCTTGCCCTCGGCACCAGCAGCCACCGTGGCCACCTCCGCCTGGCTCAGACTACCCTTGTTCTTCTTCTTCTTGGATCCCGCTGCTGCTGCTGCTGCTTCGGCTGCGGCCACCTCGAAAAAGTGCAGCGCCGATACCAGCACGCTCGGCCCGCGGAACGTGTGCGTCACAAAGCCGCCGCGGATGTCCCACACCTTGATGTTGCCGTCAGCCGCCCCCGTGGCCAGCAGCGTGCTCGTCCGGTCGACCGCCAGCACCACCGCTGGCGTCGCATGCGGCTTCACCGTGCGCACCAGCGTCGGCTCCACCACCGACTCTCCCAACGACACCTGCAGCCGGTATATCCGCATCGTCAACGACCGCGAGCACACAATCAGGTGCGAGGCCGACGGGGTCACTGCCAAACGACTGTCAGCACATGGATCTCGAACAGCATGACAGAGGAAGACGCACATATCAGCGTCGAGATCGGCTCGCCGTCCTAGTCATTCAGTCAGCATCGTCTCCTCCTTCCCCCCAAAACACACGTTCGCCGCCGGCCACACGCACCCCTTCAATCTTGGCAAATAGCTTGCCTGTGGCTAGATCCGTCAGGACGGCATCCTCGCCCAGCGTCGTCGCCAGGATGCGAGACCCATTGTCCAGCGCTACCGACCCGCCCGTGTATATGGGCCTGATGACCTGCTCGGCCTCAAAGGTCGTCTTGAACTGCAATTTTGTCGCCATGCTGGGTGTGTCGCAGAACTCGAGCAGATTGAAAATCCTTGACAGGAAAAGAACCTCTGCTTTTTCGCCCAGAAAACCGCCGTCTCCCAGGATTTTTTTTGCCGATAACAATTTAAAGTTATCTTAGCGCGCGCGAGAACCGTCTTTTCAGCCACACCTGTGGCGCTCACCGTCCTTCAGCCAGGCTAAGATGAAATAGCTCTGCTAATGCAATGAGCATCATTCTTCCATCTGCAACGGCATGACATCCAATCCGGCACCATGACCAAGCTCGGTCCCTTGACGTCGCAAGCGTTGGTAAGATTGGTTTTCGTTTATCTTTCTCATTCTGTGCCGTTTTCTCTATTCCTCTCCTCTTTGTACCTGTCTCTCTTTCTCACGTCTTCCCCTCCCTCTCTAACGTCTTCAGGGCCGCTCGCCCTACGACATTGTCGTCCCGGGCGAGGGCGAGCAGGATCCACGAGATCACGATCCGAACCAGCACCGACAAGAATACGACGACCGCGGACGACCGGTCAACAGGGAAACCAAGCTGATGAACCGTGACATTGTGCGCGCCCACAACGAGGTCATGCAGGTCATCGGTGTAGCCGAACCCGACAGCAGCATCCAGGCAGCTGACGAGGAGGCCGAGAAGCGCTACCGCCAGAAGCAGTACGGCGACGAGGTTGCGCACCGGCTGATTCACGTGGGCCGCGTCCTGGGCGTCATGGGCGTCTGGGGCGTCAACGCCGTGCGCCAGCGCATTTTGGTAAGTCGTGCGTTTTCCCGGTTTTCTTGCCTCACTTCAGCACCGTCGCTGACTCGCACTCTCGCTCCAGCTCTACCGCCAGTACTCGGAGATACCGTTCCATCACCTGCTTCAGCACGAGTTCAGCCGCCAGCCCCTCTGGCGCGCCCTCGAGACCGGATTGCCCGTCTTTATCACCAACCACGCTCTTCGTCGGGCTTCTCTCGGCTTCAAATCGGTCCACAGAACCTTCTGGTGCGCTTGCGTTCTTTTTTCATTCTTCCGAGACTTGCTAACTGTTGCCAGGAAATCCTCCCTCCTCCAGTTTGTACGCCTGCATCTGCAGATGTTCCTCTTCCTGCAGCGCTCCGGCATCGCGCCGGCTGTGCCGTTACTGCCAAGCCCGCTCTACTTTCTGCCCTTCTCCCGCGAATCGCCCATTGCAAGACCACCTCCGCTACCGACGACGCTGTCCGTCCGCTCCATGGTCCACTGGAGCTGCGCCACCGTCCTCAACTTCGCCCCCGTCTTCATGTTCTATAGCTATATGCGAGCATGGTCTTACGTGACGGAAACGCTCTACAGAAGGATCTACCACTGGCTGCCGACACCGACAAACCCACGTTCGTCGCGCAGCCTATACGTGCCCGAGTACGTCTCAATCAGCGCAAGACGGCTAAACGGTTCATCCGCAGCCGAGGCCAGTGATGGTGCCGATGGTGCAGAAGACATGGACGGTCCGATTGGTCCAGACGACGTGGATACAGCAGCCGCATCGTCCGAGTCCACGCCGCTGCAACCGCTTCCTCCTCCACCACCGCCGTCGTCTTCGGCACCCGGGTCACCCACGACGGTCCGCCGACGAAACACGGTCTCGAGCCATGGTGGGGGCGACGACGGCTACGCGAGCGAGGAGGAGGAGTTTGAGCTGAGCGCGACGCTGATCAGCTTCGATGTCGAGGCCGGCGACGCCAACGACAACGCGCCCAGCGCCTGGTCGGCCGAACTGCGACAGAGTCCCGCTGGCGGCGGAGAGGGTGGACCGGCCGGCAACGGTGGTGACGTCGAAGGAGGCGAAGGCCGAGGAGAAAGTGGCCATCAAGGGACCAGCGGCTCGGACTATGGTGTCGGCGACAGCAGCAACGCGACTTCTGGAGTTGGCTTCGGGCCCGTCTATGCCGAAGGGTTGCTGGTACAGCTGCCGGCCATCATCGCAACGGACATCATGACAGTGCTGACTTCGTCGGCCCTGATGGCGCCCTATGAGGCCTTTATGATCCGGCTGGTGGCGCATGCCTATCGGCAACAGCACGGGCTGCCAGTCGACGACCTGTACGGACTCGCCGTGCTGTCGCCGGCCGACGGCAGCCTCTCGTGGACATCGCTGACCAACTGCGTCGGCATGTGGCTGGTGCACCTGGCCGTCGACGCGAGCGGCTGGCTGCTGGTCACCGGGCTGGCCGTGCTGTATCGGGGTGCTGAGCCGGAATGGTCTATTTTCCAGCTGCTCAAGGAGAAGCTGGGATACGGGCAAAAGCGAGGGGATGGACGGGAGTAAGTCATGGGAAAAGGCGTTGCATTTTGCACGTATTGCATTTTGGGAGTTGGATGGAGGCTGGTCTAGGAGTCGTCGGATATGGGGGACAATGCAGACACGACGCATGGTAGTGATTCTCGCACAGTTGTTTAAAAAATGGCAGGCAGGCCTGACGAAATATAGTTCTCGCATTTCCCTGTCACCAGCACGTGTCCTCAGGTCCGCTGCTTTCCCTTCTTGGCGCGTGCCGCCTGCAGCTCGTCGACCTGCTCCTTAAGGAGGTCGTGCAGATCGCCGTTCCGTCGGGCCAGCAGCAGCACATCGTCGGTCGTCACGGTCGATCGGCCGGCATGCCGGCTGAAGCTCTCTAGGTCGAGGGCCACCGATTCTGGGACACGTCAGAAAGGGTTCCATCGAGGTCGAGACGCCCTTCACTCACCGATCTGCGTCCACACCATGTCGGCCAGCGCGCCGATGAACTGCGGCGTCGTATTACGGTTCTGCTTGATGGACTCTTGGTCGACCATCTCGCCGACGACCGACCAGAGCGCGGCTTTGAGCTCCTGCTCGTCCTGGCTCGCCATCGTGGGGGAATTGGGTGTTTGGCGCAGACGGGCTGCAGACGCGCTGGGAGACGCGCTGTAATGCAGCGACCACTGCGCTAGCAAGCGGTAGCGTCACGCCTGCACGGTCACGCCTGCACGGCCCCGCTGCCAACGAACAGCCTGGAAGAGGACCAAAAAGTCGTGCTAACAAAAAACATCCTTGCTTTCTGCTGGCTTCTATTGCCGACTGCTGCCGGCCCCAGAGCAAGGGGACTTTTTCATGCGAATCTCCTCTTGGTCATCTTCTACTCTTTCTTCTACTTTTTTCGTGTCTGATTCCTGCTTGATACCCCATCGACACCGAGACGACGAGACGTCTTCTGCTTCTTTGCCTGTCCTTCTGTTTCGGCCTCTTTCTTCTGGGGCCTGTTCTTTCCAGCCTATTCTTTCTTCACCCTCACTCCATCCTCCAGCCATGGGCCTCAACGATCTCGTCACCCTCGCCCGCGAGCGCTTCAGCACCAACGTCTCGGCCTCCATCAGCAACCTGTCAGCCCAGCAGTGGATCCGCCTGATCGCCATCGCCGGTGCCTACATGCTGCTCCGGCCGTACCTCATGAAGATTGGCGGCAAGATGCAGATGCGCCAGCTCGAGGCCGAGCACGACGCTGCCGAGCAGGAGGCCCTCGCCCTGGCGGCCAAGAAGCGCCCAGCCCTCTCGCCCAACGACCTGCGTGGCACGGCTGCCCCCGGCTCCATGACCGGCCTGCTCGGCCTCGACGGCGACAGCGACAGCGACGATGACAACGACGACGACAACAACAACGCTCCCGCCACCAGCAGCGGCGCCGACTGGGGCAAGAACGCCCGGAGGCGCCAGCGCAAGATGGTCCGCCAGCTTCTCAGCGCTCACGAGAAGCAGCTCGCCGAAGCCCAGGCTGACGAGGAGGACAAGGACATTGCCGAGTTCCTCCAGGACTAGCCCGAGAGAACAGGACGGCCGAGAGACCGCATTGGGCGCGCTCCGTATAGAGTTTTAATAATCGACGAATAGACCTCTTCTTTCTTCTTGCTCTTGCCTCGTGTTTTTCTTGATTATGTAATCTCGGAGCAACACCGACGACGTTGCTCCTGCATCCCGGATCAACCGCCCAATGCTGCCAAGACCTGCTCTTGTCCTTGCCCGTTTCGGCATCTGCGCGTTAGTTGCGCACTGGAATCTAGGCCACTGAGGCTCTGCCCCAATAGCGACACCACATACTTGTACAACTGACCAGATCGTCTTCTAGGAACGCAATTGCATGTGGTGTCACTTCACTGCAGCTACCCCCGCCACCATACCACCTCCAACAGACGCCTCGCCTGTTTCATGACATGGCAAACAGACGCTCTCAATTGCAGTATCTATGCTGCTAGAAACACAAGCTTTGTGCACAAAGTCAAAGCCGGGCGAAAGCTTGGCTAAAGCCCCACGGAAACTTCGTATACAACTTTGTCGGTCGAAGAAAAACGTTTTAAAATATACAGACATCATCTCTCCCGTTTCGCCCTGTTTAACACCCTTTCACCACGTCTGCCTCGTAACCTCTTCAGTCCCGTGTTGCTCCCCCCAGCCTTCGTCGCCCGTCTCTTTCATGTTTCCTCGTTTCTCTCGTGACGTCTTGTGCTTTCCCCCCCTCTTCAACGTGTTGAAGGCAGGCCCAGCTTATTCCCACTTCCTCCACATATCTAGTAGCTGGTTTGTCTCTCTCTCCTCCTCCAGGTGGTCCAGCTTCGAAATCCGGCCCAGCCGGTTTGTCACGTCTTTCGCAACTCGGTCCCGCTCTTCCAGCTTCGCTTCCAGAAATGCCTTGTCACTGTTCTTGCACGCTTCCAAGAATATGGCCCGCATCCGTTGCGAGTACAGATGACACGCCGCTAACGTAATCTCCTTTGGTTCCTTATAGAAATCGCCTGCCACTGCGCGGTACATGTTGACCTTTGGGTACACAAACTCGTCAAAGCACTCCTCACAGACGACAAAATCCGGAAGCGAGCGCATCCAATACCACTTTCGGCCGCGAACCGGAATGTCTCGTTTGCACTCGTCCGTGAAGTTAATCGCCAGCAGCTTGTTGACGATACCCTCGACATCCGGCGGCAAATTTGTCGCTTCGGCCAGTTCATTGGACTTCTCAAACACCTCAATGTACTTCCAAAGCCGCTTTCTGTCTGGCTCGTGGTATAGTGCACAAACGGCGCCCACGTCACGGCTGTATGGCTCACCAACCTGTAAGAGCCTTCTGAGCCACGGGAACAGCACCCGCACAGCAGACGCGCACTGCTGACACACCGAAAAATCCGGCACAGGCTTGCCCGTGAATGGGTCCAAAATAGTCGACCAATCGCCCGTCACATGCCTCGAGCCAGGACAGGGAAGCCGCAGCTGCTCATCGTTGTCAAACAGAACTTTGACAAGACTCAGGCTTGGTAGCTGGTATTTGTTGTTGAGGTAAAGTGCAACTTTGTACCAGTGCAGCGAGCCGAACGTGCACCGCACTCTCGACTCCCGGTTGTAGATGGAAGTCGGGACAAACTCATTCCGGTAAGAGCCGCTGGCAAATGCAGCCTCGTAGCAGGTTGGGCATATGAAGAAATCCGGGAACTGGGCCAACGCCCGCCAGTCGTGGTGTCTAGAGCTAAAAGCTTGCCTAGGGCACTCGGGCAGATCGTATGCATGCTGCCGGTACGTTCCAAGGGCAGGCTCCGGATGCCTCTCTAGCGCTCGGCTCGGCTGGCTGTCAGATTGCCAGTCTAGAGCCTGTTCGGATAGCCGACTCTGCGGCCTGTCCTCCAAATGGCCATTCGTAATATTCACATAGATTGCAGGCGTACGGCCGGTCTGGGAAGAAGACAGAGGGTAGTCAAACAATCCTGACGCCCGTGCCGGGTTTGCCAGCTGCGGCCCATGCAGACGGCGCGCTTCAGAAGACGATCGCTCGTGGCGGTGGCCCCCATCAACAACCCTGACAGAGCTGTGTCCGCGTATCGGAAAGGTAGTAGACTTGGGCGGTGGCATAGACAGCGTGCCCGCCCGCGATTCGTAGCTTATAGGATTGTGGATCACATTTGGCATCCGGGCCTGTCGGGGGCCTCTCGGCCTGTCTGTATCCAGAATCCTGGCAAGGCTTTCGGGTGACGAGCTAGCCGAAGATGAGCCGTGCTTCCTGTCCTCGTTTCTCTTTCGCTCCTCACGTAGTGGCCTCGTAGGAGACCTCGGGGAAGGTGATGCCGTCGGCTCACATAATTCACTCGGTATAGAGCCCACCACAACAGGCGGAATATGTGCCTGTGAGATCCTGGGGGTAGAAATCGGCGTGCCTCCCACAGACTTGTATCGAGCACTGCTACTGACACCGCCGATGATCGCAGCCGCCACAGCTAGCCTTCGCGTGTCTGAGCCACTCGATGCATCCTCATCCTTGCGCGGTCCTTTACGGCGATCGCTGGGCTGACGACGCAACGCCGGGGTGGAAGCTGATTTGATCTTGTCATCCTCCACGTCTAATCGTCCCGCCGCATCTCGATGCTTCCTATAAGCCGAATTGCGCCGGCCAAGACCACGTCGGTCACGGTCCGAATCATAGTCACGTCGTTCTCGTTCCCGGTGTCCTCGTTCCCAGTCACGGTTGCGCTCTCGCTCTCGCTCTCGTTCTCGTTCTCGTTCCCGTTCACGGTCTCGTTCTTTTGCCCGTTCCTTTTCACGCTCACGCTCTCGCTCGCGCTCTCGCTCACTTTCCCGCTCGCATTCCCGAATTGGCGATGTGCCCTCAGCCCTGCGCTCCTTCGGCGGCGGCGAAGGCGAGTTCCGCCTGGTGCAAGTGCTAAGCTCTTCGGCCCGCGACGTACGGGTGAAAGACAGCCGCCTCGAAGGCTTTTCTGTATCGTTGAAGGAAGAAGAACGACGCCTGTACTTGGTGTCGGGAGAGCTGCCATTTGTTCGTCTATCGTCTGCTACACGGGTGTCTCCAGATCGTGCGCGCGTGGCAGAGCTACTGATGTTGTCCTGGCCATAATAGGTGCGATCACGGCCTTTGGTAGCATGCTTCGTGATGGATGGAGACAAGAAGGCACTATTGTGCTGCTCCGATAAGTCATAATCTGTCTGCCGGTGGTGCTTTTGATCTGTGTAGGCCGCAAATTTTGGCCGTGGTGGACCGGATAATCTTTCCTCGTCCATCTCTGTGTCGATCCTTGGCAGATCAAGGCGACTCTTCCGCCTCTGGATGGTAGGTTGGGTCGTAGAAGCTGTTTCTGCCGATGTCGTTGTCAATTTCGCTGTCGCCACCGTCGCTGCTGCTGCCGCTGCTGCTGCTGCTGCCGCACCAGCTACGGCTGCTTTAGAAGTCTTCGCGTCATCAGATGGCACTGAGTCACCGTCCACGCGTGGCACGGTGAACTTGCGACACGTATTCGCTTCATACTCGTTCGGCTTGTCCGACGGTTGATCGTGGTCTGACGCGACATTGCTCTGCGCCCCGTCGCCAGACTTTGGCAGAATCACAAACCGGCGCTCTGGGTTGTTTTCGTGAACAGGGTCAAAGAGCGGCACCTGATCGACGGCACCGCGGTACTTGGGCTCCTCATCGGTGGTTACGCTCGCGGAGTCGATCACGCTAGGGTTATATTCCCTCGCCAGAGCCGAAGCTTCGTCCTCGACAAAGGCCCGTGTAGGGTAGCTTCGCCGTCTGTCACGGCCGAAGCTGCGGGAAGTGCGATGGTCCGATCGTGAAACCTGGACGGATTGCGCCCGACCGTGGACGGTATTCAAGCTGCTAAGTAGATGTTCTGTAAGCATTGTCTTCCATTTCTTACTCTATCGTGTGCAGGCGGGCGGGAAGACGCACGAGTGGGTATGGTAGTATGCCCGATCATCGTCGTAGAACCTGCCGGCCATTCTCAGTTGCTCGGGGATTTCGCAAACGGCTCAATATGGCGTAAAAAGGAACATGGTTTGCACGACGACGCGTATGTCCTTTTTCTTCTTTTAAGGAGTGACAGGGGTTCCGTTTGGTGTGCGACACTGGCTAGCCCGTTGAGTGAATTGTCTCGGGGATTGAAAATCAATTGCAACCAGGATGGAGATGATGCCCAAAGCGGGAGATTGAATGGAGGGGGAGAGCCCAGCCTTGGCAAAAGAAGAGTGGGATATGGAGTATATGACTAGTCAAACAGGGAGGTAAACATTGTAAGATATCACACTCCGTACTATGTAATGGAAGGACTTTCGAAGAGTCTAACGCGAGGGGGAGTGGAGAGAGCGCAGCAATGAAGTCACAGCCAGCCTTGTTTATGGGTCGGATCCTGCGCGATTCGGGGGGTTTTTTGCACCTGTGCAAGTAATGAGTATTCTGTACATAGTATTCGGTCAGGCCGCCACCAAGATGGCTCAGACGTAATGGTAGGAAGAGTGGGCGGATATACCTGACAGGGGGTATTCGGTATCGGCAGGGGGTGGGTAAAGCAACAAACCCTGTCGGTGGGGGGATGAGTTGCCGGTAGGTATGCTGCGGGTAACTTTTCAGCTGTGCTGAGTAGTGCCAGACGCCACACAAGCTTGTTTTGAACAGTGGTGAGATCTGGAATGAAACGCTGGCCGAATGGAGGCGACTTTTTATAAGATTCGGAATGGGCTCTGCTGGCTGGCGACTATGGGAGAGGTCACTGGTCACGACGCTTTTCGCCGCATGTATCGTTCCCGACTGGCCATCGTCGGCCTCGTCGGCCATACTCTTTCTCACGAGATGCACTACCCAGAGGCAAAAAGAAAAAGTCGGATAATGAGCCACCGCCTGTCGTTTGTGAATCCCTTTGTGCCCTGTATCGCCAAAGGATTTGTCGGTGGCCAAATGCGGCTGTCTGCTGCATGACACACTAGGGGCATTGAACGTAACATGGCTGCTGTTAGCGGTCGTAAGACAACTTCTCGTCAGGCTTGTCAGCAGCCGATCGATGTGATGCTACAACTAAAATCGACGACGGGAACAACTCAGCAGGCGGCCTGTCTTCTGCGGCGCAGCATGCTTTGGTTGGGAAAGAACGACGGGCATTACTGCCCATAGTACCACAGGCGTACCTTCGCCATTTCCAATACGATGTCTGCATTCTGCTTTGCTTCGAAGCCCAATCGCCATTTGGCCCAACTCGACAGACAACCTGCAGGGGTCGCGGCAGAGCATTACCATACACTTCGCACCACGATGCAGGCCACTTCATACCTCTAAGCTACTCCGTGCCGAAAAGGCTACGAACGGCACGATAACAGTGCTTGAGGCGTGCGGGTGCTCTCTTGATTCGAAGCTGCAGCGAGGGCGGAGTGCCAACAAAAGCAATCAGTCGGAGACACGTCAAGATGAGCCGCAGGAAAGTCATCGTTTGATGCGGCTCTTTGCCGGGGATTAAATCGCCTGTCTACGACAGCCCTGTCAGACAGGAATGGTATCGTACAATGCCCGAACTGCGTCCTAAACCTGAAGCCCTATCTGTCCGTCCTGTGAGACAGACGATATCGCACGGATATCTGCTGACTCTGTGCTACATCGCTACCATTGCCTTGTGCCTCGCGGTGGACGCCTTGTATCCCGTTGTGCGTCGGCCAAGGGTGCTACGAGAGACGCGGGCTATTCGCATCCCAATGAGTTTCGGGCGCTGCTCGATTGTAGACATAGAAATGACTCGCAAGACTTCCGCTTAGACAGGCGATCTGCGGGACCATCAAATGGCTTGTCTTCAACGAAAGGCGTCGAGATGTGCCATATAAGCCTCGGTTCGGGCTGAAGCAAACTGCACTTTTTATGTGTTCTGCTTATTCGTACAGAATGGCTTAGCTCCACGTACGGAACGAGCCGCCGCCGAAACAAGGCAAGCTGTGATCCAGATGATGGCCGGGTGACATCCAATCGACTTAAAGCACGGCACTTTGTAAGATACCTATGATTCAATAAAGGTTGCCATGGAGTAGGCAGAGGCAATATAGGATGACCGGCCAGGTGGAGGTCTCGGATAACTTGCCAGCTATGGTATCCCGACATCTTTATATTGCGTTGTCTGCTCTTCATTTTTTCGGGCGGTTGGCTGGGTAAACGGGGAGAAGAGGGGGAAGATTCGTCATGGGGATGTTGGGAGCTCACAAATACAGAGACGCACATGCCGGATCTGGTTGCAGTAGCAGCGCAGTTGCTGGACCGACGAGCAGCTGACAGTTTGTTCCGAAAAAAGACCCGTGTCAATTGTAGGAGCCCGTACAACGTCTGCCAGGAAACAGTACTTGCTCGTACTTTGACCGAATCAACATAGTTCCTAATTGGGAAATCCGAGCATCATGTATTGCGCCGACGGGCAGCTGGCGCTAGCATATTGCCCAGCTGGCAGACCCCCCCCCCCTAGACCAGAGGTCACGTGAACAGGGCAATCATTGCCGCATCATGTCGTATGAGGCTAGCGCACTTATCGACTACAGCCGATTAGGGTTTCACGCCACGAATCTGTGTGTAGTGGGTAATAGGCGCTATTCTGATGTGGGATTTTCACTAAAGGGCTTTTTTTTTCTCGCTGGTGGTTCCTCTGTATCGACCAAATTTTATCACCAACTTTCGACAACCGGAGCCGCCGCAACAAGTGAGTATCTTGTCTCATTTCTGGTCCCGTCTCGGTCATCGTTCGTGCCAGCCATCCATTCGTCGCTTCTACCGCCTGCTAACCGACCACAGCCTCGACAGCTTTTCGAAATGGCCTCCCGACCGACCGTCACGATCCACGGTGCCGATGGCAAGCCCACCAGCACCTCGCAGCCCATCCCGGCTGTGTTCCTGAGCCCTATCCGCCCGGACATCGTTCAGCAGGTGCACACCGGCATGGCCAAGAACAAGCGCCAGCCGTACTCCGTCAGCGAGAAGGCCGGCCACCAGACGTCTGCCGAGTCTTGGGGCACGGGTTCGTATTTCTCTCGGAGACGGGTGAATGGATGAGATAGATCATCGTGCTGACAACGCCATCACCCTGCAGGCCGTGCTGTCGCCCGTATCCCGCGTGTGTCTGGTGGCGGTACTCACCGTGCCGGCCAGGCTGCCTTTGGTAACATGTGCCGGTCCGGCCGCATGTTCGCGCCGACCAAGATCTGGCGCAAGTGGCATGTCAAGATCAACCAGGGCCAGAAGCGGTTCGCCACGGCCTCGGCCGTTGCTGCGTCCGGCGTGGCCCCCCTGCTGCTCGCCCGCGGCCACAAGATCTCGAGCATCCCCGAGGTTCCCCTGGTCGTCGACTCGGCCGCGTTTGCCGAGGCTGCGTATGCCAAGACGGCCAAGGCCGTTGCTCTGCTGACTGCCCTTGGTGCTGGCGACGAGCTCAGCAAGGTTCGCAACAGCAAGAAGCTGCGTGCCGGTAAGGGCAAGCTCCGTGGCCGTCGGTACCGCCAGCGCCGTGGCCCGCTCTTCATCTACGACCCCGAGGTCGACGGCAAGGAGCTCGTGCACGGCTTCCGCAACATTCCTGGCGTTGAGACCAACTCGGTCTTTGCGCTCAACCTGCTGCAGCTGGCCCCCGGTGGCCACCTCGGCCGCTTCGTCATCTGGACGTCGGCTGCCTTTGCTGCCCTCGACAAGATCTACGGCTCGACCACGGCGCCGTCGGCCCTCAAGAAGGACTTCCTGCTACCGTCCAACATCGTGTCGCAGTCCGACCTGACCCGTATCCCATCAACTCTACCGAGATCCAGAGCGTCCTGCGCGCGCCCAAGGGCGAGGCACGGACGAAGCGCGGTGCTGTTCTGAAGAAGAACCCCCTGCGCAACAAGCAGGTGCTGCTGCGTCTCAACCCCTACGCTGCCACCTTCATCAAGGAGAAGATCGGCCAGCAGAAGCTCAAGACCGAGAAGGCCGCTCCCGTGCCGCCCAAGTTCAAGCAGCTGCTGAACGAGGTATAAGCGGACGGATGGGCTGGAGCAGGAGATGGGTAGAGACGTGGGTTTTTATACGGTGAACGGGTTCGTTTATATCTTTGTTTTTGCATCTTGTAAGCTTTGCGCAAGGCAGGCGAACAGCACGGAAAGATAACCCCAAAATAAAAAAATATGGGAAATCACAACTGTGCCAATAACAGTGTTCTCACGGCACACAAAGTCACTGTGCTATTATTAATCCAGACCAGTAGACACAGGAGAGCACAGGACCGCAATACTAAAACACATCCAAATAGCATTCGTTATATAAGGCAAAAAGCAAAACTTGCAGCAAGAAACGCAAAGCTGCATGTATGGTCTCATCCCTCAACATATCCGTCTTAGTCATCAAAGGCAAATTCATCCGGAGAAACAACGCAAACAACAACTATAAAAAGGAGAAGACGTTGTACCATCAACGAATCTATCCGCCGAGAAGAAGTGTAGGTGCTCTTGAAGCTCCCCGTCTAACAGCCCATCGCCAGGCCGCCCAGGTTGGTGACTGACGCGGCATCCTCTGCCGTGATGGGCGACGATTCCAAGAGGTCTTCAATCTCCTTAACCCTCTTGATCTTCCAGAACTTCTGGATGCCGGCAACCAGACGGTGCGTGCTCGCAACGAGGTTCTCGTCCGACTCGGCCGCGAAGCATAGGCGGAAGTAGGCCCATCCACGGGCCTCGTGCACCTCGTCGGAGGCGCTGAACATGTCGCCGGGGCTGATGATCACTAGGTGCGGCTTGCTGGTGAGCAGGAGCAGCAGGGCCATCTGCATGGCCGGTCCATCCAGGATATCGCCGCCGCTGCCCGAGCGTGCAGCCTGCCACAGCGGATGCGTCTCAAAGTGCATGCGAACCCACACAAACATGCCGGCCCGCGGCCAGGAGAAGGAGTAGAGCTTCGTCTTGGTGATGACGCCCCAGTCGGCTTCGGACGGCCGCACCGGCGTGCCCTGCTTTAGCTGGCAGGCGTTGTCGTCGAGGATGGTGCACATCTGCGTCATGCGGCGCTCGTACTCGCCGCGCACGCCCTCTAGCCAGCGGACCCAGCCGTCGGTCTGCCAGCCGGCGAAGCTGTTGCTGGTGCCTAGGCTGCCGGAACTGCTGGGGCTGCTTCTCTTGGTGCCCCAGACACCCCTGCTGCTACTGCTGCTGCCTGCCACCGCTGCTGCCAGTGCTGCTGGCGTCGGGCCGCGGACGAGTTCCGACAGCAGCGATTGCACAAAACCCGACGGCTGTGACGTAGTGCCCTCGGTGATGCGCACGAATTTTTCGATCAGGTCTGGCTGGGCGGTGATCCAGCCAACACGGCAGCCGGGCGCCACCGTCTTGGAGAACGTGTCCAGGCGGATGACGCGGCCGTCGACGTCTATGCTGAGGAACGACGGCACCAGCGAGTCCAGGAAGTCGTAGCCCGAAGACCTCTGGTTCGGCCCGATGGGCTTGGTCAAGGGAGCGGGCTTGGGCCTGGGCAGGTTCCGTGACACGGCCTCAGCCTCGGCAGCAGACGGATACTGGAGGTGCCAGTACGGGTCATCCTCAATAATAACAACGTCGAAGCGGCTGCAGACGGCATAAAGCTCCCGGCGACGCTCAATGCTTAGGATGATACCGGTTGGGTTGTGGCCCAGGCTGTCGGTCAGCCGAGAAGAACGAGATGACAAAGAAAAGGACACAGGAAGACGATGAAAAGAAGAAACCCAAAACTTACGTCACGTTGTACAGCATATGAGGCCGTCGGCCGCGGCTGGAATCCCAGCTGGACAGCACATCCTCCAAGCCGCCGGGGCCGTAGGCCAGCATGCCGCCCTCGTCGGCCTCGACGGTGACGATCTGCAGACCGTAGGCGGCGGCCTGGGAGAGGGCGTTGCCGTAGATAAACGGCTCGACCAACAGGCCGGGCCGGTCGCGCACGTCGTTGTGGGTCGGGTTCCAGCGGTTGACAAAGAGCTCAAGCGTCTTGGACAGGCCGTCGGTGGCACCAACGGTCATGATGACCTCGGGCCCGCCACGATAGGGCACGTTCGGGTGGACATGGTCGCGGACAAACGAGCGGACCCACGAGAGCAGCGGCGCGTAACCGTCGGAGCCGCCGTATTGCAGGGCTGAAGCCAGATCGATTTTCTTGTCGGGGGCACTGGGCGGCACGGTCTTGGGGATCTGGAGATGGACCGGGGCCAGGCGATTGGGCGGTGAGACCAGCGAGGCGGCCGGGGCTGTGCGGGCGGACGAGACGGACGAGGCCAGCTTGGCGCCGGCCATCTTGCCTGTGATCAGGATGGCATCGTCGTCCTCGTCATCGGTGTTGGTGCCATCAGAGAGCACGGCGGTCTGCGGCGACGGCAACCACCGGTCGGGCTGGGCGATCTGTGCCTCGAGTGTGTCGTAGGGGAAGTAGCTCACGTGTGGGAGACCTGGTCAAACATTTCGAGTCAGAATCAGAAAGGGTAAGGATAGGAGAAAAGGGAAAGGGGAGAGAGCGGAGATACGCACCACCTGCCAGGTTTCCTGCACCTGGAATCTGGAAGAACTTGTAGTACTGCTTCATGCGGCTGGCCTTGCGCAGCTTGGTCGCTTCAGAGATCAGATGGGTCAGGTCCAGCGGCAGAGGCTTCTCAGAAAGGGCTGCTGCAGAGGACCGCATGGGGCTCCGGCTAGACTCCACCGATGCATTGCTGTCGGCAGAGCTGACGAGAGAGGCTGCAGATTGATCCATCATGTCTATGATAGGCGTTGCGTTGGGCAGCAAGAAAAAAAGAGGAACACTGGGGACGAAAACAAAGAGGTTGTGGAGAATGATAGATGATATTTAGATGTTCAGCTGTCTGAAACCGAAGGAACGGCGAGATGATGAGATGAGAGAAAAGTAATGGAGAGTGAAGGCAGCAAAGCAAGTACGACACACGCTCAAACAGCCACACATACACAAACACACACAAAATGGTATAAAACTCAAGAGAGCGTTCCAGTCCCCAACATCAGTCTAAACGGCAGACTCCGTCGGTGGGAGTAGATAATTAGGGGATTTGCTTATCAATGCTCTCGCCTTTCCGAAGACCACGCAAGGACGGAACAGGAAAGCGCAAGAGCGGGGCGCCAATAAGGTGATGCGATCGGGTGGGCTAGCGCATGTGTAGCACTAGCCGTTTCCTTGTTAGTTCGTTGCTAGTTTGCGAAAAAGCCAGCCGACAGCAGCTGTCGAAGAAGAAGCGGTCTGGTCTAAAGTCGATCTGTGTTCTGTACTGTATCTATTAACCATCCGAGTGTCTGTCCGTGCATACGATCCGACCAGCACCTCTCCCTACGACTGCGCCATGTCTCCGTCAAAGACGTATCCGAGCTCTTCCAACGTCGTGGCCGTCCGACCCAGATCTTCGAACCGGCCCTTGGGAGCCAGCGCCAGGCTTCGCATCCACAGCTGACGGTCAGTCCAGTGTGGCGGCTCTTTGCCGACGCGGGCTACCGCGCCGCCGTCCTCCATGATCTGGCGGTGGGTCTCATTGATGAAGACGCCGTCATCGCCGAGCGGCCACGTATGGAACGACGTCGGGCGTTCCTGCTCGGCCGCCCGCTCCCACGCATGCATGTCTTCGCGTGACGGCAGCGACAGCGCGTTGGCCCAGACGCGTGCCAGCAGCGCCGCCTGCGACTCAGCCAGCGGAAAGGGGATGACGCGGTACGGCAGGGCGAGAAAGGCCAGCGTCGGGTGCTCGATGTGCAGCAGGTCGCGGTAGAGCCCAAAGACGCGACGGCCGTTTGTGAGGAGTGGATGCAGCCTGTTGTGTTCCTGCTTCTCTTCCTCTTTCTTCTGCTCCATTTCCTCCTCTCCCTCACGCTCCAAAAAAGGCAGCGAAAAGAGATACCCGGTGCAGTAGATGACAGCGTCGACATCGCGCACGATGCGGCCATCGGCCAGCCGGACGCCGCGCTCGGCCACGAGGAATTCAGCAATGGTCGGCACCTCCTCGACGTCGGCCAGGCGGGCCAGGTTGTCGGGATCCGTGGGCGTGTGTACCGACAGCAGCAGCGGCCGGCGGCAGACGGCGCTGACCTGCAGGCTGACATCGAGGCCCGAGGCGGCGTTGCCGACGACGACGACCTTTTTGTTGGTGTACGGCGCCGGACTGCGGTACCGCTTCGCGTGCGTCACGACGCCGGGGTGCGCCGCTTGGAAGGCCCGGATGCCCGGGACGTCGGGCAGATACGTGATGTCGTAGTGGCCATTGGCCACGATCACGGCGTCGAACGTCTCAACCGTTGACGTCTTGCCGGTTGTGCTCGTCGTGTGTACCTGCCAGCGATCGACAACGGAACCGCCGCTTTGTTGCGATGCCCCGGGCACCAGTCGGACGTCGTCGACCACCGTCGAGAACCGCACAAGACTGCGGACGTCGGCGGCATAGCGCAACAGATAGCGGAACACGTCTTGGCGCTGCGGGAAGATGGTCAACACACCACCTTCGGGCCGTTCGCTGTCGCTGTCGCTGCCAAAGACCGAGGCAAACGACAGGTCCGAGAACCCCATCAGTGGGTGCGGCACGTTGGTGTGCAGAAAGCTGTAGATGGCTGTCGGATAGACCGGCGCCGGTGACGGGTCGTCCTCGCGTGGCTCCGGCTGGATCGGCTCATCCGGCCGCTGCAGCGCGTTCTCCTGCGGCACGTGCTCGACGCTGTTGGGCACCGCGCTGTAGTTCCACGCTCCGCCTACCTCGGCGTTCTGCTCGTAGACGACAATTCGGCTGAACACACCCTGGTCCCGCATGTACTTGGCTGCCGCTAAACCGCCCGGGCCGGCCCCGATGATGGCGACACTGCGCACGGCAAAGCGAAGAGTGGCCATGTTTGGTCGTGTCCAGAGACTGTGCGTCGTTAAGTCGCGAAACCCTCAAGTGCGCACGTCTTGAATTATACACAGAAAATCAGAGGCTGCCAGTTCCCGTCGGCTTCGAGGCCGTTGCATCCAAGTAACAGGCCGTATGAGTCCTTCCCGTAACATGGCGCCACGAATCACATCACATAGAACCGGGCATCTCGCTAGTAGTGCAGAAAAAACTCCTATCTGCAGCACTATTCGCTCCCGTTGGCCGATCGGCCATGATGTGATTTTCTTGCAGCCGGCGCACTGCTTTCTGCCGCAGGCGAGACTGACCGCCTTCTGCTTCCGGAAGTAGCGTGGGATGCTGCAAGTGACCCGACACGGCGAAGCTGCCAGCTGCGGCAATGTGGAGCCACAGCTCATGTTATTCACTTTGCCCTCCTCCCAACCGCAAAGTGGTGACCCGCCCGAGAGACTCTTGTGTTCTCCATTCAGCACCATTGCTGTCGGCCTTTCAATCTCTCGGACGCATCGACTCAGACCGAAGCGCCTTCTGCCGTACAAACGCCGGGCTTCTTCCCCAGCCCAACACGTGCTATACTTCTCGCCAGATCATGACGCGCCTTTCCAGCTCCTATTTATGATCGACACCACATCTGAAGCCATGGCCGCCAATGGTTCTGGCGCGTCGCCGCCTCTGCTACCATCGTTCCCGTCTCTCCGCGAGGCCGCTCCCACGCCGATCGCCCAGCTCGAACCCAACCTGGCGGATCAGCCCGGCCGTGTCGTCTCTGGCCAGGTCACCATCGTGTGGCCGTACAACTCCGTCAAGCAGTCGCTAGCCTTCCTCCTGGCTGAGTCCGATGTGCGGCTGCGTCGCTCTCGCGGCCAGGTGCGCGTCTTGCTGGACGGTCCCAGCGCGGCCGCCGTTGCCCAGAGCGGCCTGGGCGGCGGTGATGAGGTGCTGATGAGCCTCGACGGCGTCAGCTGGTCGCGAGACGAGTCGGCAACGGGACCTCCTGGATCACGTGTCGAGTGGCAGCTGGAGTACGGCCTTAAACTGCGGCTTGAGGCCAGAGTCGGCGAGGCACAGGAGCTGCACAGCATCCACATCGATCAGCCGCCAGCTGCTCATCACGACGACAACAGCAACCAGAACCACGACAATGTCCCGAAAGAAGTCGACGAGCACTCGACTGCACCGCTATCATCAACCTCCACACCTCCACCACCACCACAGTCATCATTGCGGCCTGCCCGCACGCTCCTCAGCAAAAGCGACTACCCCGAAGAATACGCGTCGCCGGCCTTCATCAAGCGTGCACGCATCTCCTTTGGCTCGCTGTTCGAACCCGGCTTCGACATCTTCGAGGATGATGGAAGTGTGCGAGGCCGGGGTCGTAAGCGCACACGCTTTGGTCGGGCCAGCAATGCCTGGCGGTACAGCAGTCAGTCTGTAAGCCCGGAGCGCGAGAACGGGCTGCCGCCTGGCGAGCAAACGGAGGCGCCTTCTGCCGTGCCAGAGAGTCTGGCAGGACCACTGTCATCAAGTCCGACGCTCCTAACAAATGAGCCCGTTCGGGCTACCGATGCGGTCATGGAAGACGGCCAGTCGTGCGTTGGTGTCTCTGTTGCCATCGCTGCTATTCCTATCGACTCCGCTGTCGACCAGACGAGCGCACCGGCCGCTCTGCCGTCTGATTGCGAAACGACGTCAAAGCAGCCCGGCATGTTCTCGAACGCGCTCTTCGGTGCCCCAGTGCCATCGATCAGTGGCGCGTTGTTTGCGGCTCCGCTGCCGCCAACCGCGAACCCACCTGGTGCGGATGCCATGGGCTTTGTGCCTGACGACGCCTTGTTTGACAGCCAGGTACGGTTTGGGTTTGGACACAATCATCCTCAGAATCCCGTCGCGGCACCGTTCGTGCCCCAGTATCATTACCCAGAACCTCCGTCTGGTCAGCTGGAGAGTACGATGACACCGACGTTTCCACCAGACAGCATGATAGCAGAGATGGCCGAGGCCCACCAGTATGGTCTGGAGGAACTGCCAGCGCACCCCCTGCCATCCATGACTCCGGTGCAAGCGGTATGGCCCATCGCATCCGAGTCAATGGACGCGCGGCATGTGGAAGACCACATTGTTGCCAAGCCAGTACCAGAGCAGCGTGCATCTCCGCCTGGTGAAAACGTTGAGCAAAACGACGAGACGACCGATCTTCCCCGTGATGTAGACACGTACGGATACAACGACAGACGATACCAAAATCAAGCGGAAGAGCGCATGGTCGGCATGGTGGATTCTGGCGAGGCAGCTAGCACTCCAGTGGAAGAAGTGGAGCCTGACGTTGATGACGAAGAAGCTGAAGGGGAAGAGGAGATCGGAAAGGGGGCGGACGATGTTGGTGCTTCGGATGAAAGTGCCGGGATCGACGATGCGGGTGATGACTACGACATGCGGAATTATGTTGATGTAGACGACGATGTCGAAGGCAACGCGCTGCCAGATGAGAGAAGAGCGGCAACCTTTGGCGGAGAAGCAGACGATGAAGAGGAGGGAGGGGGCGATGAGGAATACGAAGGGGACGATGCTGCCTTTGAGAACGGGTCACAAGAAGACGCGGAAGGCTACGACGAAGAGGAGGGGTTTGCAAGTCAGGAGTACGACGAAGACGAAGAGGACGAGGAAGAGGGATACGAAGAAGACGAGGATGCCGACAAGGGACAGTCCATTGCGCAGCATCAAGAATTCTACCGCACGCAAATGCAGCCGCAGCAGCCAGTTGTTATTGACCTCCTGTCTGACTCGGATGACGACGAGCCGCCACCTCCTCCCCGAGCACAGCTGACACCGCCTACGACGAGCAAGCCGGTTGTGCTGGCTTCTCGGGGGACTCAGGCCATATCGGATGTTGAGGGCGAGGGCGAGGAAGAGGGGGGTTTTGAGGGTTCCGAGGTCGATGGTGATGTAGATGACGAGGATGTAGGCGAGAGTGAGATGGAGGAGGACGGAGAAGACGACGAGGAAGAGTATGACTCTGAAGGCCTTTCTGGAGACGACGACGGTGGTGAAGAGGGGGCCTTGCCAGAGGAGAAAGAACAAGAGGACGATAGGGAGAGTCTGGAGGCAAAACTTGAGGCAGAACTTGAGGCAGAGCTGGAGGCTGAGCTGGAAGCGGAGCTGGCAGCAGAGCCAAACAGCGAGGAGAAGGAGGAGCCGACAGAGATGCAGAAAGCTGAGCCGAGAGAGAAGCAAGTCGAGCCAACGCTGGAACAAGCAGCCGAACAAGTAGCCGAGCCGGCGACCAACGCGGCGACAGAACTGGCGACAGATCTGGCGACTGAACCGACGATTGAACCGATGATCAAATCGGCGACAGAATCAGCAGTTGAACCGACGGCCGAATCGACGACAGAACCGGCAAAACCAGCAGAACCAGCAGAACCGGTAGAACCAGCAGAACCAGCAGAACCAGCAGAACCAGCAGAACCAGCAGAACCAGCAGAACCAGCAGAACCAGCAGAACCAGCAGAACCAGCAGAACCAGCAGAACCAGCCCAGCAGAACCAGCAGAACCAGCAGAACCGACAGCATTAGCAGCTGAAACCTCACTGGCGAAAGACCATGATGAGCAGGAAGACGTCTTGGTATCGGAGGCACCAATGTCACCAGCAAATGACAGCAACGTCGTGGCCGCGAAAGAAGAAGAAGATAGGGAGCTAGATGAGGTTACAGACGAACCAGAGGCAGATGAGCTAGTGGCAGACGAACCAGAAGCCAACGCAATTCCGACAGGGGTGCAGCCAGCAGAAACGGAGCCGACTGAAACGAAGAAGCCAATGCCAATCCCAGCGGCTGCTCAAGAGGAAACAGAGCCGACGTCTGCACAGCCAGCTTCGCCACCTCCGACGCAGTTATTCGCGTCCCAAGATTTTGGTGTCGACAGGACTGCCATTCTGTCGTCGCCTCCTCTAGCCTCGCAAGCCACAGACGCAGGCCCGGAAGTAGAAGCATCACGATCAGAAGAGTCGTCACAAGCAGCAGAGCCAACCCAATTGGCGGAAGAACAACTCCCGACGCCGCTGGATACGCAAGAAATCGACAATGCTCAGGCAGAAATCCGGCTGCCGACATTTACCGTGTCCTCGCCATCAGCCATGGACGAAGACACCCAGATCCAGAGCCAGCTGCTTTCGGAGATGGCCATGAGTTTTGAATACGAGGACCACAATGTGACCGACACAGACATGGTGAGCGTGGCCAGCGAAGTGGTGCACGATGTCGACATGGACGGAGAGCGGCAAGACGACTCAGAGCCAGAGGATGACATGATTGTTGAGGAAGTGACCTCGACGGCAGCAGCGGTAGCCGTCCAGACGAGCGATGACGATGCCATGGACATGGATGCAGCGGACGTGGATATGGAGAGCACGACATCGGAAGATGCGATCGTGGTGCTGGAGAATCCTGTTGACGAAGACGTCCCTGACAAGGACATGGGAGCCCAGTCACAGCTCGAGTTGGAATCTGGCGTCGAGTTGGTCGAGTCTGTGGTTTTGGTAGCTGCTGACAAAGCACCTGTAACCGAAACGGAGCCGCCATCAACTCCAGTCCGGCTCATGCATGCTGGTGAGGAGGAAGAGAGCACGACGGCAAGCCAGACGGAGCTCAGCCAAGCGGGGCGGCATAAGATGTCGCTGCGATCGAGTGGTGGCCGGTCGACGGCCCCGAGCAGCAGTCCACGAGCGACGGCCGAGGCAGACACAGTGATTGTGGCAGCGGTAGCGACTGCTGGACTGGCGGGAGACGATGGCCATGCGAGCATTCTTCTGGCGAAGGCGTCGACTCAGCGGAGCAGCAGACAAAAGCCGGAAGAGGAGGTAGAAGAGGACAAGGTGGTGGATGCAGCAGTGAAGGAAATGAAAACGGACGCGGATCAAGAGGTCAAGGCTCCCTCGAGCCTGACAGATGTCGATGAGACCGACGTCAGCGTGATGCTGGCGCGGACGGCGACGAGCACGCATGCAAGCAGGCCGCGTGGTGGCAAGGCACTGCTCGAGACGTGTCAAGCACAGGTGCCCGACTGCGTGTCGCTGCACAGACTGCGGCTCCATCTGGCGCAGCTGGTCGACGTGGCCGTGGTGGCGGTGGAAGCATCGCCGGCGGCTGAGCGGACCAAGACGCGGCAGTTTGCCATGACCTTTACGGTGACTGATCCGACGGTGGTCGAGCGAGGTGAAGACGGAAATGAGGAGAAAGAAGCGAATGTCGTCGAAGTGCATCTCTTCCGGGCCCACAAGAGTTCACTGCCGACATTCCGTGCCGGCGACGGACTGCTGCTGCGCCGGTTTGCCGTCGTGGCGCTGGCCGGCAAGGGTTTCGGGCTGCTGTCGGGCGACGAGTCGGCGTATGCCGTGTTTGCAGATGGCAGCGAGGAGGCCGTCCAGGTCAACGGTCCGCCAGTCGAGGACGTTGATCGCGAGGCAGCGTATCTCGAGGAGCTGCGGCTGTGGTTCGCGCAGCTGGACGACAGCAAGCGTGCACCGATCGTCGCAGCCGGCGCCGCGTTTAGCGCACGGGGGAGGGAGCTGCAGGGCTGATGCGTTGACGAGGTTGAAGAAGGAGATGGACAAGGAAAGGAGGATGTTTCGAGGAAGAGAACAGACCAGAAAGAATGATTGTCTTTTGTTATCATACAGTTGCTCTCTAGTACATAAAGTGCAGCCACGGCCGGTCGCGGTTTCCGTTTCTGCATAGAATGCCAAATAGGCAGACAAGGAGTCGTCATAAGACGGTCTTAAAGACGCATTCACACAACACGTGGACAAATCCAGTCGCTCATCAAGACCACTTTCATCACCACCACATTACCACCATATCACCCACCCCTCACTGCATGTCAATCCACGATATCAGTTCCAGGTCCGAAAACATGCTCTGGTCACCAAGGTCGAGGCTGCCGGCCGCGCTGGCGCCACCTATATCGCCGAGCCCGTCCATAACGCCCATACCCTCGAGGCTGCCGAGATCGCCGAGATCGCCGAGATCGCCGAGATCGTCGAGGTCGGTCACAGCCGCGCCGGCGGCCGTCTTGCTGCTGGCCGGCGGCGCTGTGGTGTCGAGCGTCATGGCATCGGCCGCATCGGCCGCATCAGCTGCTGCAGCCTGAACAGCCGCTGCCGCAATGCTGTCCATGGCCGCGCCATCGAGAGCGGCTGCTGCAGCCGCCGCGACGTCGGTCCCGTCGAGCCCACCCAGGTTGTGACTGGTGAGGTCGGCACCGAGATCACCACCGAGATTGCCACCGAGATCGCCGCCCAGATCGGTCATATCGACCATCTCGACAGCCGCCGCGGCTGCCACGGCTGCTGGCGGCGGTGGTGCCATCTGAGCCTCGACACGACGGTGCAGCCGCACAATCGTCTCAGCCATGACCATCTCGCTCGGCCGCCCAGAGCGCTGCATCTGCTTCCACTCCTCCGCTCGAAAGGCTAGCGCCTGGCGTAATGACATGCGCCGCTGCACTGTCGCCGGATTCGGCACCAGGTCGTTTTTCTGCTGCTTGTCGCTGCCTCGATCTCCTCCCCCTCCTCCCAGCACATACAGCATCGCAGGCGATGGCTCGTTCGTCACGTCTGGCGCACATACCAGGGCACAGGCCACATCATAGGCCATGCTGCCACTGCCGGCCTCTACCTGACGCTGCAGGTCGTCCAGGATCAGCTGCAGCAGCCGTGGCGCGCCCATCAGCCTCAGGGCTGCCAGGAACTGCCGGTGCGTGTACCAGGTCGGCATCGTGTTCACGCCCGGATGCACGCTCCACTGCACAAAGCTCTGCACCGTCTGGCGCACCGCCGCTGCCAGGCCACCGTTGTTACTCGTGTTGCCAAACGTCAGCTCGTTATGCTCGGCCGCGGCTGTCCGCCTCGATCGCGGAATGTTGGGCTTCAACACCCGCAGCAGCGGGTCCACCTCCTGGCTCTTGGGGTCTTGTCGCTGGTATGTGCGCAGTGCCTGCTCCAGCGGCTTCGCCACCACATTGAGCAGCGCCGACAGCATCGTCGCCGCCTCGCTCGAAATCGTCGCCGGCTGCAGGATCAAGTGCAGCACCCGCAGGATCGCCCGCTGCTCCGTCAGCCGTTCTACCCGCAGCATGTCCGAGAGGTAGATCAGCGCCGTCACGAGCGATGGCAGCAGGAACGTGTCCACAAGGTCTGCACGGTCAGCAGGCGAACCATACAACACAGACAAGAACATCAAACTCACACTCTATCCCGCACTTCAACATCTCCTCCGACAACGCGTTCGTGCTCACCGCCTGCACAATCTGCTGGAAGAGCGTCGGCGTCAACATGTAGAACTGCTGCGGCGGACACGACGACATCAGGTCGTCACTCAGTCCCCCGGCATCCGTGTCAAACAGCCCGCGGATCCAGTTGCCCAGGTTCTCGCCCTCCTGCTCCGAAATCTCGGCCAGCGTGCGTCCAAGGTGACCCTTTGTCAGCAGCCGCGCCACAAACGAGTCTGCCGGCCACTCGATGCCCAGATCGGCCACCGAGAGGCCGTAGCGATGCACAAAAGCCAACAACAGGAACAGTACCGCCCCGAACTCCTCATACACAGGCTGGTACTCGCCCTGGTCGTCGTCGTATCGCCACGTGTCCAGCAGCCGGCACAGCGGCCACACTATTGCCGACAATTTTTCGAACAGCAGCACGACGTCAAAAGCCAGCGGCTTGCGCACCAGCTGGTTGCACAGTCCCTTAAGCGTCGCCGTCTCCCGCCGTTCGCACAGCTGTCCTAGCACGGCCACTAGTGCCTGGCATGCCGCTCCTGCGTTGCCGTCCATGCTGTCCAGCTGGCCCACCAGCGCCGTGATCCGTCCGGCGTCTCCGCCACCACCACCGCCTCCCAGACACTGCTGTACCAGCCGCTCCTTGGTGAAACGTCCGCCGTCCGGCAGCGTCTGGTACGTCATCTCGCCCAGCAGCGTCTCGATGCTCGTCTCGGCTATCAGCCCGTGCAGGCAACACGCAAAGCAAAAGTCCTGTCGCGCGCTGTCCGTCAGCGGCGTCGTGTTCTGGTTGTCGTCAAACATCGATGACATGGTCGGAAACGCGTTCGTGTCCACCCGGCTCAGCGCCTCCGAGATGCAGTACTCGGCGTTGAACGGGTACAGTGGCGAGCTTGCCAGCGACGCCAGCAGCAGCGGCACCTTGTTGAGCAGGAACGATCGCAGCAGGTGTGCCGACGTGTGAACCTCCGTACGAAACACCGCGTTGGCCAGCACGTCAAACGACGCCAGGATCAGGTCGATCGCCGTCGTCTGCAGGTCGCCCTGGTATCGGTTGTGTAGGTATGTAAAGAGGGCAGTGTCGTCGATGAGTGGCCGGCCGACGAGCTGTGAGAGTTAGTAGAAGAGGGGAGAAGGGGGGAGGGGAGGAGGGGAGAGAACAGAAGGAAATATAGAAAAAAGAAAAAGAAAAAAGAAACACAAGGATAAAAAACATACACAGGCATTCAGATATATATAAAGCCCCGCCCGCGAGTTGGCAGTTGGCATCTCAGGCAGCACTAGATTCTGCAGCTCTACCGTCGAGTTGATTATGTCGTGCAGGTCGGCCGCCTCAGCCTCCTTCTTGTCTGCCGGCTCGAGGCTGCCCAGCGTATCGGCACGGAACTGCTCCAGCCGCGCCGTGATCGGTGTTGGTGTGAGCGAGATCACCGGCACGAAGCTGCCTATGCTGGCAGACAGCAGTTTTCTAGCACCTGTATTATTAGTCATCACTCACACGTTCACTTTCACTTTCACCTTCGCCTTCATATACACACACACTCCTTACCTTTTACCGCCGGTATCGCCAGGGCCGCACACAGGATCTCGTTCTCGAACACAGCCAGGAGCAGCATCACAAACGCTGCTCGTGCTGCCCCCATCTCCTCCTGCATGTGTTCCTGCGCCGTCAGGTCGCGCGCCCCCGTGCCGACCACCGTGCCGACCGTCGTCTCGGCCGCCGCCGCCACGAAGAGGTCCATCCACGCCGCCATGCTGCGCGCAATCGCCAGCGCCTCACGGTGGTTCCGGATAGCCGTTCCCTGGCGCACCGCACGCGTGATCCGATAAAACGTCGTCTCCTCGTTGGCGTACGAGTTGCCCCAGAGTGCCGTCCGGCCGACTGATGTCTGTGTGCTCGGTCCTCCGCCTGTCCTGCTGCCCGGCTCAATCTTGACCGCCGGCGTCAAGGGTCCGCTCGCGTCGTCGTCGTCTCCGTCTCTGTCGCCTTGCTGCTGCTGCTGCTCGCCCTTGACGTGAGCCGACTTTTGCGCCGCTCGTTGCGATGTCGAGTAGCGGTACAGCGCCTGCAGCACCGAGGTCACGTCGACGTGCCGGAGCTGCAGCAGCACCTGCAGATACGCCGGGATGCGCGGGTCGATAAACGCGTCGCATGTAGCTGTCGCTGTCGCTGTCGCTGATGTCGTCGAGGACCCGACGCCGCCGCTTCGCGGCCGCAGCAGAAGATCCGCCAGCAGCGCCGGCGCCACCGGGTACTTCCGCTGCTGGAGCGGCGCAAACTGCGTAAACCGGTCGACCGAGAGCCGCGTCGCTAGGCACCGGTCCAGAAAGCGCGCCCACTTCTGGCCGTTGTACGCCGTCGGGAACAACGCTCGCGTGCTGCGGCTGGCTTGCTTCGACGGCCGCTGACGCGCTGCTGATGCTCCGCCCGCCGCCACCGCCGCCGCCTCCGGTTCCAGCATGCTGTCCGTCGCCATCGGCCGTCGGATGTCCGTCTCGGGGAGCGTCGTCAATCGCGCGCGGAAAAGGTTGTCGGTCGCGCCAGGAAAATGCCGATCGCTAGTATTTCGAGAGGCAGATTAGGCCCGTGAAAAGTTGGTGTGCAAAAGACAGCCAGATGCATTTCCCGAAAAAGAAAAGCATCCAGGGAATATCAGCCTCCCTTGCAGGTGCGCGTGTCACTGCGCTGTAGATCTGCTTAAATGAGGCCTGCTGCACGATCTTGACGCCTGGACTTGCAGCTAGGCTGCTGTGGCTGGAGCTGTGGCTAGGGCCGTTTCGCATTATCAAATTACTGCTTACTTAGCATAAAGGGTTGGTTGTATTACTAAAGAGAGTAGAGGAGAGTGTCCAGCCCGTGTGCACGCTTGTCCGCATTCACAAGCACGGCAACGACCAGGGCCTGTATCTTGCTCCTGCTCCTGCTCGCCTTCCCCGCTAGAGACCCATCTTTTCGTTTTTTCCTCACATCAGACCGTTGCTCGCTGCCAAAGTCAGAGAATACACTCTTGCATCGAAGCCGTCACGAACACCCCCCAACAGCCCACACACCCCTTTGCTTTCCTTTATCTTTCTACGACGTATCTTACTAGGCCGACGAGTATCTTGCATTTCATTCCCCTTCCCTCCGCATCTCCACTCGCGCTTCTTCTTCTTTCTTCTTTCCATCTGTCTCGTTCCTATGAATGAACGTCCAGACCGGAAAACGCAAACGCAATCCGTCCGTCGATGCAGCTATTCTAGAGGGATAAAACTCTGCATAGGGTGGAGCCCTGATTGACCAATCAGGGCTCACCCATATGTCACATGACTTGTGATTACTTAACACGCATACAGTACTCCGTAGGCCTACTCCGTATTTGGCACTAGCTAGCGAATACTCCGTAGGTACCTGAACATATCCTGTTTGCCCCTTTACGAAGTACTAAGCCCCTTGACATTGTCAACAGCACTCCTAACTCAATCCGTAACATCCTTTACAGCCAAGGCTGCCAAGATTATGTCATAGCCAATGGTCAAGCACCCGACCTGCTGACGCCCTACTACTTACCTGTTATAAATGTAAGGCTGCATAGACTACAGTAAAGTGGGTTTGATATCCAAGTATTGTGAGGACCACTTGCTTCATTGGTGAGAAGGGAGCAGGAGCAATTGTATCATTTCAACGCCTAAATGTAACGAAAGTGTTCCAACAAATACCAGATATTAGTCGTAACCCATAACGACTAATCGAATTAACCAGTAATCGCCAAATCGATCCAGACGCACACAAGCTCCCTATGATAAGGGTGCCATATGGAAGAGAGACACTGCCCAAACGGGTAGAATAAAATGCCTTAGGTTTTCTAGAGCCGGATCCCAGTGTGCTAAATTGGAACGAAGGTGTGAGAGCGGAGGTGAGAAAAAAAAGACAGAGGTAGAGAATGCGGGTGAAAGGAAAGCATCTGCTCTTGCTGTTAGATGATATGTCGTTGTTCTTGTGCCCAAACTCCCTACAGTATGTAACTCCTGTCAACTCCACGAAAGAGAACAGAAGAGTGCCGAAAAATGTTTAAAAATAATATGAAATAAGAAACTCGTCTTGGAGTATATTCCTCATCGCCTAGGTCGTATGTGTGGAAGTGGGTGCACTTGGTCGTATTGCGTCTGTAGGTATGAATCCTCATCTTGCGTCGCTAAAATCAGTCCTGCTCGCGCTTAATATTGGCACGGCCGCCAACTCCGGCTGGTGCCCGTGGGCCTAGCATCCAGTCTTGCATGGCAAGCCACTCGCTCCACGTCGTTTCCGCACTAACAATCTCCTCTTCAGACACGTTCAGTAGCGGTCGGAGAAACGGAATCGTCTGGTCCTCGCTCATGTCGTAGTCGGTCTTCACCTTGAGCCAGTTGTCGCTTTTCGCCGCAAAGAGGTAGTTGCGTCTCTCGGTCTCGTGGATGCGGCCGATGCCCTCCCCCCAGTCGTCGCCAAAGAAACCGTGAAGAACGGCGGGCGTGTCCAAGCCCGTCGCAACCAGTCGGCGTATGTACGGAACTAGGGTCGCATAGGCAATTGGCTGTGCCGCTGATCTGGTCGGGCCTGTGCCATGTTCACCCATGACTCCGCCCGCACCTGGTGGGCCCCCCACGAGATTGGAAGAAAGTACAGGATGGACAGACTTCTGGAAGGGGAGTTGAATGTTGGCAAAAGCAGTGACAGCCTGGACCGGAGCGGAGTATTGACCATAGTCGAGGAAGTAGCGGACGCACGACTGGTATTGAACATACCACTCGAAGACATCGAATTGGGCGTCGCCAAACGGCTGGGAAGGACTCGTGTTAACGTTGGTACCACAGGCGGGAAAATGTGAGTATCTGGAAGATGATGGCGAGAAGGAAGAAGAGGATGACGAGGAAGAGTTGGGGTAGGAGCGGGATGATAATGAGCGGGCGTTGTTGCGAGCGGTTTCGCGAGAAGATGGGTGCGCTACCTGTTGTTGAAACGAAAAGGGGCTGCTCCCAGGATGATTGTACGCCATTGTCAACGTTATTGGGACGGCGAATCTTTCCGTTTAGATGTGAGGATGTAAGAGAGAGAAAGGAGGTCCAGAAGAGAGGTCCAAGATAGACAGCGGGGGAGTGGGCTGAGATAAGGCGGTCCGCAAAGAGAGGTATGCAGCCACTTATATGAGCTTAAACGAGGATTGAAGAAGGTCGAAGCAGGACGGGAGAATGAAATGGTGTGCAAGACCAGCTACCGAAGACGGAGAATGCCGAGGGGGTTGGCGAGAAGCAATATTTGCGTGGACACAGAGTGGGGAGGAGGAAACAGTGGTTCAGAAGCAAGTCCTTCGTAAGCAGACGTTTTTTTTTGGGGACGCAGAAACGAGCAAACAGCAGCCGCCTGGGCAGAAATTATCACTTCTCTCCAGCTCAGGCCAGAACAGAACGGCACAGCCGAGGTAATTGAAGACAGGTGCGGCTTTCGGATGAATGTGCTATTCTTCTGTAGCATTCGAATATTATCCTAGAGGACAACACGATGCCCCAAGAGGTTGCTCCTGGATAGCCTGGCCGTAGCTGGATGGTCACTATGGCTAGAAGATGCGAGGTGATAACGGCACAACCATAAGGCTACGCAAATGGTAGGGCGACGGGACGTTGGGGGTGTGCAGGGTGCTATATCTGTTGTGGTTCTGAAGATAGTAGGAAAGGCAGAGAGCTAGATGTGTAGAGGTGATGCAATTGGTATATACGTCCAAGGTTGGGGTATGTGTACGCAAGAAGACGTGTTGCTGAGCAATCGGCTATGTGGTCTGGTGAAGGAGGCAGGCTGTCTTTAAGCCATGTTCTGTCTCGTGAGCTGGGTGGCCAGAGAAGACGATGGGAAGATGGCTGGATATATGCTCTTGTCTGTCAACCGATATGAGAAGCGTATGCTTGTAATGGATGATCAACACTAAAGCAAAGGCGAGACTGCATTGGCTGCGTCAGTAGGATAAGTCATAAGGTATGAAGGTCATCGTAGCTGAATCCGAGCAGAAGAACGATTCGAAAAAGGAATAAGGAATGTCAAGAACGTCCCATGGTGGGCATGTGTTTTCGACCCTGTACACACCCTGCTCGGGAAGCACATCTAGTCCCGCCGTCATGCAGACATGCACGCACACTCTGCCCCCCTCTCTTTTCTTCCTCCCCACATGCCAATCCCCTGTCCTTTTAGTATTAAAGATACTTTAGGTGTGCCTGCGTAAGGAAGTGGATTCTAGTTTGTGGGGGAGTAGCAGGCCTGGATAGCTGGATAGTAGAGACGGGTGCCACGCATGGACGACAGGGTGAATGCGGACTTACGACACAGGCTGCAGGACCCGTACTTACGGGAGGCCGTCAACGTTGAATCGAATTCTTGCGTGGACACCAGCTAAACAAAGGAGGGGAACCGTGTGGGGGGAGGGGTGTGTGTGCCTGTGTTGATGTTCCGGGAGTGACAAGCGGGGAGACGAATCAGGAGAAGAAAGCCGGGACATGATGTGACGGTAGTTCAGCTTTGCTTGCCTTTTCTCTGTTTCTGGTCCGGCCTGGAGAAGGAATCCAGCTGCTTTCGAGTGGGAGGATGGCCAATAAGACTGTACCGGGCGCAATCGTGCCATTCGTTGAGTCGATGCTGGAACTCGGATGGGATGTAGGCATTGCAGCGGCAATGCACATCAGCAGGCAGAGAACGAAAAACAAAAACAAAAAAAAGGTCAAAGCTTGGAAGAAGGAGGCTCCAACTGGTGATTTGCAACTCATACATCACTGTATGGAGTGACAAGGGCATGAAACAACGAGCGTTGTAGCAGCTACCAGGTGGCGCCTGCCGCCCGAGCAGTGGCGGAAGTAGCAGTACTGGCGGGGCGCTCTTTCCCTGTTTGGGTTGTCCCATACAGCTGGTCTTGGGTCGTTATCGAGATCTACTTCCCTGCAAGCTTGTTTGCGCTCAGCGCTACACCGTCTTTCGCGATAGGCAGCAGCCAGTAAGCTCACTGCGACCTGCCGTCATTTCTTCCAGTGCCCTTGGCTGCAGTAGCCCAGATCGCTTTTCAGCTCGAGGTTCCCAGTAATGTGCCACCGGGGCGGAAAAGCCACCCGCAAAGCCCCCTACATAACATCGACGCTTGTGGAAGCTCCCTCTTTTCTACATTCTGCATCTGCACACGGGAATGGCTGCTGCACGGCCACATCGCCCGCAGGTGCACCCTATTTCGTACCCGTAGTACGAGGTTTCCCCTGCCAATGGAGGGCAGGTGGAAACTGGTATCAGGCTATAACCAAGACAAACCCGGCCCGCAGCAGCTGGTTGTTATCCAGTAGTGGGAACTAGATGCTGTTGAAAATGCATAGTAGTCGAAGCTCAGCAGAGGTCGCTCGAGTTTGACACTAAATCTGCGCGTGTAATTACGACTCCAGCCTACTACGTAGAAGCAGAAGAACCAAAGACCCCCTCCCCTCCCTGAAAAGGAAAAAACTAAAACAAAAACCTCAAAGCAGCGCCTAAGAAGCGTTTATACGGAGAAAATGTGGCGAGTATGGCTGGGTCCGAGCAGGCTTTACAGCGGTGTACTCGGACTCCAATCGTAGAGAAAGGGCAGTATCACTTGACGAACAAAGCAGGAGACCCGGGTGCATCTGCTTTCGTGACCGATCAGGCTGCATATCTTTGCCATAACTGCTACAAGAAACGACGATCATGGCTGGTGGACAGCTGCCTCACCTACACCGACCGCACCTCTTTGAGAATGCAACGGCCCGGCTTACACAGATTGTGATCTCCAAGCCGACCTGTCAGGTCTCTGCTCGTTCGTCTACAACAGACCCCCCACCCTTAGTGTGCACTTCGTTTTGCGTCCGTCATGCACGAAGCGTGCCCGCCAGCCTCTAGCTACAGGGCTTATGCTGGCATGTCGGGTCTGCTGTAGTTGCTGGTAAGATACCGTGTACACTAGCTGGAGCCACAAATAGAAGAAATAGAAAAGAATGTGCGTAAATGTGCGTGCGTGTGTGTGCAGGCCGGAAGCGTGTAAAGCCGAGGGAAGCTTTGGCAGCCTAAGATACAAAGGGCGGCTAGCATGCTTTGTTTGGTCTTCTAGCGGGAGGGCTCCCACGCTAACAGTAAAAGTACTCGTGCTCCAGTGCCCCGCCCCATTGTATACGATGTAAGATAACGAGTAAGTCACGGACTAATACGTCGTATGTACACTTATGCGGAAGGAACTGATGGCCCACTTCTGGCAACACAGAAGGTTAAGCGAAGCCAGAAGATCCCATGGCATTGGGTTGGTGAGGTGGTATTGGCTTTAGCCAGGATGCCACGCTTTCGTTCTTCTTGCCACCACAGCCGCCATTCAGCGCAATCAAGACGCCACACTTCGAGACGTCCCGACCGGCTGGAATGTAACGTAGGGATGGCAAGAATGAAAATGCCACCCGGGCCGAGAGACAGAGAAGCTGTAGTCCGATAAGCCGATCCTGCTGCCGTCCTGAACTGCCAGGGTTTTCTGGACGGCTAGGCAAGCATCTGATTCAGTTCCAGCTGCCACGGACAGTCTTGCCGGCTACATAGTACAAGTTACATGCGGACTCCGGACATTGTGTGTTGATCGGATTTGAGATCCTTCTTACGATGCATCTCCGAGCCCTCTCCCCCTGGGAAGTTCTCCGGTGCCGATACGCGCTAATGCAGCGAGAGATGCTCCGGAGCTGAAGAAAGTCTAAATTGTCACGAAAACGAAACAGGCGTGGGTTGTGGATGCTGCGGTTTCATGGCGTGCGAGCGCCCTGCTGGGCCGAGCAAGCCCGAACTGCCCTGGATCCACCATGCGGACACGGCCACCGGCTCTTTAGGAGGAACACCACCGTGCAGTAGTGTCCTCGCACATGTGGGACTTGTGCTAGAAAATGCGTAATCCACGCCATGGCTGCTGCAGTACTGCAATAAGTGTAGCCGAAGGGGGCCAATAGTACAGAGTGCAGAGGACAGGATTGACAGGATAAATCTCGTTATAGAGGGGAACAGCCCCTAAAGCCCCCCTTGTTATTTCTTTACTCCCCGCACAATGACGTCTCCTGCAGGCCGGTCCAGCTGGGAGATAGTGGAAGGAAAAATGATCAGAAAGACACGCTCGCCTCGTGGTTTCAAATTGGTCTTGCTTCGCGCTAGGGCTTGGCTAGTGGGCTGTCATCAGCTGGCAACGTCGGGACTACTTTCGAGGGGAAGTTGGAAAATTCCTGCTTCTGTGGAGGCAGCCGCCATCCGAACCAAACCGGGAAGGTGCAAGCATCTACTCTATACAATCGCTTAGATGTACGTCGTCGTTACTGCAAACTCGTGTACGGATATCTCGGCTGCCGCACACAAGGTAAGAACGTGGATGTTCGATCTGCGTTAAAGTGCCGCTCCTTCCAGAAAATCATCGGCATAAACAGCGGTCGGCAGTTCAACGGTCTATGCACTTTCTTCTTCGGACAGTATGTGCACAACTCTGATTGGGAGTTGCAAACTTACATGTCGCCAATGAAGACGTCGTATAGGGCTGTTCTTACATGTGTCTCCGGCTGAGTGAGTCGACGTTGCCTCTTCTCATGCTGTTATTTCTCCGGCATTGTGAAAGGCTGTGAGAGATGTCGGGGTCGGAGTGTGTGTCTAAAGTCTTGGTAAGATAATTGCGTCCCGCAATCGACTAAAAACTCCACGAATGAGGGCGGTATAATTGTGGCCAGTCAACAAGCTGCTTGAAGGAAGCAAAACTGTACAATCCTCGGGTTTCTTGTCCCTCTCATCTCCTACCCACCGTACTTGATATGAGGATGCCGTACGGAGCTGTGCTTACCCACGCAGAAGGCGAACCAGCTGGACGAATCTATGAGGCCCTCGGAAATGCACCTTCAGAAGGCCGTGAAAGGCGAAGAGGGAGGGCAGGTCCTGGACACGCATTGCCGCTGCCACTACGGAATAGATCGTGGAGTCGATCCTAACATGGCAAGACTTCTCGCTAAGATTGCCCTATCTTGAGGTCCCGCTTTTCACATCCTAATGAGCCTCAATATGTCACCTATCAAGCTGAGCTCCGTCGAGGAAGTTGGCGAAAACATACGATGTTGCAGAAGCGCAAGCATCGGAGGCCGTATCTGAGCCTCGGCATGTGTGAAGTCTATCTGACCTCGGTCGGTATTGTTTGAGACCCTGCTTACGAATCATGTGGATCTGCCACGTCTACGCTGAGCCTTGTTGGGAAACTACGGTTCTCTACCTCGGACCGGTTTCCAGAAACACACTGTCAGCACCGGCGAGCGAGACACATGGATGAGATACGGGGCCATATCTCTCCAGAATTGAGGGCATTCACTCTCGGTGAACTATTTCATGTTCTCCTATGGGAAATCCTGCGAGGCAAATCAGCGAAGACGAAGTATGGTGGTTGAAGGCTGGATACTCCATGGCAATATTGTCGGCTTGCTCGAAATTGAGAAGCTTTGTTCTTTATTGCTGTCCTTCTCGTATCATAAGTGGGCTGGTGCACATATGAAACCGAGACTTCCACAACACGGCAGCTCAACAGAGTCTGTCGTGGCAATGAGCACAAGGGGACCACACAAGTGAGATAAAAGGCCGTTATCAAGTCCTGTTGAAACCAGTTTTGAAGGGAAGCTCAAAGACTAAAACACGAGACTGGACGTACAGGACCGAAACATCGAAGATGCTTGAGCTGAGATGTGACATCTCCATTGGAAGCACCCAGATCGCTCGCCCCACATCGGGCTTTGAGTGGGACTGAAACAAGAGGTATACAAAGAGTGGTACGTAAAAACATGTCCCATTTTTGATGTCTCATACCAATGCCTCAGGCTTAGACTTGTCGCCCGAAGGTTTGTAGTTGTCGGAGCTTGAAAAACGACGCACCTCAGAGTTTGGGATGGCAACAAGATCGCGATGGAGATACTATGTCAAGCTCCGAGTCATGTTCTCATTACCAGCTCAGTTCAGGAAGCCATCTGGCAAACAAGCGAGACACCTAGGTACAGCAGCCCGTGCAGACACGCCCGGGAGATATGCTGATATGACAGTTAGATACCATCCGAGATAGTTCGCACGTCATCCCTGACTTCGAGGTGTCGTTGAGTTACTCGTATCCCTGTCTCCTCTTCTTACGGCAGCAGAGCAATCTGCGAGAACGACTTGTTCATCCAGGCCTGTACCCGACAATGCGTTTATTTCTCTCGCCTTCATTTCATCTCCGTTAGAGACGCTCTCGGGAAACACAGCATATTTTTCAGCTTGAAAGGCCCTGCTGAACGCCATCGGCGCCATTCGTATGCATTTTTGCCCGATTCTGAGCTTTCTTCAACCCACCATTTCTATTTGGCAGATTCCATGACCAAGGGCTTTAAAAATAACGCCATGCGTCGACTCTGGGCGATGAGCATCAAAGATCAAGCAGTTCTCGACACTGTCAGACAAGTCGAGGTGAGGCTAGATATGAGTACAGCCTCGGCTCTCGGGAAAATGAGGCCCAAGCTTCCGGGCAATTTGCGGCTTCCTCCCCTGGACGAAAATGCTGCGCGTCCCCTCCCTTCGACACCATCGAAACCGTTTTGCCGTCGGCAAGCTCAGCCGTTCAGATCGACGCCACTTGGGCCATCATTGGGCTTTCCGTCCGTATGCTATTTCTGTTTTCAATGTTCCGTGCTCTGTAATCTTCAAAAAGTATATCTTGACATTTGTGAGCACTGGACAGCTCTCACCAGCCTCGTGCCATGGGGACCGTAAAAAAAGCAATCTCCACTGAGGCGGTTGAACTTTGAAATCTAGTTCCGGAGCTACGACGTAAGAATGATGACAATATTAAGATAAGCGTTGATATTGACTAGGGTAATTGTGGAGTTAATTCTCGTATGGGCGCTACTATGGTCAATCGATGCGTACTCGCAAGTTACGATACTTATGTCGCAACCGAACGAGCACGTACATTTTAAGCCCTACCCGAGTGTCTTGGCGCATCACAGATGCAAAGAATCGCATTGCTGCTTCCTTTGTGCGGGTTGTAGATCAAATAGGCACAGCGGCAAACAAAGAAGAGATCTGAAGCAGACAGAAAACCGGCACGTTCTAACGGCCCTGTATAAGAAAAGGGAGAAAGTTAGCCCGAGCTATGCTTGCTAGCTCGGTGGCTTACGTCCCCTGCTTTTGTTTTTTCAATCGTGTATCTGTGCCGTCTGAGGGGCCGCCCTTTCTGCAAGCTCCTGAAAAGCCCTGTTTTCGAGTCACGCAAACAGTATGAAAATATAAATAGCTATGTGCATACGAGTATGTACCGAGCACAGGGAGCATCTTGATACCTGACCGATCTTCCGCCTTATCCGCAGCCAATGATGCGGCTGGTGCCACGATAGCAACGGCAACAGACAAACCACAACAGCACTCGATGCTATTGGTGGCGGCCTCGACCGACTATCAATTAAGCATAGCCACGACCTGCTAGCGTCGCTTAATGGGGAGACTAGGGACCCGCGCTAAGCCTCTACAAGGCAGACTTCCCCTCTCCCACATTGACGTCGCATCGGAACTAGTCTTTTTTCTACAAAGAGACATGCAGCAGCTCTTATTGCGCATTTACTCCGTATTTCGTATTGGATGCCGTTTTGCCGTTGTTTTCTTCTTTCCCTCCAGCAAAGGGTTCTCCTTCCTTTTTACTCTGCTCTTTCGCGTCTGCTATGTACGGGCAATTGCGCATGGAGACCCCGATTCGCTTCGTCTTTCCTCTGCGACAGATATCGTAACGGCCACCCACCGTGTTATAAATGGCTCCGTCAAACTCGCTGTCTGATACCATAGATACATGAGCAGCTTGCACAGACTAGGCCACATCTGTCCGATGCCAAGCACCTCAGGGCGGAGCTGGGCTGTTCAGCTTCTGCACCCATTGGGCTGTTTTTGGTACTGGGTACTTGTTAGTCTCAATCCTTCGTCTCTCCTGCAAATGAGGCAGGCCTAGGCCGGTCAACTGCAATATTAAAATGGCCCTGGCTGCTGCTCGCATGATAGCAGCCGGAAACCTTCTGCTGCCTCCCCCCATTTTACCGTCTTTTCCCTCCATCGGACGCAGATTGGGATCGTGGTCGCTTCCCAGGCACAACTCTTCCGTACGATCCTATCTCGAGACAAAGATGAAGGGCTACACCCAACTGGCAACAGCCACGCTCGTGGCTGCAGTCAGCTTCACCACTCCGGCCGCAGCAGCTGGCCGTCGGAGCGCTTTCCGTTTCCGCAACGCCGAGCAGAGCTGGCAGCCAGCACACGAGACGGCTACGCCAGCCTCTGCCGCCACTCACCTGGATTACGTGCCACATGCAGCCCTGTATGACGGCGACAGCCGCGCCTTCATGAACAACGTTCCGCTCAGAGACTCTGTACCGCCAGCACCGACGACTGCCCCGACGTCGCCCTTTGACCACACCGGCCGTCTCCTTGCTCGCGCCAATTCGCTGGATACCTGTGGCTTTGTCGATGCCGAATTTACCAGCCCCATCTACTGCAATGCAAACTACGAGTGTGTCGTCAACTCGAACAATTTTGTCATCGGCTGCTGTCCGTCCTCGTCTTCCAGCTGCCCCGTCCAGACCGCCTGTGTCGCTAAGACTGCTGTATCCCTGACCAACAGCGTGAACTCATACATCCTCACATGGTTTGTCCCACCCTCTCTTTCTGCCCGCTCCCTCCGCCCACTCGTTCCATGACTGACCTTTTCAGCTCGGACGTTGCAAGTCCTGAATGCGTCACCTACGCATATACTGGCGCAGACTACTACGGCTACAATGCATATGGTTGTGCCACGGCTTCCGGCAAGAAGCCGATCGAATACCACGCCTCAGACTCTTCATCGTCGTTCTCGTCGTCCATAACCGCCACCACGTCCGCTACAACCTCTAGCACGTCCGCTACAACCTCCAGCTCGTCTGCTGCCAGCACTACGGCCAGCAGTAACAGCAGCAAGAGCAGCAACCATGCCGGTGCCATCGCCGGTGGTGTGGTCGGCGGCATTGCCGGTCTTGCCATCATCGCCCTTGCAGGCTTCTTCTTCTACCGCCACAGCCAGAAGAAGAAGGCCAATCTCGGCGGCCCAGGCACTCCTGGCGTCGCTCCCGGAGGCCAGCCGCCCTATGGAAATGATCCTCCGCCGCAGCAGGCGCAGTATTACCCACCCAATCCCCAATCGCCACAGCAGTTTGGCTACGGGTACGTCCCAGTGGCCACTGGTGCCGCTGCTGGGGCTGCTGTTGCCGGGGCTGCATACACGCACAATAACGAGCCTCACGCTGCGTATGGTGTCGCGCAATCGACATCGCCGCTGTCGGCTGGCGCCCCGTCGTCTTCTACGCCCGGCACGCTACACGAGCCCGCCGCTCCATATCAATCGCCGACACCAGCACATGGTATGGGCTTCCAGAGCGGCCCCGTACCGACATATGATGTTCCCGAGCTGTCGACGGAGCGGCCAGATAGCGAGCTGCGGGAGTTGGCTTGAGCACAGGATCGACAGGGCAGATCACTCAATTGGGAGTGGGCCAAGATGGCGGAGAGAGTTGGTGAGAACGGAGTACTCAAACTCCGTAGTCCTTGCTGGTAGCTCTTCGTGCAGGGCGATTTCCTGTATAGTAACCACAACTTAGCTCGTGCTTTTGCAGATAGTCTCTCTCTGCGGCAGACACCATATCCCATTCTTACTTTTCATATAATGCAGCCTTTAATACCACCTCACTTGCTTGCGGCCTTGGTTGTTGGGTGATTTAGTGCTAGCTTTTGCACCGTGTATTGTTTCAAGCCGCTAGAAAGCCAGACTGTGGAGTGCTGATAATAGATTACATAATCACAGCTGATCTCCACCCGACTTGCGCCGTCTGAAAGAAGGCCAGATTGCCACAGGAAGCAGAGCCGCTTTTTTTGTGCGAAAGGAGCTGCCTTTTTCTCTTTCCTCCCCTATTTGAGTGGCATCCAGATCGACACACGATATTCACACCTCTGTGGGCTCTTTGTCACTTCCTTCATTTCTCTCCCCATGTTTAATTAGGTTTTTGGGATATATACGTTGTGCCTCAAGCTTCTTCGGTTCCCTTCTTTCCGGCCCTCTCTACTTAGCTGTCGCAATGGTTGCCATGATACGTTCCGCCCTCGCGCTCCTGGCGCTGCAGGTTCTGGGCGCCTTTGCCGCCGTGGAGGAAGCTGCCGCCGAAATGCCGCAGCTCAACATTGGCGTCAAGACTACCTTTGTTGATGCCGACAGCATTCTCGGCCTCAAGCTGATCAACGGCCGCCCGACCAAGGCGGCCGTCGAGCTGACGAACCACGAGGCCGAGCCGGTGCGCCTGGCCCTGATCGGCGGCACCCTTTTGACGACCAACGCGCTCCCAGAAGATGCGCCGCCATCGGCCGCCATCGTGGCCAACCTGACGGGCGTCACGTACGAGAACAGCAAGGACGCCATCCTGGCGCCCGGCGCGACCAAGGTGTTCCCTTACAGCTTTGTGCTGGACCTGCAGCCGCGCGACGTGAAGCTCAGCCTGCAGGCCGTTGTCAGCTCGAGCGCTGGCCATGTGTTCCAGCTCGAGGCCCACAGCGACACGGCCACCATTGTCGACCCACCGATCAGCTTCTTCGACCCGCAGATGTAAGCCCCTACACTCTCGCCTTTCTCTTCCGTCTTGCTGCCCTGCTGACCTGTACAGCATCTTCCTGTACATCTTCCTCACCGGCGTCTTCGGCGCAACCCTCTACTTTGTCTACAAGACCTGGATCGAGGCACTCTTCCCCCAGGCCAAGCGCACCGGGGCTGGCCGCAAGAGCCGCAAGGCTGCTGTGGCTGCCGAGCCGACGGCGGCCGACGCTGCCCTCTCCGGCAACGAATCTACGGGTGCGGGCACTGGCGCCGAAGACTTTGATGCCAGCTGGATTCCGGCACATCACCTGAACAAGCCGGTGGCGAAGCGCGTCAAGAGCGGCCCTGCCAAGAAGAAGACAACTGAATAGAGGCCAGATGTCCGACGGATGGGGGGCCAATGGAAACCTAGATGAGGACGGGGGACCAGAGAGTACAGACAGAGTGTATGATACTTTTCTTATGGCTGTTTGTGGGCGTGTGCATGCGTGTATCTGGACAGGGTTGGGGAGGGTTGGCAATGGGCCGGAACCCGGGCGGTATATTGACCATCATCACGTCTTTTGAGATAGCCGACCAGAGGCAACCATCTCTGAGGTTGCAAAATGAACATGACACGATGACCAAGTAAATGCTGTTTCTACGGAGTACCTGCTTGCGATCTTCTTCGGAAGTTAACACTAAAAATGCGCATTTTTGTATAGCAAGATACAATTGACTGATCAACGGGCGCGCAATCAGACTGTACAAGTATATTGTATCTTATATACCCGTATGAGTTTCCAGGCAGCTACCTGAGGTGTTGGTGGCCGTGCGGCTGTGGCAGGCCCCCAGCATTGCTATTGTCACTGGCCTCTTACACTAATCTTGTACACAGGGGGAATAAACATATCAATCAGCCATCCGTTTCGCACAGTTCTGTCACCCAATTCCGTAAGTTTACGCTTCGAAGTGACAGGTGATGCTTTAGGCACATCCACGAAAAGGGCTAGAGTTACAAAAGTTGGCTGTCTCTGCTGTCTTATAATGCACGCCGATATGAATTACCACAACGCGGTATATCACTATGTAGAGAACATAGATGTGGGTGCCATGGGCCTGGCGAGTAAGTAGCCTAACGTTTGGTGCTAGGATGCGGTAATCACCGTTCGGGCAGATATCCCTCTATGCCAATCCGTGTTCGTATTTTCTTTTCCCACTTCTCACTAAAGAAAACGCGTCTTCTCGTCCCAGTTTCAGACGCGCTGAACATCGAGTCGGAGGTCTGCTCTGTTTGCCTTGGGCACAGTCGGGAAAAGGTGTGTGTGGTATTGATTTCACCTATTTAATTTAATTTAATTTTATCTTGATTAAATATTTCCCTTTTCCCCTTTTTCTCTTCCATACCTCTTGTCTATTTTATTACCCCCTGCTCGTAATATCCCCTCCCCTTTCCTGACGTTTCTTCCCTTTCCTCTCATTCACATTTTTTGACTGGCAATAGTCTGTTGCAAATCCCAAATCCAGACTCATTTCTAATCAGCAAGCAAACAAAGTGTTCTTTGCCAACTGCTCACCGGTTTCCCTGCAGCGCGAGACACGTAGTTTTGTTTCTCCCCAGTCTTCTGACCCCATTTCAATATATTCATTTCTTCATATTGAGAGCAATCAATCCTGGCAGCGATCGCCCACACAGCTGTGTGAACTACCATCGTATCTTACCAACACCACCGGCCCTTCGAAAAGCAAGCACATCTCTCCAACCTATCTCCGTTTCTACGGATCTTACAACACGCACGCACATCATGCCGCGCCAATCCACAGCTGCCACCGGCACCGACGGCGTACCCCACACGACGCGACCCGCCCAGGAAAGCAGCGCCAAAGTAGCGAAGCCTGCGAGCGGCAAAGGCTCTGGCAAGCGTGGCCGCCCTCCGATGGATCCTACGCAGCGCAAGACGCAGGCATACGTGCCAACCGGCCGGCCGCGCGGACGCCCCCCCAAAGACCCCTCTCAGAAGAAGAAGTCGGCCACGGCAGCAGAGCCGACGAGCAAGGCGGCATCCGGATCTGGCCGTGGTCGCGGGCGGCCACCAGGTTCCAAGTCGAAGAAGGCGGCGGCACTAGCAGACCCAAAACCGGCTGCCTCTGCGACCTTGGCCAAGACGCCCGGGAAGCGCGGCCGCAAGAGCAAGGCGACGCTCGCTGCAGAAGCAGCAGCTGCAGAAGCAGCACTGGAGGCGACAGAGGCAGCCGGCGTCACCGGTTCTAGTCCTCTGGAAGGGGATTATGCAGAAGAGGAAGAACAAGAAGACGAGGAAGACGAGTCCAGCGATTGATGGCGGAAAGAGAGGGATGATCAGTTGAGCGTCTTGTCTGATGAGAGGCACGGGACAGAGGAGGTGTCGATGAGGCGATGCCTTTGTTGACAGAAACCAGAGAGCCGGCTGATGTTGCTCTCGCGAACGGTAGCCCGTCTGGGCGCTGGCGGCTCGCTTGGCATACGTGATTGCTATTCCACTTCTTGCCGGTTTCCTCTCTCTCCATATCTCATTTTGCCATTTTGCCATTTTCGCCATTTTCTTATTCTGTCTTTCTCTACGCTTTCTAGGCGAGTGTGTTTATGTGTTAATGGATGGAATGGGCGTTCCAGGGCATTGGATGATGGGCAATAAGAAGGGAGTCATGTCTTGGGCTCCTGTCGTCTGTCGATGGCAGGCATCGTCTCTCTTCTAATGGGATGTCTCGTATTTACTTGGTTCTTGGCCGGGCTACGTGTATGTGTCACCGTTTCCTTTTTATAGTCCTTACTGTGTGTTTCGCATTTTCGTTTCCAATACGGCTGCCACTGTAGACCAGCTCGCTCTTTCAGGTGTATCTGGTCTTCATTCTCGGCGGGGTTTGCTTTTCGCTCCTTAGCTGGTGCTGATCTAAAAGGGTTCCCAGCTGATATGGCGGCCTAGCTGCCATATTGAAAACTTGTATGATAGTCTTCCGTTGCTCGTATTTTCGAAAAGTTGTTCACTTGTGGCGAATGCTCACCGTTGAGCTCCAATCGAGGAGACCATGAACGATACTCGTAAGATACTACAGCATTTTCTACCTGAAGCCAATACACTAAAGGAACAGGTGGGACCCCGCTGCAGTTATTAATATAGCCTCGTATTAGTGGCTTGAATTAGATCCAAGCCGCTGGGACCCCATTATTCCGTATAAGGCACAAATAGTCCGTACACCACTTCTCTCTGCCTTTCCCCAAACGAGCAAAGTAAGCTACTTGGCCAGGTCAGATCGACAGACCGGAAAGAAAAATAAGGGTGAGGAGCGTCATTGCTTCTATATGCCCCTGTTTCCACTTCTTCGTCCGTACATCTCACAACTCCTAACACAAGCAATCTGGACGGGCTCCTATTAAAGCACAGTGCAGGATATTTCGCCCTCCACTTCTGCTCGCGTGCCTGTCAGCTCGGTTCTCCCCATCGCGACAACGGCCGTACGAAAACCAGCCTTTCCGAAAAGCACACTTCTCTCAGGCAAGCGACAACCGCAACAGTGCACACGAGTACACAGGCGACACAGCTCAAAAGCCCGGCTTGGACGTTCCTGAATACGGCCGCATAGGAAGATGACGGCGGCGTGCCGTATTGGAGCCTCTTGCAGCAACTGTCACGAGCTCCTCCACTTTCGGCTGATCGTGTAATACCCCCGCCTACTAGACGACACGCTGCAGATCCCTACGACAGGGCGAGGACCGGTCCCTGTTATTGCCCACCTACTCGTACATCAACGACTCGCGATCTGTTGACCATGGCGCCGCGACGAATCGTAAGTCAGAATGGTGTTTTCCGATGGCAAGAATCCCAACGACACATGCTGACAGGTAGATGCATCCCTAGGTTCGCACCGTTTTGCAGGTGGCAATAGCGGGCATCTTCACCTGCATCGTCGTATTCTTCCTCGATCGCAACTACCGCGTCTTGCCGAATGCCTTGCATGAATATCTCCCACAGCCCCATAATGGGCTCATCATCACCGACATCCGCATCACCAAGTGCTCCTCTCTCAATGTCTTTTCGTCGTGCACGCTGGACTCTGATGTGTGGCATCGCATCGAGAAGGACTTGTATCTGGGCAAGAGCCTGTCGCATGCGTATGTGCACATTCAGCGGAAGCGAGAGGAGGAGCTGCAGCCGGAGGACAAGATCGTCGTCGACGTCACCGTTGGAAGGCTCGACCCCGGGTCCAGCGACAAGGGACAGGAGGAGGAGCACTGGGACTCACGGGGTGCCGGCCTGTGGGTGAAGCGCACGGCAAAGAGGCGTGTGGCCGACACGAAGAGCGCGGTCACGGCCGTGGATGTGCTGTTCGGCGAGGATGCCGTGGAGGCGCGTGACGGCTGGGCCATCAAGGGCACGCCGCTGCTCCTGGACGGCAGCATGGTATCCCATGTGACCGTGCGCACTGGCAGCCACCACGACGTGAACAAGCCGCAGCTGCGCATCGGCGACAATGGCAAGTTTAAGATCGTGCAGCTGGCCGACCTGCACCTGAGCACGGGCGTGGGCCATTGCCGCGATGCCGTGCCAGACACGTACAAGGGCGGGAAGTGCGAGGCAGACCCGCGAACGCTGGACTTTGTGGCCCGCGTCCTGGAGGAGGAGCGGCCAGACCTGGTCGTGCTGAGTGGCGACCAGGTCAACGGCGAAACGGCTCCGGATGTACAGTCGGTGAGTTGGCCTGCTGGAGGAGGGACTTCTGCGGCGGAAACTGCAAAACTAACGATTTGCCGCTTCTATTTCGGGAATCTTAGGCCATCTTCAAATATGCACATCTCCTGATCAAGCACAACATCCCCTACGTCTCCATTTTCGGGAACCACGACGACGAGGGCTCGCTGCCGCGATCCAGCCAGATGGCGCTCATCGAGACCCTGCCCTTATCGTTGTCGGAGGCGGGCCCGGACAGCATTGCCGGCGTAGGGAACTACGTGGTGGAGGTGCTGGCACGAGGCGGCTCATCGCACTCGGCACTGACTATCTACCTTCTGGACACGCACGCCTACTCGCCGGATGAGCACAAGTACAAGGGCTACGACTGGCTCAAACCGGATCAGATCGACTGGTTCCGCCAGACGGCACAGGGACTGAAGAAGAGCCACGCCGAATACACGCACATGCACATGGACGTGGCATTCATCCATATTCCGGTTCCCGAGTACCGCGACCCGAACCTCTACTTCAAGGGCGACTGGAAGGAGCCCCCGACGGCGCCGGCGTTCAACTCCAAGTTCCGCGACGCTCTGGTGGAAGAGGGCATTTCTATGGTCAGCTGTGGACAGTACGTTTCTCTCCCTTACTCCATCTCATCGTGCGTCTCTTCGTTGGCACTAATATGCGGCACAGCGATCATGTTAACGAGTACTGCGCCCTATCCGTGGACGAAAGCAACCAGCCGAAGCTCTGGATGTGCTACGGCGGTGGAGCGGGTTTCGGTGGTTATGGCGGCTACGGCGGCTTCCTCCGCAAAATCCGGGTGTTCGATTTCGACATGAACGAGGGCCGGATTGCCACCTGGAAGCGGGTAGAGTATGGCGAAAATGTTGGCAAGCAGCTGGACGTCCAGATCATTGTGGATGCGGGCCGGCCTGTCCTGCCGGCTGAAGAGTGAGCGGCCAAAGTGAGAGCGTTGGGCAGGTCTGCTCATTTAGTACCCGTGCTGCTGTGTTCAACCGTCATCTCCTTGTCTCCCTTTTGGCGATCTCTTTCCCCGGCATTGCTTAGGCGTTTTGCCTTGGACTCTTTGTTCTACACTGCCCTCGTATTGCAATCTGCAGGTCGGCACCAAAATGGATTGGGTATGACTGTGTGTGGCACGTAAAAGGCCGAAAAGGTCCAGATAGGCTTTACCAGCAGTTGCGGCTGTTTAATACGAAAACGCGCATGCAGGGTGTTCGGAACATCTCGGTGAGCGCTACATAGAACAATTGCAGGTCACGAGGTAGAACCATACTATGTATCGGAGCCGAGAATAGAGGCTGATCTGTCGGCCCTGGAACGCGAGGGGTGACCTAGAGGAGTCCGTGCGGGTCTCTCAGGGGACTTTCCCAGCCTTTCCCTGCTGCCTGGCGGCCCAGCGGCTCTGCAGAACATACGGAGTACGGCGTACGGATGCCCTGCTATCTTTTCTTGCAGCGGCAGCATTAAAATAGTGATAGGCTGGTTTCACGCTAATTGGCAGCGCCGCTGCCCCTCTGCTACGGAGTCTGTAAGATATGGATACGACAACTCGTGTTTATCCTGGCCGCAAGTGGGCGCAAGAAGCTGGGCGGGCAGTGGGTGAAACCGCATGCGTCTGCTGCTGAAACTGTCTGGGGGAGTAGCACAGTGATGCGGGCGGCAAGAAAGCCATGTGCGATACTATCGTAACCTGCTGTCAGCCAGACGCAAGCAATACGGTCCAGGCGGGCCGCCATTAGTCAGGCGCTGCTTAGGCCTATACGTTCTGTTTCCGTACGTAGCTGCGAGCAGTTAGTGCAGTAACGCGTGCACTATGTAATCATTCCTTACCTTGTACTTCGTACATATCTTTCGTCAGGTTCGTCCAGTCAGTCACCTCTTTTGCCCAAACGTCGTCGTATCCACCGCCATCACCCACCTCCACCAAACACTCGCGGCCCCATCGTCATCAATGCCTGGACCGTTATTGACTTTTCTCCTCCCTATTCTTCCTTTTACCTCGCTCCTGTCCCAATCGTGATCCCGTCGTCAGACGCTGTATCGCAGCCTCGGCCCTTTTTTTTGTTTGTCTTTGGGCCTTTTGTTATCGCCTGGCCTCCTTGCATCGTCCGGTCTCTTGCTGTTCGACTTCTGCCCACCCCTGTCCTCCTATCGTGGATTTGTCGTCACGACTTTGCCTCTGCAATCTTCGCCAGTCTTCGACGCATTCTCTACGCCAGCCTGCCTCCTCTCCTGCGCCTCACGCTCACGCTCATCCTCCTCGTTAGAACTCAGTCTTGCAGACTCGAACATCTCAGCTCCTGCTTGCTCATCCTCGACCTTCCACTTGGTCCTGTTGTATCTATTCGCCTTATCTTCCGTCTGCCCTCCACGAGTCGCCAAGTTCATACAGGCCGGCGCTATCGACTCTTGCGACATCTATCTCGTGCGATTCGGACACGTCCATCTCTAGTTCTTCTTTAGTTTTGTTTTGTATTCGCCTTTCCGGATTCTGCCGCTTTCTTGTTTTGCCTTCCCCCCCCCCCGGACAGCTGTCTAGGGTCACCCGATTACCTCACAATCCGATCCGACGACCCGAATCGTCCGAATTACAACTCAGCAGGCACTGAGTAGTCATATTACAGGACGACACTGGTTCTCGTCGTTTCGCATCGTCCACTTCCGGCACCGGGCCACTTTGCACAGCGGATGAAACAAGTTATCGTACGGTGACGCTTCGCCGTCTGATTCTCGACATCCTTCACCTTGCTACGGTGACCTTTGCGAGATTGCTGAACATAATCGACGAGCCACAACGGACGCCCACGGATCCAAAACAGCGTCGGCACAATGGGTCTCGACGAGTCGCCAGATTCGAGCGCTGCCTTGAACGGACTTCTCATTGGGTTGCTTTCGTCCCTCGGCTCGGCTTTGGTTATCGCCCTTGTTTTTCTTGCCATCTACTTCTTCCGATGCACCGCTTCTGGTCGCATCTTGCTCGACAGAATTGGCCGCCCCGGCGAATATGACGACGAGCAAGCTTTTCTACGGGAGGAGGAGGAGGCCCTCGAGTCGATGGACGATTTGCAGCGGACGGAATATTTGAGAGCCAAGGGTGTGTCAAGCTGTGCCGTGCTTCTTTGTTGAGCTGTTGCTAACCCCATCTTTCTGTTTGGCAGCTTTTGTCACTGCAAATCCACCCGAATCTGTGCAGACAGACATCTCACTATCGCAGTACCTGGCCATTCAAGAAAAGGGAGTCTCTGCATGGGAGTTTGAGCCCGAGCTCGAAATTGCGAACTGCTTTGTGGAGGCCCGCACGGAGATTGAATTCTTTGACTCCGAATGCACTGTCATGTGCAATTTGCCCGTACCCAAGCAGAACGAAGTGTACTATTGGGAGGCCAAGATATTCGATAAACCCGAGAACACTTTGATCAGCATAGGCATGGCCACGAAACCATACCCTTTGTTCCGGTTGCCAGGTATGTCATGCTCGCGTCCGATTTGGAACAAGAAGTGCGGCTCCAACTAACATGTGTTCTTGCCATAGGCTTTCACAAATATTCTGTTGCGTACTTATCGAGCGGCCACCGCCGCAATAACCAACCGTTCTCTCCGTCTTCCTATGGTCCCCAGTATGTGCAGGGCGATGTTATTGGCGTCGGCTACCGACCGCGAACGGGTACGATTTTCTACACGCGCAACGGCAAGAGGCTCGAGGATGTGGCACACGGTTTGAAAACGCACAACTTCTTCCCGGCTGTGGGCGCAAATGGCCCGGCTGTTGTGCATGTGAACCTGGGCCAGGCCGGCTTCGTTTTCGTCGAAGCCAACGTCAAGAAATGGGGCTTGGCCCCAATGACGGGCTCTTTAGCGCCTCCGCCGCCTTACGGCTCTGAGCAGGGCAGCATTCTCCTGGAGACTGGCAGCAAAGACGGCTTCAGCAGCCTTCCCCCCCGCGGCCACGGACACAGCCAATCGGTCCACACGTACACCACCAACCGGCCGCAGATGCTCGATCCCGGCCATAGCCGATCAAGGTCTGGCACGTTCCGCGTGCTGCCGCCTACGAGTCCAGGCCCGATACGCAGCCCGACAGATATCTCTCTGGCCCAGTTGGTACCTACAGACGAGGCAGGCGAGGGCAGCAGCAGCATCACCACGGGTCAAAACGGGCCGTCAGTCGGACTAGGCCTCCAACATCCGAACAGCCCGCCACCGCCGCAGTACACGAGCCCTCCACAGTCGGAAGACGGCGACAGTCGGCGCAGCAGTACAGATAGCGAGGACGCTAGCCTATTGCGCGGCGGACGCAGTCGTGGCACGTCTTCTGCCACGATAGTCCGCGTGAACTCCCGGAGCGGACCGCCGATTCCGAGCTACCGCGATGCAGTACGCCAGGGTGCCGGGCGCGATCGGAGCGACAGCGCAGTGTCTGGCCGTTGAGAGTGCCTGGAGGGCGCGAGAGAGAGAAGATGCGAAACGGAAATCAAAAGTATAGCCAATAGAAAGAGTGGACAGCTGTGCGTACACACGTCCCTTTTTGGTGTGGAGGTTGGCACTGGTGCCATGTGGCAAAGTCCAGAACAATTTACAGGGCAGGACCCGTGGGACGAAACACACCTTTGCGGCTTCTACTGTACGCGATTTACGACACGATACCATTTTTTGTGCTTGCCTCTGTTCGAGGCTTTCTGGAGAGGCGAACGGCGACTGGGAGAGAGGGCGGCAGTGGATGCATTTACCGGCATTATCGGCGTCGTCTTGGCCAAGTCATGCACACAAGCCCTACTCACAAGACAGAGACGTACACACGCACGCGTGCACGCACACATGCACGCACGCACACACACACACACACACACGCATGACGCTGACTACAGCGTCCAGGGGATGATACTGGGCGACAGAGATCCAATGCGTTCGTTATATTTTTTTTTGTTATTGAAAGAGGGCGGGGGGAGCAGTAGTTTCTTTTGTCCATTCGATTTGGTTCCATCACGGTTTAGTGTTCATCCTGGGGTGCAAAGCATGGCGTCTTCTGGTGTTGTTTACACGAACCCTCACTGTCACCCATATTTTCCCTTGGATCATTAGTTTGCTGGCGGAGAAGTGTAGAGAAAGCAGAGGGGATGCCGGTCCGGCCAGCGTGGACGAGTATCGAAGCCTGTATTGTCGGTGCAGAGAAGAGCTGCATTCCGTAGTCATATATACATCGTTGTTCAATGAACTGCATGCAGACGCTCAGGCCGTGATGTGCAAAAAAAAAAAAAAGCTATCTAAGTAAGTTATTACTAGCTAAGTCTACGTATGTTGTCGTGATTTCCTCCACTGGTATTCGATAGTGTCAACATGCTTTTTTCTTCCAGTCCAATGAATCTTCCTCATATGCATGCGTATCTTCCGCTGTGATTGTCCTCCTCTTCTGCTTCCATCACTGACAACCCTAGAAAATCAAAGAACAAACAATAGAAAAACCGTATCCAGGATGCTCATTCCACCTCTTGCCAACACGTGCGGGTACTTTGGAGACGGGACGGAAAAGCCGCAGTGGCGCTATAAAACAAATGGCCGAAAAGCGGTCACGGGTTCGGGCGAGTTTTGAGTTCTGCCGTCTCAGACGCCGTAGCTGGTCCTCAGGACGGCCACGTCTTGCGGGTCAAGCTGGGCGAGGAAGGTGTCGAACTGGGGAATAAGCTCACGGTACCGGAAGAGGATCTAGGGAGTTAGTGCTAAGAGAAAGAAGAAAGAAAACGAAATAAAAACTCACATTTTGGAAAACCTCGTGCAGGTCCTGCTTGATGGGGTTGAGCAGGGCAATGTCCTGGTAGCGGGCAATAGAGCGGAAGTAATGCAGCAGGACTTTTTCCATGGCGGCCGGGTTGTGGGACACGACCATGGTGAAGCCCTTGAAAGCGGTAGCCTTCTCGTCGGTCGGATCGACACCGTCCATGGAAGCGAGAAAGTCATCGGCAAAGGTGTGCAGATGGGGCGCGAGGGCCTCGCTGCAGCCGAGCCCGAGGCGGCCGAGCGCAATCGCTGCGTTCTCGTTCACGCCACGCGGCACGTGAGGGTCCGTCAGGATGGCGACGAAGCTCTTGAGCAGCGAGTCGACGTGTGGCCGCATGCCATCGCCAAGCTGCACGGCCAGCTCGCCGGCGCTCCAGCAGGCGTTGTTGATGACGCTGAAGCCGCTGTCGGCCTCGTCGTCCAGCAGGCCGTCGACCTCGAGCTGGCGCACCAGGATCGGCAGCAGCCCGTCGGCCAGACAGGGTAGCAGCTGCGGAAAGACGAAGCGGGCGCAGTCGCCCAACACGGCGTAGGCCGACTGCCGCACCTCGTCGCTCGGATCCTCCATGCAGAAGCCCAGCAACTCAAAGAAGGCCGGCTGTGTGTCGGCCACCAGCGCGCCCGCCTCGCCGCCACCGGCCAGCGCCTGGATGATAGCACTGATCAGGTCCAGGCTCGTCACCAGAAAATCCTTGTCCGGCGCGTCGACGTGGCCGTTGGCTGCCGCCGCCAGCGCCTGCTCCAGGTTCTGGTGGATGATGGTGACGCAGCGCCGGAACACCGGCTGCGCATATGGCCCAAACACCGGCCCCAGCGACATGGCCACGTACGAGAAGCACTCCAGCAGTGGGAAGAGCTCACGCGACTCATCCGGCACGCTGTCGTATCGCCGGAACAGCGCCGGGATCAGCTGGCCTGCCAACTCTGGCTGGGCCAGCAGAGGCCCGATCGCCTCCGCCAGCGTCTGCACGCAGTCGTACAGGATGTACATGTTCCGGTCCTTGTACTTTTCAAAGCACTGCACGTACTGCTGGATGATCGGTCCTGCATACGGCTCCAGCGTCTTGCCGGCCTGCTCCTCCAGCGTGGCCATGGCCGATGCCGCCGCCTCCTGTACCTTCTTGTTGCGGTCCAGCATGTGCAGCAGCAGCCCGCCCATCATCGGCTCGAAAAAGGCCGTCGTCTCGGCCGGGTCTGGCAGCCCGGCTGCCCACAGTGCGTAGCGTGAGAGCGTCCAGCACGTGATCTGCCGCACCAGTGGCTCCGAGTCGTTCAGCAGCGTGATCAGGTATGGCACCAGCTGCGGCAGGTGTGGCCGTACTGCGTTCATGCAGCCCTCGGCCACGGCCCCGAGTGCTAGCACGGCTGACTCGCGCTGCGGCCAGTCCGCGTGCCGCAGGTTCGTCGTCAGATACGGCAGCACGCACTCGAACATGGCGTCTCCAAAGTCACGTGACAACACGTCCAGCGCCGCCGCACAGCCTTTGCGCACTGTCCAGCGTTGGTCGGCCTCGTCGTCAAAGAAACCGTTGTCGTCGTCGTTGTCGCCGCCTGCCGTCGACTCCTCATCGATCTCGCCCTCCTCGCGGTCCAGCTTCTGGTACCCGTTGCCGGGGCCACCGCTCATCGCCGTCGCCGTCGAGCCGCCGCCCGTCGTCGAAACGCGACCGCCGCTGCGCTTGGCGAACTGCGGCTTGATGTCCTCCTGTCGGTCGTCCTCGTCCTCGTCGTCCGACGCGCTGCCGTACAGCGCAATATCCTCGCCGCTATACACGATTCCCTCCAGCAGGGCTGGAATGATCTTGGGGATGAACGGTACCAGACTCCGCCAGAACGACTCGTGCTCGCCGGCCGACAGCCAGAACTCGGCCGCCTGGCAGGCCAGGTCCTCGTCCTCCTCGTCCTTCTGCTGTGTGATGATGTAGTCGACCAGCCCGGCCAGGTGCGGCTGCAGCTTGTCTGCCCGCGTCTCCACCAGATACACAAACGCCCGGCACACCTGCCGCCGCACATCGAAGCTCGGGTCCGGCGCCAGCGCAAAGAGCCGCTGCAGCAGCGCGTCGATGTTGACCAGCATCGCCTGCGACTTGTGCGGCACAAACTCGTTGATCGCCGTCAGCGCCTGCGCCCGCACCTTGGGTAGCGGGCTGTCACAGGCCTCGATTAGCTTCGGCAGCAGAAAATTGAGCGGCCGCTGCCCGTTCTGCTCGCGCTCCAGCAGGCTCGCGTTGTCCTCGCAGATCTTGGTCATGGCCGCCATCGCGCCCTCCTGTGCCGCCACCGACACCTGGCCCGTCGTGTTGCCCACCATCGCCAGCAGGTCGTTGAGCAGCTCCGGCCACGCGTACAGTCCGCCGCGGCGAACCAGCTCCGTTGCAATGCTGCCCGCGTAGCTGCGCACCTGCGGGCTCTCGTCCTGCAGCCCGAGCGGCACGGCTGCCTTGATCAGCGCCACGCTCGGCTCCAGCAGCTGCTTATACGACGTCTTGACCGTGTTCTTCAGCATGATGCCCGCCGCATATCGAACCACGTTGTAATCGGTGCCAGACATGCTGACGCCCTCTGGCTGTGCTGGGCTCGAGAAAATGCACGCAAGATAGTTGCTGAAGTCGGGCGAGCTCTTGGCTTGCGTGAGCATCTGCACGTGTCAGCAGACGCAAGACAACAAAAATACAAAGCAACCGGCCTTACAATCTCCGCCTGCTTCTGGGCCGTCAGGTCAAAGCCATTATGGGAGTCCTTGAGACAGCCAATGAGCGTCCGCAACGACTCTGGGGCCGGCTGCCATGCCATGGCGGTCGAGGCAGCGAGCGAGCCTGCTGGGGTCGGGTTGCTTGGGCTGGGGAGCAGACAACGCCTCGGACACGTCTCTAGTCCGTCTTGAGAGCCGGTTGCGACAAGTCGGATCAGAAAGACGGTAGGCCGGGAACCCGGCGACAAAGCAGCTCGCTGTACGGATCAGACTCAATAGAGGACGACAAAAGCTGCAAAAAGTCGCATGGATGGTGTGCTCGGTGCAGTCGGGAGCTGTGAAAGCAGAAGGCAAGAAGCGGAAAGCGGCTGAAGCTGCGCTCTGGCAACGGTGATCACAATGCAGAAAGCATAAATAAGAGTAGCATGCAGACTGTATGGCCGAAATTTCGACAGTGTCGAGTTAGCGGGGTCTAGTCCACACCATCACTGAACGGCTTTGGTGGGTGGAAGCAGCCCCTCTTTTATCTTGGGCTTTAATCAAACCATAACCGATTTTATCTTTGTTTTGCTGTGACACAAACGCCATCGCTTCGTACGAGACATGCAGCTTTCTCATTCTAGCCTCGCCCTTCTGGCGGCTGACCATGGCTTTCAATGCCAAGCATGACCTGTGTTCGTTTCACTGCACAGCTGCACACTTGAGCACCCCTTACTATCGAGCAAGACCCGTCTTCTGCCTGAAGGACAGGAAACAGTCCAGAGAGACATCGCTGTCGCTTGTTTGGTTGCCTATTTCTCAGGCAGCACAACGGCTATTACCAACGTGCCACGAAACCCCTGGCGAAGCAGGCCATGCCGCTTTCCGTCAATGATTCAGACCGCTTCACGGGCCGGATATGAATATGCTTCATCATCTGCTCATATGACCAACTTTGACCCTGGAAACAAAAAGCCACCCAGGCATCCATCCAGGCAACCGGCCTGGCTACCATGCTCATCTCTCCTAGCCTCGTTCTCACCCGTGCCGTTTGCCATGCAGCTGATCGGCTCGTACCCTGGCTGCGACCCGTGTTCGCCACTCAGCAGCCTATCCTGTCGTCTTCCTTGTTTCATTTCGTCGGACCGCTCGCGGGAACGCTCCCCTCATTTCGTCAGGTTGCCTCATGGTCGTGCAGTTTGGCTCTTCTCTCGGGACACGGCGCCCCACCCCTTTCAGACCACTGTACCTCCAATGATGCCGCCCGTGCTATCTTTGCTCGTCTGCCAATGAGGACAGACCGTTCGTTTGGACAGCCGGCTGGGACTTCGGCAGATATCCCGCCAGCGGGGTCACCACGGCCTGGTAGGCCTCTAGGATTTCTTCCACCGTGCCGCCTAGCCCCATGCGCTCAAGACTGATCGAGGTGGAAACATAGGCTACCATCTGCGTCCTCCTGACAATCAGCTTCGCGAGCCGCACCGCAAACTCAAGCGACTTCTCGTCGCTGTAGAGAGTCGTGCACAGCGGGTCGCCGGCTTGGTATCTCTGCTACTTGTCAGCGCAAAGGCAAGCACAGGGGGACCGGCCGGCATTACGTTTGGAAGAGCATAGACAAACGATCCCAGCTCGGATCGAGCGTGGTCTCCTTCGTCTGTGCCGGTCGTCGCCACCGACACCATCAGGCTCTTGGCCCTGCTCGTAAGGCGCACATGGAGCTCAGTGTCTTGTGACCGAGGAAGCAGCGTTGCGAAAGAGACCGTCGTGCTCTCGGCACTGCCTTGCTCCATGATTGCGGCTGAGATGTCGGATCGGAGATGAGAAGTGGGAGCTGACAAGGCCTAAAAGTCGATACAGAGATAGCTCGAGATGTGCCCCACAAACAAGCACTTTGCCGTTTTAGTTCGTCTGGCGGCTTCCCAGGGGAAAGGCACATACTACTCGCTCTCAGAACCGACATCGGAAGAATGCCTCAGAATTTTCCCATGGCGGGGTCCACGTGACCCCCAAAATGCACTATGCCCATCCCACTTCTTGAGTCAGAGTCGAGAAGCAACCCTCATTGCAAACCAGACTGATATCATTACCTTTGTGATCCGTTCAAGAACATATTCACGATGGCGTCCAAGAAGTACGAACCCTATTCCAGTAGCGACCATCGTCGTGATTGGGAGAGCACACGTGCTGACATCCGCTCTCTTACACAGGGTTCTTATGCTCGGTGCCGGCTTCGTCACGAAGCCGACTCTCGATATTCTCTCCCAGTCGGGTGTCACCGTGACTGTTGGTATGTGGAGCGATGGGCTGGTGGATGGACCTAGTGACTAACCTATACAAGCCTGCCGAACTCTCGAGTCTGCCAAGGCTCTCTCGGCCGGCGTCAAGAACGCCGTTCCCATCTCTCTGGATGTGACCGACGAGAAGGCTCTGGATGCAGAGATTGGCAAGAATGACCTCGTCATCAGCTTGATCCCCTACACCTTCCACGCCTCGGTCATCAAGTCGGCCATTCGCCAGAAGAAGCATGTCGTCACCACCAGCTACGTCTCGCCGGCCATGAAGGAGCTCGCCGCCGAGGCCAAGGCCGCTGGCATCACCGTCATGAACGAGATTGGCCTGGGTAAGATCCTGTCTCGTTATTTTGTGTTGGAGACAATGAGGCTAATTCCATCTGCAGACCCCGGTATCGACCACCTCTGTAAGTATCTGGCGCCGAGAGCTTGAAACAAAGCATGCGTCCATAGCAGTACTGACGTTTGCTTTCTTCTTATCAAGACGCCGTTAAGACGATCGAGGAGGTCCACGCTCAGGGCGGCAAGATTACTTCGTTCCTCTCTTACTGTGGCGGTCTTCCGGCGCCAGAGAACTCTGGCAACCCGCTGGGCTACAAGTTCTCTTGGTAAGAGACCATTCTCTGGAATCAGGTCACATAGACAGCATGATTTCGCTTACACTGGCCTCTAGGTCCCCCCGCGGTGTGCTTCTGGCCCTGAGAAACGCTGCTAGCTTCTACAAGGATGGCAAGGTTGTGAACATTGCCGGTCCAGGTGCGCATTGTCCCGGCACTGCTCTGCTTATTCTGTGAACTGACGTGCTCTCGCCTTAGACCTGATGGCCACCGCCAAGCCGTACCACATCTTCCCTGGTAAGAGGAGCCGCCAGAGCAGAGGTTTTCGCCTATGCAACTTGCCGTACTGACACTCGACATCTGAAGGTTTCGCCTTTGTTGCGTACCCCAACCGCGACTCCACCAACTACAAGGACCTCTACAACATCCCGGAGGCCGAGACTGTCATCAGAGGCACTCTGAGATACGCAGGCTTCCCTGAGTTTGTCAAGGTCCTTGTTGACATTGGCTTCCTCAAGGACGAGGAGCAGAGCTACCTGAAGGAGCCGATTGCCTGGAAGGAGGCCACGCAGAAGATCGTTGGCGCCCCATCTTCGGACGAGAAGGACCTCATTGCTACCATTACGTCCAAGACGATCTTCAAGGATGAGGAGCAGAAGGAGCGCATCCTGGCAGGTCTAAAGTGGATCGGCCTTTTCTCTTCTGAGAGCGTAAGCTTTTTCTGCCATCCCTCAAATACCTTTTCGTCACAGAATCACTGACATGATCCTTTATGGGGGCCTATAGACCATCCCGAGAGGCAACCCTTTGGACACGCTTTGTGCGACGCTTGAGAAGAAGATGCAGTACACCGAGGGCGAGCGCGACCTTGTCATGTAAGCTGGCACCTGCAGACACTGACAGCCCTGTTCTTCTGTGAGACGCCCTATCTAACAACCACATCAGTCTGCAGCACAAGTTCGAGGTTGAGCTGAAGGACGGCACCAAGCAGACCCGTACTTCGACATTGTGCGAGTACGGTGACCCGAACGGCTACTCGGCCATGGCCAAGCTCGGTGAGTAATCCTTGATCATACTCGAGACTTGGAGAAGTGGAGACTGACAGGACGACTTCAATCAGTCGGCATCCCGTGTGCGGTTGCTGTGCAGCAGGTTCTTGATGGCACGCTCTCCGAGAGCGGTGTTCTGGCTCCGATGAGCAGCAAGATCAACAACCCGCTCATCAAGGTGCTCAAGGAGGTAAGGACAACTACAAATGACTGCATCGTTCTGTGAGAGGCATACATACTAACTGTCTTTTTCATGTACAGAAGTACGGCATCGAGTGCAAGGAGGAGATCATTGCATAAATCAAAGTCATGTCGTGGTAGACACAAGACGTTAGGTTTACATCGGTGGGCTATAGATGGTGCAGGCAACAAGTCGCTAGATGGAGTAGGATATGGACATGGCTAGAAAAAAGTGGTTTTCATGAAAGTTGTGCACCGTATATTCTATAGACATCTAGCAGGTTATGCCAGGGCAGTGCACTTGATCTCTACGTCTGTGTAGTCCGGCAGGTTCTTAACAGCGACGCATCTAGAGAAGTAGGGGTTAGGAACAGCTTATGTCTGAGACAGGGGAGAGAGATGCTTACGTGCGTGCAGGCTTGACATCGCCGAAATACTGGATGTAGACTTCGTTAAGCTTGGCAAAGTCGTCGATATCAGCCAGGAAGACGTTGACCTCGACGACTTTGTCGAGACTGGAGCCCGCGGCCACCAGGACAGCCTCTAGGTTCTTTATGCATTGGTGCTGTCGGGCAGTGTCAGCAGAGAGAGGGAGAGGCCTTTGGGGTCGATTGGGGGTCTACATACAGTGCGGTCCTGGACCGTCCCAGAGACATATGTCCCAGTGGCATCTTTGCCGGTCTGACCGGAGCAGAAGATGAGGCCGTTGGCCTTGATTGCCTGGCTGTAGATTGGGGCGGGCGCAGGCGCCTTGTCAGTGCGGACGGCTTCTTTGGACATGGCTGCGGCAGATGTGTGCTTTGTGGGATGAAAATGGGCAGAAAGCAGGGGGAAGAGGCAGTGGCACAACTTATACGTGTACGAAGTTGCAAGAGATCGGCACGCTAATCTATATAGTAGTCGACGAGCACTGACCCCCACGCAAGACTGCCTGCCGTGATGCCCCGCAACAGTCGGCGGTACCGGTGGCCGAGTGGGTCGCAGCGTCCATGCCAGCACGCAAAGACGCACAACTCCGGAGGGCATCGGGGGTCAGGATCACGTGCCCAGAGTCACGTACTTTGGCGTAACCCAGCTTTGGAAGTGGAGGACTTCCTAATGGAACACTATTATAATCTAACCCTGCTTTCGGGAGAACTGCAGTCAATTGAGCGTTGAAGGCTACAACTGTTTGCGAGCATTCAGATATGCGCTCTTTACATCAACCAAGACAACAGCACCGATCATATATACAGAGTACAGAGTAGGTTTGATTGTTCGCCATGCAATATATCAATAGTGTAAGTATATTCCGCACTGTGATTTGCAGTATAATAGTTATGCGACGTTTATGTGTCTAAAAACCGCAAAGCAGACAGAGCGCTTCCATCATCAGCCAAGGTCCACCAGAAGCCGGCTTTTGTTCCCGCCAATCTCAAGATCGCTGTGCCTGTCCGACCCGTCACGACTGGTGCTCAGATAACGGCAGACCTGCGCCAAAATCCAGCCAATTAAGCTTTGACGCTATTACGCAATCCGCAATTGCTCTCCGATCGCATCGGCCAAGCTCTCCGAGTCACGACAAGACCAGCCCACCACCGGCTGTGCGGCCTTAAATACGGGCAGACGCTATTTTGAGGTCGTCTTGTTGACGGTCTGGTACCGCACACACACACACACACACTGTCTCCCCCTGTTTTCTTCACCATGAATTTGAATCCGGGCATTCAGATCTCGATCGATCGTGGCGGCACGTTTACCGACATCCACGCCTCAGTGCCGGGCCGCGACGATATCGTGCTCAAGGTGCTCTCGGTCGACCCGGCCAACTACAGCGATGCGCCGACAGAGGGCGTGCGGCGGGTGTTGGAGCTGGTGACGGGACGGCCGCACCCACGCGGCCAGCCGCTGGACACGTCGCCAATTGCGCGCATCCGCATGGGCACGACGGTGGGCACCAACGCGCTGCTGGAGCGCAAGGGCGCGCGCTCGGCCCTGCTGATCACCAAGGGCTTCCGGGACCTGCTGCACATTGGCAACCAGGCGCGGCCCGACATCTTTGACCTGACCGTGGCCCGGCCTGAGCTGCTGTACCAGTCGGTGGTCGAGGTGGACGAGCGGGTCACTCTGGAGGCCTGGTCGGAGAATCCTGCTGGTGATTCTGCTTCTGCTGCTGCTTCTGCTAGCGATGCTGACCTTCACATCGGCCTCACCGGCGAGCTTGTCCGCGTGCTCCGGACGCCCGACCTGGAGGCCGTGCGTGCATCGCTCGAGCAGCTCTGGCTCCAGGGCTTCCGCTCGCTCTCCGTCGTGCTGCTGCACTCGTACCTCTACCCGCTGCACGAACAGCAACTCGGCGCGCTCGCCCGCGAGATGGGCTTCTCCGTGGTCGAGTCAGCTGCCGTACAACCGATGATGAAGGTCGTGCCGCGCGGCATGTCGGCCACCGTCGACGCTTACCTCACGCCCATCGTGCGCGCCTACATCGACTCCATCTCGGCCAATTTTCAGGGCGGTCTCGCGGCCGAGGGCCTGCGCTGCGAGTTCATGCAGTCCGACGGCGGCCTCGTCGACTTTCGTCGCTTTGGCGGTCTTGCCAGCATCCTCTCCGGCCCGGCCGGCGGCGTCGTCGGCTATGCCCAGACATCCTGGGATGCTGATGCCCGCAAGCCCATCATCGGCTTCGACATGGGCGGTACATCCACCGACTGCTCTCGCTTTGCCGGCACCTACGAGCACGTCTTTGAGACCACGACAGCCGGCATTTCGATCCAGTCGCCGCAGCTGGACATAATCACGTGAGTTTGCGTCGCCCCTTCCTCTTTTGTCATTTCCTCTTGCTTCTCTTTCTCTCTTGACATCTCGTTTCTGCTCCCTCTTTCTTGCTTTCTCATATCCTAACAATACAGGGTCGCTGCTGGTGGTGGTTCCATGCTCTTCTGGCGCAACGGCCTCTTTGCCGTAGGCCCTGAATCTGCCGGGGCACACCCTGGTCCCGCATGCTACCGCAAGGGTGGCCCGCTCACGATCACCGACGCAAATCTCTTTCTCGGCCGCATCGCCCCCGAATACTTTCCCAAGATCTTCGGCCCCAACGAGGACCAGCCGCTGGGCACCGAGATCGTGGCTGCCAAGTTTGCGGAGCTGACGGAGCAGATCAATGCCGACAACCGTGCTGCCGGCCGTGCATCCTTCACGTCCGAGGAGGTGGCGCTCGGGTTTCTCCGCGTGGCTGCACAAGTCATGGCACGGCCGATTCGGGCTCTGACGGAAGCCCGCGGCTTCGACACTTCCGACCACATGCTCTCGTGCTTTGGTGGTGCTGGCGGACAGCACGCCTGCGATGTGGCCAAGGCCCTGTCCGTCACCGAGGTGGTCATTCACAAGTACTCGTCGATCCTGTCGGCCTATGGGCTCTCGCTTGCCGATCTCGTGCACGAGGAGCAGAAGCCGGCGGCGATCTCGTTTGAGGCAGCCAACCTGGCTGTGATTGGCAGCACGCTGGCCGAGCTGTCGGACGCGGCCATGGCACACCTGGTCAGCCAGGGCATCAATGCGTCGCAGATCCGTCTGGAGCGCTACCTCAACATGCGCTACGAGGGCGTCACGGCGGCCACGATGATTCTACAGGACGGAGAACACCAGGACGGCATCGAGTCGTTCCGAAAGCTGTTCGAAGAGCGCCATCTGCGCGAGTTTGGCTTCGTCTTTCCCGAGAAGCGCATCCTCGTCGACGACTACCGCGTGCGGGCAGTCGGCGTAGCCGCAAAGCACACAGAGAAGAGTCCGTTCCAGCAGGCAAAGGAGGCTCGTGCACGGCCGCCGGTGCAAGCAGCCAAGGCCGCAGCCACAGCTCTGGTCTGTTTCGATGACGGCACAGCCGGACAGCGGGTTCCGACGAATCTGTACCTGCTCGACCAGCTGCAGGCCGGCACGCACATTGCCGGTCCAGCCCTGATCCTAGACAAGACGCAGACCATCTTGGTGGTGCCAGGAGCCACTGCGCTCATCCTCGATAGCACAGTTATGATCGACCTGGCTAGCTCCACCGCGGCAGCGACAGCGACACCAGGGGCAGCAGCAGACAAGAGCGTGAACCCGATCCAACTCTCCATCATGGGGCACCGGTTCATGTCGATTGCAGAGCAGATGGGCCGCACGCTGCAAAAGACAGCGGTATCGACCAACATCAAGGAGCGACTGGACTTCTCGTGTGCCATCTTCTCGCCGGACGGTGGGCTGGTATGCAATGCGCCACACGTGCCAGTGCACCTCGGAAGCATGCAATTCTGCGTGCGGCATCTACACACGGCGTGGGCCGGCCGTCTAGAGGACGGCGACGTGCTGGTGGCCAACCATCCAACCAGCGGCGGGACGCATCTGCCAGACATCACGGTGGTGACACCTGTGTTTGACCAGGGCGAGATTGTGTTCTACGTGGCCTCCCGCGGCCACCACGCAGACATTGGCGGGACACGACCTGGGTCCATGCCGCCGGACTCGCACTGGCTGTACGAGGAGGGTGCGGCGATCTTTGGCGAGAAGCTGGTGAGCCGCGGACGATTCAACGAGGCCCGCATGGTGGAGCTGCTGCTGAAGGAGCCGGCGCAGCAACCGGGCAGCTCGGGCACGCGCAAGCTGAGCGACAACCTGTCAGACCTCAAGGCACAGGTAGCGGCCAACAAACAGGGCATCCACCTGATTCACGCGCTGATCCAGGAGAACGGGCTGGCAGATGTGCATCGCTACATGTATGCGATCCAGGACAATGCCGAGGAGGCGGTGCGGGCGCTGCTCAAGAAGATGCACGCATCAGTGGCGGGCGAGCCGCTGCGCGCAGTCGACTACATGGACGATGGGACGCCGATCGTGCTGACGGTGACGATTGACGAAGCGACGGGCAGCGCGGTGTTTGACTTTACAGGCACGGGGCCGCAGGTGTACGGCAACACGAACGCGCCGATCGCGATCACGCACTCGGCCATCATCTACTGCGTGCGGGCGCTGTTGGCGTCAGATGTGCCGCTCAACCAGGGCTGTCTCAACCCGATCGACATCCGGGTGCCGGCCATGTCGATTCTGGCGCCGTCGCCGTCGGCTTCGGTGGTGGGCGGCAACGTGCTGACGTCGCAGCGCATCACGGACGTGATCCTGGCGGCTTTTGGGGCCTGCGCCGACAGCCAGGGCTGCATGAACAACCTGACCTTTGGCATGGGTGGCCGACGGGTGGCGGCCGACGGCAGCGCGACAGTGGAAGCGGGCTTTGGCTACTACGAGACGATCGGCGGCGGAGCCGGAGCCGGGCCGACGTGGGACGGCACCAGCGGTGTGCACACGCACATGACCAACACACGCATCACGGATCCGGAGGTGCTGGAGAAGCGCTATCCGGTGCTGCTTCACAGCTTCAGTCTGCGACCAGGCTCTGGTGGTGCCGGGCTGCATCGTGGCGGCGACGGCATGGTGCGCGACCTGGAGTTCCGTATTCCCGGCATCCAGGTATCGATCCTGTCGGAGCGGCGGACACGGGCGCCTCGTGGTCGAGCCGGCGGCAGCGACGGCGCAATGGGCCGCAATCTCTGGCTGCGCAAGAAGGACGGGCTGGCCATCAGCCTTGGCGGCAAGGCGTCGGCGCTGTTCGAGGCGGGCGACCGGATCGTGCTGCACACGCCCGGTGGCGGTGGCTGGGGCAAAGCCGAGGAGGAGGCATGAGGGTTGTAGAGACAAATCAAGAGACTCCAAATCAAAGCACAAGGCGGCATCAATGGGAGTTTTGATTTTGGGCTGGCTGCACGTGATGTAAGATGGTTTGCACTCTTTGCGACACTCGAACGCGGGGCAAAGGCGGTGAAAGCTGCAGGCCAAGGCGGCAGGCGCAAAGCGAGTCAGGAAGGTACGACGGGCTTAGCTACTACCAATAGGGCCAGGCTGCCCAGGTCTCACCTCTTGGTGATAGCTGCTTGACAACGACAGAGCTGCAGCGAGATCTCTGCACGGCGACGCATCGACATGGCAACGACGACAGCAGCGGGCCCCGACTCGAGCTGGGAGGTGGACGACGCGGCCATCCAGGACCCCGAAGAGGTCAAGGTGCTCTTCTGCGCGCTGGACTCGTTTCTGTGAGAATGCGGTTTGGACCGTCTTTCTGTCTTTGCGGCGTCGACACTGACAGCAGTGGCAGACAATATGCAAAGGTGTCGCACTTCCACTGCACACACCTGCGGCGGCAATCGTTCTACGCGCTGTCGCAAGAGCACTGGCAGATGCTAGCAGCACCGCCGTTTTCGTATCTGGAGACGCTAGACCGGGTGGATGACGCGATTGAGAGCAACGCGGACCTGGCGCGGGCGATTGTGCGTTTTGGGCTGGAGTCGTTCTGTGGCGGACAGCCGCCAGGGCCGACCGAGTCGAAAGAGGCCCAAGAGGCCAGAGCGGTCAGCGAGAGAGAACCGTCGCTGCCAGCGCCATGGGCAGGTATAGCCAAGCATACGGATGTGGACAAGGCACGCAGCACGCTGCGGCAGTTCTACCGCGACTGGTCGGCCGAGGGAGCGGCAGAGCGCGAGCACAGCTACGGGCCGGTGATGCAAGCGCTGGCAGCGGAAAGGACGGAGAGGACGAAGCGAACAAAGAGTCTGGCGACAGCAGAAGGAGGAGCAGAAGGAGGGGCACCCCTGGAATCTCTGAAAGTGCTGGTTCCTGGGGCTGGCTTGGGTCGGCTGGTGTTCGATCTCTGCTGTGCTGGCTATGCAGCCGAGGGCAACGAGATCTCGTACCACCAGCTGCTGGCGTCATCATACGTGCTTAACTTTGCCCAGCGTGCCGGCCAGCACGCCGTCTATCCATGGGTGCACTCATTCTCGAATCACGGCACACGTGCCCGCCAGCTGCAGGCCTGCCGTGTCCCCGACGTGCATCCGGCACAGACGCTACAGACGCTACAGCAGACGGCCGGGTCCATGAGCATGTGTGCGGCCGACTTTCTCTGCCTGTACGGCGACGAAGAACACGCGGCCACGTTCGACGCTGTCGCCTGCGTCTTCTTCCTCGACACGGCCCCGAACTTGATCCGCTACCTCGAAACGATGTGGCACTGCCTCCGGCCGGGCGGCCTGCTCGTCAATGTCGGCCCGCTGCTGTGGCACTTTGAAAACCACGCACCAGGCAACCACGGCCGCGATGACGACGGCGACGGCGAGCATGATGCCGCCAGCTCATCCGGCATCGCCGATCCTGGCAGCTTCGAGCTGACTGACGACGAGGTCATGGCCCTGGTCGCCCGCATCGGGTTCCAGGTCGAGACCCGCGAGACCGCCCGCGAGACGCCCTACATCCACGACGACCGCTCCATGCTGCAGACGGTGTACCGGTCGAGCTTCTGGGTGGCGCGGAAGCCGTGGTGAGAGGAAAGACCGAGAAGGCTGAGACCGGAGACAAGGGTGAAAAGACGTGAAAAGAGAGAATACACGTGCTTGCTGAGTCATCCATGTATGAATTCCCGTGACTTGATCTATCCTGTGATTCTCATACAGCTACGGAGTATCTACCACGTCTTTGCTACCTCCCAGCCCTCCACCCCTACAGCTTCGACCAGTGCACGCTCAAAAGCTCGCCCTTGGCCCACATGGCGCCGCCGTCAATGGCCAGGGTGGCGCCGTTGACGTGGGAGCCGGCGGGTGCGCAGAGGTAGACGACGGCAGCGCCAAAGTCAGCGGGACGGCCGAGGCGGCGCATAGGGTTGGAGCGAGCGACGGCGTCGGCGCCACCAGGGGCCATATCGAGCAGGCCCTGGGACATCTTGGTGGGAAAGAAGCCGGGGGCGAGGGCGTTGACGGTGACATGGCGAGGGCCAAGGTCGACGGCGAGGTTGCGGGCGAGATGGATGACGGCCGCCTTGCTGGCGCTGTAGCCAAAGGTAGCCTGAGGACCGAGCGAGCCGAGACCGAGTCCAGCGACGGAGCCGGTGACGAGGATGCGGCTGGGCGACTCGACGGAGCCGCGGGCCGCCAACAGTGGAGCAAATTCGCGCACTGTGTTGAACACGGCCCGCACATTGAGGTCCAGTACCTTGGCGATGGCCGCGTCCGAGTGCTGCTCCAGGGCTGCGCCCCAGGTGGCGCCCGCGTTGGCCAGCAGGATGTCGATACCGTCGGGGCTGTCGGCCTGCACCGCCGCCAGCAGTGTCCGCACGCCGTCCATCGTGGCCACGTCCGCCGGCACCGAGATCGCCCGCGCACCCGGCTGCAGGCCCGACAGCCCGTTCAGCGCTGCCGCTGCCACCTCGCAGGCTTCCTTCTTGCGCGACGACACGTACACCTTGGCGGCGCCGGCCTGTAGCAACCTGTCTTTGTTAGCACGTGACCGTGAGAGGCGAGACCGGCACTGCACCACTGCAACACAGCAGCACAGCAGCACAACTCACGCAGAAGCCGCGCTCAGACCCAGTCCCCGGGAGCCGCCCGTGATCACGGCAATCTTGCCCTTGACCGAGAAGAGCGACTCGGTACTCGGTATGTTGATGTCGTAGTCGGTCATCGTGACGGATCGCTTGGACAGTTTGGGCGCTTTTCTTGTCTCTTTCTTTCTGTTGCTTCCGTCTCTTCTTTCTTTCGCTGGCTCTCGTTTTCCGCTCTCACAATTCTCCTTGTCGCTTCTTCTGTCTTATTGTAGAAGCTGTCGTCTTTATCTCCTCTAACCCCCCGCAAATCACCTTAGCGTCTGCAGTTGCCGAGGCCCAGCACCCCTGCTCACTAATCTGAGACAACACACGCTACTGCAATCGCTTACATAAACCCCGGACGATGCGTGGATTCAAACTTACCACCGAACGTACGGAGTACTCTGTACTCCGTATGTGAATATATTATGAACGCTATCTGCAATTACTGCTCTCGTGCCGTTCCCGTTTCATGCAAGACGTCCCTCCGCAATCTCTCCCTCTCATTCTGCTGCTGTCGTCACCTCTGGTGTAGCTGCAATCCCATCCATTCCCGTACTGTCGCCTGTGACCTCCGCTTCCTCTACATCTGCCCCTTCCGCCGCTGCTGCTGCCTCTGTCTCTGCCTCTGCCACTGCCGCTGCAGCTGCAGCCTCTGCTGCATCTCGTTCTGCCTGCCGCTGTCGCTCTGCTTCCGCCTGCCGTTGCTCCACCAACGCAACATGGCGCTCGGCCACCCCCGGCGCGAGACTGGCCAGAAACATTATGCCCACCCGCTCCGCACGCCGGATCTGTTCCATCAGCCAGTCTCCATTGGCCTGTCTCTGTTGCCCCACTAGTCGAGCAGCCATTTGCGCCGGGTTCGGTTCTCCACCTGCTCCTCCACCGTTGTTCCCCGGCACAACAGCCGCGGCCTGCTGTCCACCCGCCGGCTCGTTCACGTTGGCACCCGGTGCCCTGCCGACGTTCACTGCTGGCACAAGACCGTCCAGGTGGCGGCGAATCGGCTCCCATACATGGTTCGCCGCTCCGTCCAACATTCCCGTGTTAGCCACAAACATTGCCGTTGCGAGCAGTATAACCATCGACCATCGTGTCCAGCTCGCGTCAGGCGACGTGAACCACCAAACAAACAGTAGCAGCCGTGCGACGAGCCATATATGGGGCACCATGGCTGCTAGCATGCCGGCTCCAGGGTTGTTGATCCGCATATGCGCGCCCTGAAACATAAGTGGGTTGACCACGGGCCCATTTTGCCCATTTTGCTGCTGCTGTTGCTGCTGTCGCGGATGTTGTGGCTGCTGCTGCTGCTGCTGCTGCTGCTGTTGTTGTTGTTGAGACATATACTGCTGGTAGAGTTGATGCCGGCCCTGGTCGAACTGCAGCTGTTGCAGCTGTTGTTGGTTCTGCTGCAGCATGTGTTGCAGATGCAGGTTCCGTTGGTGGATCTGCTGAATCTGGAGCTGCAACCCTTGCTGCTGCTGCAGAACATATGTAACAAGCTGGTTATTTCGGCGAAACAATTGCACCCACGTTTCGCCGGAACTCAGCGTGCCAGTTCCCTGGTTGCTAGCAGCCGGAGCAGACGCATTCCGCGCCAGGTACAACTCTGCGTCGCCATGGACCAGAAGAGCCCTTGGCCCCGCAGGAGACGACAGGATGTAAGCCTCCTGCGGCTGTGGAGCTGCAGCTCTCGCCGGCAAATTGGTTGTTGTTGAATAAGTAACCGTATTACGCCCGCCGGCATTCTGAACCGTCACGTTTGTCGTAGTGAACAATCCCGCCACCTCGGCCGCAGACGGCTGTCCTTGCTCCTGGGAAGGATGGCCTCCGGCCGTCTGGCCGTGAGCAGTAGGGGCGGTATTGTGAACGGGCTGGCCTGGCATCCCCGGTGACCACCGCTGCTGCGACGGGGTGGGCGCGGGCATGGGCACGCCTTGCTGCATGTTGTTCAAGGCCGAAAAGTGGTGCATCCAGCGAGCATTGGCAGTGGCTGCAGCCGTGGCAGCAGCAGCTGCAACTGCGGCTGCCTGTGCCTGTGCCTGTGCCTGGTTGGCCACATGTTGCTGGTGGCTCAGTCGAGGGATGGTCGCTGTCGGCGGAGCCGTGGCGGCGGCTTGGGAGGATGGAGCGGTCGGCATGGTCGAGGCAGGCTGAGCAGTCGAATTGCTGCCAGGGTCTCTGAGAACAAGATGCACAGCCAGTGCGCCGGGTTCCGGGTTCTAGGCAAGTCAGCAAGACGACTTCCAGCCTTGGAAAAGCTAACGGCAAGGTATCTTATCGTACCGGGCCAAACACATCTGCCAGGGTTCTGGCATCGCCTTCCAGGACTCGTCCTCGGTGGATGAGGCGCATTCCCTGCCACGAGCGACCACGAGTGGTCACCTCCTCCTGCACGCGCTCCTTCAACTGGCCGATCGTGGTAGACGCCGACAGGCCAGCGAGAAGAGGAGAGTCTGCCGTCTCCCATGATGGTGAGATTAGACGCAAATCGACCGTCTGCTCAGCCGACTTTTCTGTCGGGTCAGCCGGGACAGCTGCGGGAGCTGCAGATTCGACCATTGTGGAAATCGAGGCAGAGACCAGCCGCCGTCGACGAGTGTTAGGCCAGCTCGAGAGCCAAGGCCAGACGACGCAAAAGCAGTCCCGGGCCTGCACGCAGAAATGGAAGAAGACCGATTGTCCTCTGTCATTCGAGAAGAAGTGAGAAAAATACGTTACAAAAGACGAGGTGAAAATGGGGGGGGGAGGATGTAAACGAAAAAGGGAAGGAAAAGGCCACATGCAACAGCAAGCTGACAGTTCAATAATAGTGGCAACTATTGAGACAGTCGCGGCTTCCACGTTTGGATTTCGCCAGGCCGCGCACGTATTGCTGGCAGTCTTCCCTGCAGCACTCCGTATTAAGTACAGATACTTCGGGAAGCCAGCGGCTCCAGTGCCGCTGTATGTAAAGGTACTCTGTACAGCTTGAAATGGCACCAAGAGACGGAGCTCTAAACGGATACGGGATTACTCGTGGCAAATTAGTGCCATCCGGCCCACCGTAACCTCATTAAAACGGTGCAAGGCCAGGCTTCCCCGTTTTGTCCCTTTTCTGTGCAAGTTCAGCAGCAAGATCCATGAAGCAAGCTTTTTGCTGCGGTTGCAGGACGCTCCAGACAGCTCGACTGGCCGGCACGTTGACTGCAGCCATTCGCACATCCCTACTGCTGCCTCGATTGGGGCTTCTCCGCACAACCGGCACGATGTCGACGACGCCAGGTCGCCTGGGCTTGCATAGACGCAGCTTTTCCAGGAGCAGCCTCAGCGTGTCTGAGCGGCAGATTCTCCTGGGAACACCGCTGCGACCATCACTCTCCTCTCGGCCTTCGACTCCGCCGTCACCCATCCGGCTCTTCTCCCAGCAGCAGGGCCCGCGGCGATCACGCTTCTCGACCCGTCTCCGCAACGTGCTGAGAAAATCGAAATTCCGCTGGCACCGGATACCTGTCGGGCTGGGCATTGGCTTCCTGGGCATCGTCCAATTCTACAAGGTGTCCCGACGCAATGCCGAGAAGGACGAGCGGGACCAGGACGCCGGTCCTGCGCCTGCGAAACGGCCACGTATAAGGCCAGAAGGGCCTTGGTAAGCGGAAAGAGAAGAGCGGCGGAAGAACGGCGGAAGAACGGTGGAAGAAGGACCGGCAGCTAACAAGACACAGGCAGGTGCGGGTAATGTCTACGCTGCCGCTCAAGGCACTGTCCCGTCTCTGGGGCCGCTTCAACGAGCTCACAGTGCCATACTATCTGCGGGTGCCAGGGTTCAAGCTCTACAGCTATGTGTTTGGAGTTAAGTAAGTTTGAGAGAGAGAGAGAGAGAGAGAGAGAGGAAAAGCCCGTCTAACAGCCGACAGCCTGAGCGAAATCGAGGAGGAGGACCTGCACAAGTTTCCGAATCTGGCGGCATTCTTCTACCGCACCCTTAAGGATGGAATGCGGCCGTTGCATCCGAGCCACAACGCGCTGTTGTCGCCATCAGACGGGCGAATCTTGCAGTTCGGCACGATTGAGAGCGGCGACATTGAGCAGGTCAAGGGCATGACATACAGTCTGGACGCGCTGCTGGGCAAGCATACGCCGACGCCGAGCATCGCGAACGGACAGTCAAGCGCGAGCCGGAAGAGCGCGGCGGCCGCACCGACGGCAAGCAGCCACGGCGAGACGTCGGTGCACCCGGACGAGGAGTTTGCGCGGGTCAACGGGATCCCCTACACGCTGCCGGAGTTGCTGTCGGGCGCGCCGATGGCATCACAGCAGCCGAGCAGCGGACAAGACGAAGTGGAAGACCAGTCGACCGGGGCAGCCGCGACGTCAGCCGTTTCGGAGGTGCAGGCCGATCTCGACGTGCCGTGGCACAAGCAGCTGCTGGCACGCGACAGTCGGACGACGCTCTACTACGCCGTCATCTATCTGGCGCCCGGCGACTACCACCGCTTCCACTCGCCGACCAACTGGGTGGTCGAGCGGCGACGCCACTTTGCCGGCGAGCTCTACAGCGTGTCACCGTATCTGCAGCGCACGCTGCCCGGCCTGTTCACGCTCAACGAGCGGGTCGTACTGCTCGGCCGCTGGCGCTGGGGCTTCTTCAGCTACGTTCCCGTCGGCGCCACCAACGTCGGATCCATCGTCGTCAACTTTGATCGCGAGCTGCGCACCAACAGCCTGACGACCGATACCGCTGCCGATCGAGCTGCCGAGGACGCCGCCCGTCGTGGCGAGGTCTATGCCGGCTTCTCCGAGGCCACCTATGCGGCCGCTAGCCCTATCCTGCACGGCTATGCCTTGCGGCGCGGCGAGGAGATGGGCGGCTTCCAGCTTGGCAGCACCGTCGTGCTCGTCTTCGAAGCCCCCGTCCAGACTACCGCCGATAGCGCCACTGCTACCGCGCCCGCCCATGCCGGCTGGCGTTGGGCCGTCGAGAAGGGCCAGACGGTCAAGATGGGCCAGGCTCTCGGCTTTGTCGACGAGTGAGGCCGAAGACGGAGACGGAGACGGGGCTGAACAGGAGCAGCATTGGAGTCTGGATCATCGGGAAAAAACATGGCTAGATTTTTTTCAACAAAAATACGTAAGCGAGCGCATAATATTTCATCACATGTTCAACAAAATACAGGCACACGGGGTTGTCCTTAGTCAGCCAAGGCTTGTGGTTGTCATGTGATTAGCTTGCCGACAGTAGACGGACACGTAGCAGTCGTAGAGTTGATTACATTGTAATTGGGCTTGCAAGCTTCTAGTCTAGATCTAGCTGGAGACAAGCACGGAACAAGCTTACGCGCCGTACACCTTGTAGATGTCGGCAATGGGCTTGAACTCCTTCGGGCCAGCCTCGGCGCCGCGACCGCCAAAGACCAGCTGGGCGTTGAGCTTCCAGGACGTCGGGACGTTCCAGGTCTCGGCCACCTTGGCGTCAATGAGGGGGTTGTAGTGCTGCAGGTTGCCGCCCAGACCCTCGGCCTCGAGGGCGGTCCAAACGCCGAACTCGAGCATACCGATAGACTGTGTGGCCCAGGCAGGGAAGCGGTCGGCGTACAGGGCGAACTTGGTCTGGAGCTCCTTGACGGAGGCCTCGTCTTCGAAGAAGAGGACCTATTCCGGTCAGCCGTGCAGCAGAAACAAAAACAAAAACAAAAACAGAGTAGACGTACGCTGCCGGCAGCACCCTTGAACAGGGCCAGCTTGCCAGCGGTGGCCTCCCAGCCGTCAGCAGGCACGATGGGCTTGAGCACGTCCGACGTGATGTCCCAGAGCTTCTCGTGCTCGGCGCCGAAGAGGACGACCACCCGGTTGGACTGCGAGTTGAAGCTGCTGGGCACCTGGGCCAGCGCCTCCTTGACAATCTCCTGCACCCGGTCCTTGGACACGGTCAGGTCCTTGGTGAGCACATAGTAGCTGCGGCGCTCCTTGAACAGCTGCAGCAGACCGTCGGCTTTGTTGGTCGCCATTGTGCGGGTAAAGGTGCGGATGTGTGAGTGGACAGCGGTCTTGGGGCTCGCGAGCGTGGCAGAGATGTGTTGGGAATAGAGAAGCTTGGAGCAAACAGGTCGGGCCATCGAACGAAGTACGCTGGGTATCATGGTTTTTATATTGCGGACCACAAATCAGCTCTGCTCTTTATCATGCGCAATACTACGCTGAAATGGCGGGAGCCCTACAAGTGCAGATAAGTGGAGGCGAGGAGGGGGTGAAGAAGCGGATGCGGACGCCGGCGGACGGACGTAAAGTACTGGAACCGCTGTTTCATTCTCCCGGCTTCTATCTCGCATCTTACCTAATTCTTCGTAATCCTTGATGCCGGTCCATTCCTGCACCGACTAAAAGTCCCCGACCGGACCAGGTACGCATAGCAGGCCTTGCTGAATGTCACGTGATGCGCGTGTCTTTCGCTCAATGTTGGAGAACAGCAATACATTCATTAGTCCTAAACGCCCGGTCTACTCCGTACCTCTGCCTTTTTCTATATTGCATGCGGGGTCCAACCTTGGACGCACACCTGTTTCTGTGCCGTGAATCGATGCTACAGCATCTTTTTCCAACCGTCATATGTGAAAACCCCAAACTCTGGAGGACGGAAAAGGTATATAATGGATATCCAGAAGCCTGCAGACAACCGATCACCATGTCTCGGCAATGTACTGGCCCACCTCCTGCTTGAGCTCCCAGAACTTGCGCGCCTCTTCACGGTCCAGATTGCCCTTCTGCATGGCCACGTCGATGAGAGCCTCATGCACGCCCTCGCCCATGCCTCGACTGCTGCCACACACAAACACGCGGCCGTCGACCGAGTTGATCACGAACCAGACGAGGTCCGCCTGGTGCTTCACCTCTTCCTGCACGTACCGGCCCGTCCCCCGGCGGCTCTCCACCACGCGCTTGACCTCGTCCTCGTGCACACCCCACTCGCCGCTGTAGAGTTCGTCCACCAGCGAGTCGCGCACGCCCTGCAGCACCCACACCTTGTTAGCGCAGTTGGCCGTCTTCAGCCGCCGCTGCACAAAGCCGCGGAACGGCGCTATGCCGACGCCGGCACCAATCAGCAGCATCGGCCCGTCAGGCACAAACTGCTTTGCGAGCGGGTTGGCCATTAGACCCTTGAACATGGGAATGCACAGCTCGGGCTCCTCGCCGCGGCTGCGCGCTTCCAGGAAGCGCAGAGCCTGGCGCTCAAAGAAGCCGGAGCCGATGCCTGTGCGCTTGCCACAGAGCCAGTCACTCGACTCATGAACGGTGACGGCGATCTCAATGACCCGGCGCGTGCTGCTGCCCTTCCCCGCAGAGGCCGCGCTTTCATGGGGATCGTTCGAGAGCGAGTAGAACCGAGGCATCTGCGGCTGCAGCACGGACAGCAGCAGATCCAAAGGTGGTCTCGCGCTGGGGAATGCACTGAGAATCTGCTCGAGCGACACGTGAGGCCCTGTGCGGAAGTCGCAAAAGGCACCCTGGCCCTCGGCCGAACAAAGATATAACAGCACCTTCTTCTCATTCTCGTTGGAGGCGTACTCGGCCAAAATGCGCAGGAGAGCCTTGGTCGGGGGGTGCGATTGCACGTCGGAGCACCAGGTCAGCAGGTCGCGGCGGGTCGTGACAATCTCGCGCGCCTTCTCTGCGCCCCAGACTGTAGGCCAACGTCCCGTAGTAGTGCGCAGCAAAACCGGCTTAGTACGCAGAAATCGGGGCACCATCAGCAGGTCCAGGATCTCATCCACCAAGGTAGAGTCGTTCGGGGCCATCACGCCAATGGCACCGCCAACCTTGAAGTCAATGTTCTCGCCCTTCGGGTACTCGGTGACGTCGAGATCAAAGTGGTAGGTGCGCTTCTCCGCGCCAGGTCGTGTAAGCTCGCGTGTGTTGTGGATACGGGCCGGGAAGACATGGAACGGTGGGTGCGGCTGCACAAAAGTGGGCGGCTGGACGGTCGTGTCCAGGTCGGATAGGTCTTTGGCCATATCATGTATGGACAAACCCTTGGGACTCTCGGCCGTGGGTGCTTGTGTTTCCGACGCAGTGGCAGTGGCCAGTACAACCTCCTTCTCCTTGTCCAAATCTTCTGTGGTCCGCTGACCGACCGGCAGAAGAAAGGTTGTCTGCTCTGAGAGTTCTGTGACGTTGTTGAGGATAGTGGGGATCTCGTCGTCGATCTTCAGCTGCAGGGAGCGAAATGCGACGTTCTCGGGAAGCGGGACATGCTCGTACTGCACGCCGTCCGCCTTGGAGTCGAGCTTCATGCAGCAGCCACCGCCACAACACCGGTTGATTAGCTGTGTGCTGGATTCGCCGGTGATGCGCCGAATGTCTGCTGCATTCTGGGCAATGAGGCGTGTGGAGGCCCGGCGCCGGCGTGGCGTCGCCAGAGCGCCATCGTCTTCGTCTGTAGGGCTGGAATCGTCAATGTCCCGCTCGTCTCCCGAATCAGAGTAGGTCAACGAGGGCGCAGCAGAAGGCGTCCGCCGCTTGGCAACGTGACCGTCATTGGCGGCGGCAGCGGTGGCCGTGGCAGCCGCAACGGTAGCGGCCGCCTCTTCAGCGAAGATCTCGCTTAGACGCGTGCGGGCGATGTCGGTCGTCATGGCGATATAGTCCAAGACAGGCTGTGAGGCGTGACGAAGGAGAGAGGCAGCGAAACAGAGGTGGGGATGTCGACTGGGCGAGACCAGCAGCGAGGCGCTCGGCCAGAGGGGAGGACAAGACAGGAGCGAGTCGAAGGGATATGGAAGGTGTGCAAATGAGTGGAAGTCGGCTCGTCTAAATCTGCGGACGCATGGCGAAGTCGGTCGAGGCAAGAAGAAGAGCAAGGCTTTGATAGGAAGAGGGGAAGGAGAAACAGAAACAGAAACAGAAACGGGACGAGGGCGCGGTGATGCCAGGATGAAACGGATGGAGCACGACGAAGAGGGACCGGCGTAGTAGAAATAATGAGCTGGTAACCTCGAGCGAGAGAAAGGGGAAGGCCAGAAAGCCAGGTTGTTTTCGAGATAAAAATCACCAGGTAAGTATGAGTAGTCAATAGTGGAGATGCCGGTTATGGCAGGGGAGGGCGGAAAAAAACCCTCTGTAAGCGTCCTTCCGATTCTGGCCGCAAATTGGGCTGCTAGTCGCAGCCAGTATGCTGCACAGTGCTCCACAGCCCCAGAGCATTGCAGAACCGCATGGAGAAAGCGGCAATATAGTAAGATAGCATGGTATCTTGGCAAAGCGCGTCCATCTCCGGCATCCGATTAGGTACTGGCGGTGCCTTCGCCACTTTCGCTAACAAGCAGGCTTGGACGGTAGCTTTGTGGAAAAAAGCAGGTATGTAATTGCTCGCCCACCAACAGCGCCCAAATCTGCCGGCATCGCAAAACCCCTGCGCCGCTGCTCTCGGACAATACATCACGTGTTTTACGAGCACAACCCGGAAAATTGTTTAGGACGCTGCGTGTGTCCTTTCTCTCCGCAATCCCGGCTCTTGCAAAAAGCGGTAGCAAAGGATTGGCCACGGCCAAGAGGAGCTCGCAATTGAAGTTTGGAATGGTCTAATTAGAAAGGAGACCTTGCCACTTTTTACTTACGGGAAATGTCTATTCCGTTGAGCCACCGGTTGTCAGTCAATTCTCCACATTTCATCAGGACATACTGCCGTTTAGTCTCGGTTCTTATCCCCCCACCGGCTCCAGCTCTACGGCGTATGTGACTCTGCTTCTTCATTCAATTTCTTTCAGGTTGCACCCTTTTCGACAGTTCGGCAGCGCCCACACAACCGGGCTATGCCATTGGCCCTGCTTCCAGTTATGTCTGGGTCGAAGATCTGCTCGCAATGTTCAATTCACTCATGACGACAAGCCCATTCCGTTTGGCGTTTGCTGCCGGCCGTCTCCGACCTCGGCTAGCGAGCGCCGCTTTTCTTGGTCAAGCCAGTGTAAAGCTGACAATTTGCATACGGTGTACCTGTGGGTGGGCCTTTTGTCCGTTTCGTATGAGGAGCCGTGCTGTCTCGATTAGATGAGATAAGATTTTGTGTCTTTCTCCTCGCATATATGTACAGGAGTACTCTGCAATACGGCTTGTCAGAAAAACTATTCAAGACAGCATTGCCCTGAGTACACTGAGCACATTATTGACTATGTTGCACTATTGCCCTACTTTTCCAACCATCTCCCTGACAGCGCCAAGTCCACACACATAGTACGCGCCCAATGTTGTTCACCTACGATCTGATAACGACATTCGTACGAATGTGGATAGAAACGCATCCCGGGGATGTTCCGCTCTCGCATTATGGGCCTTGTCCACGCGTATGTTAACTAACAACACCTTGGTAAAATTGGATCGTGTCCTTTTTTCCTCTTTGACATTAGTGCTGCTTGCCTGTTGCATGTACCCGTACTCCGCATGCCTGGCTGCCCAACCAGATTGCTCACCGCGATAATTAATTTCAATTTTTATTGTCAGATGATCTGATAAGACTCGTTGGATCGCTGCAGGCTTATATATCAAGTTGCTACTGTATGTACGGAGAACAACTAATGTTTGAGCATTGTGTCGTATCTCTAAATACATTGGCGAGGGAACATTGACTATGGATGCTGCCATCGCCTCCATGCCCTTCTCCATACACATGTAGACATTTACATTGCAGCCATCCGGTAATACATACGGCAGTACGGAGTATGGGTGGTGCTAAGTGCATATTATGTACTGGCCCAATCTTATCGCCACAACGATACATACGCTAATCTGGTCGCACATACAATTAATCTACTCTGAGCAGTGATACGCACAGGGCGACGTGTTTACCCCAAACTACTCGTACTCGTACTCGTGATCATCATCATTTAAAAGCATTGGCACGCTTTTTTTTCCTGGTTTGACTGGCTCTTCGCCTATCCCAATAGCTGTACGGAGTAGCCTGCCGGTTTTCTCTGGCCTTTTCGGGCATGCCCAGGGGCTGTTATTGCAACAGGGTTTCCGTACTCGTAATTTTCCCAAATAGAGGCGTCATACGAGCCGGAAGTCTACTTTCCAGAACGCTGAATTTTAATTTTTTGGGATCAACTGGTCTAAACCGTCTGTTTTGAGTTCAAATACATTCATCTGCCTTCCATCCCTAGAATGGTATGAAATTTCTGCATTCTCTCAACTCCTTCTCATCTTCTATCAATGCGTTACATGTCGCTATGTATGGAACTTTGACGCCCAACCGTTCAGGTTCATACAAAGGCAGGATTTAATTGTATCGATGCCCGATCTGTCAGTCTTTACCTGCTTGACGCTTAAAATTTGGCAAGACTAGCTATCGGCCGGCATCGGGTGCATGGGTGAGTGATGAACACAAAATTGTACTGTGAGCGAGTAGGACTGTATCTTGATATGGTATTTTGAACTCTGTGGATGTCTGCAGAAAAAACGGTGTAACTGTGCTCTCAACCGATCCGAATGGACCCGAGATACCCGATACCGCTTCCTGCGTATTCTTTAGTGGTAGGAAGAAGTCGCTTATTGTAATACACCTGCTGGTTATAAACCTAGCTCAATACTTTCAAGAGCGATCATACGGTTTGGGAAACGACGTGTGCTTGTGAACAGCAAAGTTCAGGGAAGCAGGCCGAGGCAAAAAGTATGAGTAATGCCATCTACTCGGTTCTTGATCAATCCCGTTGCCTCCCTCGTTCGTGGCCGTTATCCTTAGCTCGAGAGGGAGCAAGATTAGTCGTCTTACCTCAGTAAAAAAACATACTAGGCGATGATCACAGAAATAGCAGCTCGTGCCTTCCTGCTTCTTGCAGAATACTGAAAATGTCCTGCGCCCCTTCCTTTGCGGCTTTTCGTACACAATATGACAAGCAATGCTTGCAAATAGAAAGAGTCATGAAGATGTCGAACCATGCTTTCTCTTGTTGTAAAATCCATTCAAATCTCTTAAGAAGCACTCATGCTCCCACGTCCGACAGTGTTTTCCTCCATCAATTTCCGCGTTTCGTTCTCTGTGCAATCATCAAGAATTTGTGACATGCCTTACCCTCCTTATTGGTACTTCAGCTTTTAATGTCATAGGCTGGTCGCAAGATTGGTTTCCTTGTTTATTCTTGGCCTTCCGTCTGCTTCTCGGTCTCAAGCATCGACAAGTTGAAAAAAGACGGCAGCACGATATCGACTCGAAGACGGCACCGGCCAATCTCCTGCCTTTGTTCTTGTATTTCCGGTAGTGGAAACTTTCGCACAACGACCACGCTTTTCGTTTAACTCTAAAAATGCCTCCAAATATGAAGAAATTAAAGGCTGGCTGGGAGAATGTGAAGAAGACCAGTCGTCGTACATTTGGAAAAAAAGACTCCAAAAATCACGTCGAACCCAATCAGCAAGGCGAGCCTTCTAGCCAGCCGCCTGCATATACACAATCACCGCCAACAGCAGATGCTCTGCAACGTCAACAGCAAGAGCAACAGCAACAAAATCTGCAGCAACAGCTGCTGCTGCAGAAACAACAGGAGCAACAACAACAACAAGAGCAAGAGCAAGGGCAAGAGCAAGAGCAAGAGCGAGAGCACCCAGATCTACATCCACTACTTCAGAACCCCATATCAGACTCCGTATTTGGAAGCTCACCTCGGTCTACTGACCCCCCCTCCCGAATTGGCCAACACCGCGGAAAGTCAGCTATCGCTCAGACTGGATTGACTCTACTGCATCAAGGCTTGGCCTCCAAGCCTGGCGGTTCTACGCTGCAAGCCATGCCAACCTCTGCATCAGGGAGCCAGGTATCCGCTCCCAGTAACTTATTTTATCAACACTGTCAGACCGAGTAACTAATTTCTAATAGGGTGAGAGCCTCACCAGCTCCCCTGTTGCTACAAATCTGCCTGCAGATGTGAAGGAGACTTTCAACTCCAGATCCCAGACAGCAAAGAGTGACCAACCCTGCGCCCATGATGTCAAAGGCAAAGGCAAAGAGAGAGAGGTCATGGCAGAAACTCTCCCGACGCCCGAAGGCCTTGACGATTCCATCGAAGAGGAAGAGGACGAGGAAGATGATGTTTTGGAAATGAAAAAAGAAGACAAAAGGAAACAGCCCATGCGGAGGAGCGAACTATCATTCTCAGGACAGATGCGAGGTGGTGGTGGGGCTACCTCGGGCAAATCTACACCAGCCTCTGAGTCCCACGGTCGCGAGAAAGAATCCTTCATATGCCCGATACATGGAACGGATGGTAAGAAGCAAGCTACCCATCCTCCGAAGGGTATGGTTATCAAAAAGTGCAGGAGAAAGGAGCGCCGTATGGGTGATCCAGATACCGCTGTGCCTTTGGCCGGAGAGCAAAGGAACACTTCGTCTACCTCACACTCTTCTGAATATCAGAAACAGCTAGGCCGGGCTTCGACTGGGGATGTATCAGCGGCTGGCCAGATTTCCTCAACCGCACACCGCCAAGAGAAAATACTGGGCCATCATACCCAAAAGAGTTGTGACGCCCATCACAAGAATGATCATGCAAATCTTGAGGCATCTCGGCTCAGGCCGAAAGAGCAGCTGCGCCAAAGAACGGTGGGTGTTGGAAACGTCGAAATGGGAAAACAACACAAGGATTCAAGA